TGTTTAGCTTAGAAATTAAATATTTAGTTTGGAAATTAAATATTTAATTTACATCTAAGTATTTAGTTTACTAAATATTTAAATGTTTAGTTAGTAAACTGAACATTTAGCTTGTAAATTAAATATTTAGTTAAGAACTATGACATTTATAAATGTATGACTAACATGGTGAAAATATGACTTTGAAAAAAAAAAGTTTTTTTCTTATTAAAGGTAAATAAGGATTCAAGGTTCTTTATTTGTCATATGCACCACATGTGGTACATGTGGTACATGTGGTGGAACAAAACTGTGTACAGGAGCTTCTACAGTATACTCAACAGAACTGTAAATTTCATGCTCAATAATCCAGGAAAACATCACACAATGTTCAGTCAGGTCGGACAGTTCCTTGATTTTGCTGAGTCGTCCTTCATCCAAAGGACTTCTTCAGTCTAAGGAGCCACAAACAAACTTGAGTCCCACAAATACCACACTCTCATAGTGGGGAAAAAAACAGTTTGCTGGTGATAAGATGGTTTCTGGAGCTTGCCCTCTCCCCCGTGAGCTTGAACTTTGATGTTTTGAACCACTTTAGCATGACTGCCTCAGAGTTGACAAGGGAGAGGGTGGGCCCCAGAAACCATCTTATCACCAGCAAACTGTTTTTTCCACTATGGGAGTGTGGTATTTGTGGGACTTCAGTTTGTTGTGTCTCCTCAGTATGAAGAAGTCCTTTGGATGAAGGACGAAATGTCTCAGCAAAAGGAAGAGAGCGTCCAGATGACCTGACTGAACATTGTTCAACAGAGCAGTCTTCCAAATCAGGTGCAGGTGTGGAGTGGTGGCTGATTAGGATGAGTGGCAGCTGTGGAGAAAGTGAGTCTGGTTAGAAACCTAGGAATCCCATAAATATGGACCAAGATGTGTCTTTAAGAAAAGGTAGTGCAGTAATTTAGTAATCATAGTCTAAACGTGAAATGTTATTGAGCCTGCTGCCACTCTGCCATAAATCTATTGTGGAGAGGACTTCACCTGCTTATGTTTTAGAGTTATTTTAACCTCACAGTTGGATTAATCAGAGCAATACCTTCTAAGACTCTCACCAACTCTCTGTTTTAGAGGCTAACATGTTCTGGGGGTCTGTTCATCACTTTTTTTCTGTCCTGTATGGTTCCTCAGAAGTTAATTGGGGTAATAATTTGTTTTCCATTAAATCATTTTGCTTAAGATAAGAATCAGGACACTCTACCTCTGTAGCTCTTATTGGTAATAGTGCAGAGAGTTGAATCATTAGGTGCACGAGCCCCAAGACCCTGTTAGATAAAAGTCCAGGACTGACATCACTCTCTTGGCTGTACGTTAAAGAGTAAATCCACACAAATCACCACAAGGTGCTATTAATATTCTACACAAACTGCTCTGGCCTTCAATAATTCAACTCCAGACCCTGTACGCAGGTCAAATTTTATGAGAGCAGTTATTCAGATGATTCTTAGATGGTTTCAGCTGGTTTGGTTACATCAGCTCCAGACTGAAGGTATAAATCCAGTGAGAAGCATCGGTTCACTGTTTGAGATTTCAGCCCTCTGGCTTGAAGGTAATGTTTAATAAAAGAACAGATTAGCGAGGATATTGAAATTATGCCACTGCTGAATGCATTTGTGCTTTTTCTAAAGTCCAGATGAGGATACAGTCAATTTAACAATTATTCACCCTCTTTAACTAAAGGTGTAATCTCAGACCTATGTAATAGGTTTTGATTCAGTTCACTTTGTTTAATGTTTGGCAACCATGAAAACCTAATACCTAATTCTGAAAAGTCCTTAAAGAAGCTACAAAGAATGTGTCTATTAACACAGTAATTAAGATATTTTAAGCCCAGTTGTTAAATGTTTTATTGAGAGTTACTCTGCATGACATAATTATTTAAAAGTGTTTTCTATGAGCACAAACAGAAGAAAGTGTCAGACTATTTCTTGGCAGGGAGCGGTATATTTCCTGTGTTGCTAAAGCTGCCAAACTACAAGCAACACAAATCAGCTAATGAGAAATAATCTGAAGCGTTATACTTTTTTTTTTTTTTTTTTTTTTTATACCAAAATTCAATTATGTTCACAGTTTTCTGTTTATTTTTGAATGTGAAAACTCAAACAGCACAACATGAACCTTTTATTAATGTGTCATAAATTAATATATAAATAAACTACGGATGGATGGGACACTGATGATCCTGGACTGTTCTAACATGGGTACCAAAAACAGAAGCTTAAACGTTTTATTATTTAACAAAATGTAGCAAGGGGAACATATGACTTTTTTTTTTTTTTATGTTTATGATCATGGATCAGCACATCACGTTTTCCTCCAGATTTGCAGGCCCAAAGTCAGAACACACGTGGAGCGAAACTTGCGGCTCACATCATTAACCACAGGAGGCAACTTTAACTTTAGACTATTAGAGAAAAGATAATAAATGTAAGACCAAGAAATTACATTGGCTTTATTCTATTTTATTGTTTGCACACAAAAAAAAGAAACTACACACATGAAGGAAAAGCTAAAACAAAATGTGCAGAGGTCATAAAAACCCAAAATGAGTTTATAAGCATCCCCCCCCCCCCGAAGAAAAATAATAAAGAAAAAAAAAATCATAAAAACTTTTTTACATAAGCTCCCAGCTTACTTTAAACACACACAAACACAAATATAATATATAATAGCTCATAATAAATTTAAATTGTCCAAAAAAAATAAATAAAACTATAAACTTTGTTTCAACTTTCTATTAAACACAGATGTTGTACATGATTTAGTTGTTTTGAACCGTTCCACAGCCTTGATGCATGAATGAAAAATTAGCAACAGCGGTTCTACAGAAGGGGATATTTAAATCAATAACAAGATGCCGTAGGCTCTAATGCAACCCCATACCATCAGAGAGGCAGGTTTCCAAACTCTGCACAGGAAATAGGCTAAATCAGGGGTGTTCAATCCTGGTCCTCAAGGGGCACTATCCTGCACGTTTAGATGTTTCTCTGCTCCAACATACGGGAGATCAACAGGCTTCTGTTCAGAAAACCAAGAAGAGTGAGTGTGACACCCCTGGGCTAGTTCCTCTCCTCTTTAATACAAAAAGAATGAAACATGTGGTTTCCTGAAAAGAAAAGAAAAAAGAAAATAAAGAGAAGGGAATTTTATTAATTGTTTTATTGGTCAGAATATTGTTGGCCCAGAGAAGCAGCTGGTATTTCAGGATGGTGCTCAAATCTAGCATCAGCATTTCTCCTGACTCTTAAAATTATTTGACATTATGAACCACAGATGTTGGCATATTCAGTCTTTCCAATTTTCCACCGAGGAACTTTTTTTATTTTTATAGTATTTTTATTGTTTTTCACAAGCAGGTGGAAACTTGGTCCGTCTGGACTTCACTGCTCTCCCAGCCGTTTCTTACTCGTACCAACATGTGTTTACTATGTTCCATTGTGAATTAAATTATGGAGCGAAATAAAAAGGGTTGATGAGAAGTTTAAATCTTTGCAGTTTTTATGTGCACTGAACAAAATATTAAAGTTAACACTTTTTTGTTTTTGCTCCCATTTTTCATGAACTGAACTCAAAAGATCTGAGACTTTTTCGCTCAAATAATACAAAATTTGTGTAAATCTGTTAGCGAGCACTTCTTTCTAATCCACCTCACAGGTGTGGTATATCAAGATGCTGATTAGACACAATGATTATTGCACAGGTGAGCCTTGGGCTGACCACAACAAAAGGCCACTGTAAAATGTGCAGTTTCATCACAGCACAATGTCACAGATGTCTAAAGTTTTGAGGGAGCGTGCAGTTTACATGCTGACTGCAGGAATGTCCACCAGAGCCGTTGCCTGTGAATTGAATGTTCATTTCTCTACCATAAGCTGTGTCCAAAGGTGTTTCAGAGAATTTGTCAGTACATCCAACAGGCCTTACAACTGTAGACCACATGTAACCACACCAGCCCAGGACCTCTACATTCAGCATCTTCACCTCCAAGATCTTCTGAGACCAGCCACCTGGACAGCTGCTGCAACATAATCAAATAATTTCTGCACAAACTGTCAGAAACCATCACAGAGAAGTTAATCTCCTGCAGTCAGCATGTAAACTGCACGCTCCCTCAAAACCTGCAACATGTGACGTGCTGTGATAAAACAGCATTTTACAGTGGCCTTTTGTTGTGGTCAGCCTAAAGCTCACCTGTGTAATAATCATTCTGTCTAATCAGCATCTTAATATACCACACCTGTGAGATGGATTAGAAAGAAGTGCTCACTAAGATTTACACAAATTTGTGAACGATATTTGAAAGGTCTTAGATCTTTTGAGTTCAGCTCATGAAAAATGGGCGCAAAAACAAGCTATTTTCGTTCAGTACGTTTTAAACATCCCAACTTTTTTGTACATGGGGCTGTAAAAGTGAAGAGAAAATGTACAGCAGAGCAAACAAGTCTAATGAGAAACAGAAGTTCCTCTTTTGTGAATTGACATTTTTTTAAATTGGTGTACAGTAATACCAAATTGAATATGTACGGACAGTATTTTACTAAACTGGAAACATTGGATAAACCTGTTATTTTGGGTTCTGTATAAAGAATTAGCTAAGCTCCTAAAATGACTATTAAAAGGCTTTAAAGTTTTACTTTAATCAACACTTAATGAAACCCTAATGTTGTGGAACGAGACTAGACAATTTTTTATTTCAACCATGCTCATTTAAAAACAAACCGCTGCCTCGTGGGCATGTTCCACATCACATTAGATGGTTTTAGCAGAAATGTAATGAAGACTTGAATTACCTTTTTTTTTTTTATAAAGATAATCAATAACCAGATGGAACCAAGAATTTAAAATCGTTCCAGCAGACAAGGATGTGCACGCTTAGTGTTGCTTCAAACCCAATGTGGTCATTCAATCCAACACAATTAAATTTAATGTGAAAAACAGCAAGATATCACATCAAAATCATTATCGTCCGTCGTGTATTATTTACAAATAAAGAGCATTTTAAACCATTTACAGAACATCTGTCTTTACTCTCAGGTGCCAAAAACAGTCCCGGGCGTTAAAAATATTTTATGAAGAGCAAAGTCCCAAGACGAGCTGCAGGACACACACCACGTCTCATCTGTACTTTGAACTGTGTATTTCTGTAGCATCTCTCGGGTCAACATGAACTTTAAACTCATCCACCATCCGATTGACGTGGCTCATCTTTCAATTCACATGTTGTCTCTTTGTGTCATCTTCTCTTTATCCTCTGTGGCATTTTTCCCAGTCAGTCTCCTTTGTCGCCACCGCAGCCCTGCAGACCAAGAACACTCTCCAAACGCTTCGCCCTGATAGGAGGCAGCTGCTCGTACGTGTCAAAGCCAAGCTGAAGATGCTGCTGAGGCAGACGGAAGAGAAGCAAGTGGTTCCTCAACACCTAGAAATGAGAAACGAAGAGTGAGAAGGATGTGAGAAGAGCAGCAGAGTTCTATTAACCAGCTGTTTTCTGCAAGGGGTATTTGTGATTCAATAAATCAATGCAAAAATAGTATAATGAAAAAATCTAACCCTTGTTTTTTTGGTCTTATTGCAACATTTGCTTACTTTAGGCAAAACTTTGCTAATAAACCCCAGAAATGTTCAAATTCTATCAAAATCTGAATGCAAACATGACTAAATGCATCTAAATACTGGCAGCTAATTAATAATAATGTTTCCTAACATGTACTGTACATTAAACCACTGGTGTCCAAAGGGTGGCTCGCGGGCCATTTGCGGCCCTAGGAGTGATTTTGTGCGGCCCACAGCTGCAGTTTAAGAATATCATTTTGGCCAGCAGGCTTAAGAGGTCGCAAACTTTCTGCAAATTAGTTGGTAATCCTTTTTTATATAATGTTTAGGTTTTAAAGCAAAACGGATGAAAAACAAGCTTCTCAAAATGAGCAATATTAAACAAAACACAAACCTTTGGCTATAATTTTTATATTTTCACTTCATGGCACAAAACACACAAAACTTGTACTGATTTCTACCAGAAAGGAGATTTTTGGATGATGATTCATAAAACTTGGCTAAATGTTGCAGTTGATAAAATAATCAAAAGGGAAACTGGACATTTTTAAATAAATATAACGTGGTATCATCTACATACAAGTTGATCAACGTTATCAGACCTTCTATGAATCTGATGTAGTGACTGACAGCTGGATGATTTTTCAGAACTTCCATCAGTCTTTTGGGCCAAAAGGCCGACCGACCCCCTTTTTTAAAAAGGACACTTGCTCATTTTATGCTTTTGTTGCTGAGAACAGACTAAAATGAACTTTCCAAACACAAGAAAACAACAAACAGACCCAACTAATCAAATCCTTTTTAATAAAAATATAAGTTTAGTGTTTATGAGGCTTTTAATGTTTTGGGTCTACAACATTTTAAAACTATTTCTCCACCTAAAGTAGCAAACTTTTTGTCCATTCTCCAAAATATTGTTCACGTTGAGTTCAATTCACATTTTTGTGGCCCACGAGTCCTTTCATCTGGATAGCTTCGTACCACATATGAAAATGTTTGGACACCCCTGCCTTAAACCAAAATGCACATATTTACTAAATAACACATCATTAGAGTACTTCTTCATTTGCCAATAATGTAAAATGACAATTAGTAAAGAAACACTAGATTCAAACAGTATTTTCAGAGTGTGATTAACGAGCACAGACCAAAATGCTTCTAGATGCAATGGAGCCACTCAGAATATTAAACAGGATGATTGGCCTGGGCTGCACTCAGGGAAAGTCTTGTTAAATTACAGTATGAGCAGATGCAGCCAAAACAAACACAAGCCCTCAGTCCATATTTAGACTGGAAAAAAAATCAGATTTCTATCTTAAAACAAGCCTCGAGTACAAATCATCAGAGCTGTGATCAGGTCATCTTTATGCATCAATCACTTGCACGTCTGCAGCAAAACGTTGGTTACGTACTGTAACCCCAGATTCTATGAATATAGGCGTAGCCCTTTAAGGCTGTCGCTGATGGTTTATCCCGTTATGCGCAGCATAAGCACTGAAAAAAAATTAGTCCACGCCCACCTGCTGTGTGGGCCCCACCCGGTCCGTATAAATTACGTTAAGAGCGGGAAATCGGCTCCCAAAATAGCTTTTTTCTTCAGCCATTTAGGAGCCAGTGAGGCCCGACGCTTAAAGGGCTACGCCTATATTCATAGAATCTGGGGTTACAGTACGTAACCAACGTTCTATTTCATATAGGCTTCGCCCTTTAAGGCTGTCGCTGATGGTTTAAGGGCGAAGCGGATGTGGTCCTCGCCTCACTGGGTCCATTCGAACACAGTAAGAAGCGGAAGCTTGCCCAAAAAAAACGTCTTGTCACCCAGCTCCCCGTGTGCATAAACTACGCATCGCGTAATTATGTGCCATGCACAGACGCATGTTGTGTAGCTATGCGTTCTGACAAGCATGAATACCCCGGAAAAACTTTCAACGGGAAGAGGAAGTTTAAAAGAGGGGGGGGAGGGGGGCATGAACCAACTGGTTCATGGCTGAACAGTATAAACAGATTAATGTCCATGAATTGATCAATAATCAAATGAACTGATTGTTAACAATAATCATGAACTGATTAGTGACAATAGAACCAAAATCACAGACACGACTGTGACTGAAAAACAACATCTCACACTGTAATGCATGCAGACAGAAGTGAGCTTAAACAGAGTTCCATGAGAACAACAATATTCATTCTGTTAGAGCACTAAGGACAGAATGTGTCATGGAACGAGCCGTTACATCACGTAGGTAAAAGCGAATAAATGAGCAGGGTGTTGACCATGCAGCCGCAGTGCAAATGTCCTGCATTGACATACCATTATGCAGAGCAGTCGAAGATGCGATACCCCTGGTCGAGTGTGCTTAGAGGTTGACAGGAGGCCCTAAATCTGATGCTCTGTAGGCTTCAGAAAAAAGGCCTCACACAGCCAGTGTGACAAGCGCTGGATGGATAACGGCGACCTGCAGAAGCATCTCTATAATGCACAAACAATTGTTGAATTTGAACGCATTGCAGCTATGCGCGTTACGTAACACGTCAACGCCTGCACCGGGCAGAGAAGATGAACAGATGCTTCCCTTTCTGATCTGTGGGGGGAAAAGACCCCTCCAACGATATCACTCTTGATTTAAAAGAGCTCGTGATGTTTTAGGCATAAAAGCTGGGTTGGTCTTAAATCAGCTGAGCTGCCCGTCAGCCTAATTCTAAGGCATGACGAAACAACAGAGAGGGCAGATAATTACTTACCCTCTTAGCGGGTGTTAAAACCAGCAACAGGGCTGTTTAAAGAGACAAGAATTTAAATGAAACCTGATCCAGAAGCTCAATTGAAGCTTTGATCAGGGCTCGCAGGACCAGCGTAAAATCCCACTGTGGAACAAGTGGGCATGAAACAGGCCTACATCTCTGTACACCTTTAGAAACCGCTTCATCAGCGGGTGATTAAAAGCTGTTCTGTCTCCAAACCCTTTGTGGCAGGAAGAGATGGCTGCAACGTACGTTAAAGCGTACTGAAAGCCAACTCCCTATCCATCAGCTGTTGTAGAAAAACAACACGCCGCCTAAAAGGCATGAAGTGGTCTCTAAACCTTCTCTGTACACCAGCGCTGAAAAGCCGTACCCTTGATGTGTACAGAACTGTGGTAGATGCAGCACGTGAATCTTGAATTGTGCACACTATCTCCTGAGGGAGACCCATCCTCTAAGTGGGACCGCTCAGCGGTCAGACCCACCGGTGTTGACCTATTTCTGGGTAACTCTTGGTCGCTCCTCCTGCCTGAAGGAGAGCATCCTTCCTCCACGACAGTTCCACGGCGACCCCACAACAGACGTTGCAGGCCTGGGAACCATGGTGCGTTCACACGCCGGGAGCCACCAGGAGAGCTGTCAATCCCTCCTCCTGAACTCGGTTCATGGACCGTAAAAAACAGAGGAGGTGGGGGAAAAGAAACGCGTAAAAAGCGTTTTGGGCCACCGACTGTGAGCAAATGCGTCCCCCCCCAGCGATGGATCGTCTCGCGGGCTCAGGGAAAACCGTAGTTAACATTGAGCGTTCTTCTCGCGTCGCAAACAGGTCCACAGCTGCTTTGCCAACTTCTGCTGCGTCTGAAAACATCAGATCCGGATGGAGGATCCGGTCCACGTGACGTGGGCCGCCCCTGAAAGTTACATCCGCCCCTCTGTTCAGAACACCGGATATGTAAAACCGCTCTAATAGAGAGCAGGTTGATGAACCCAACTCAGTAGCTTCCGCGCAATGTGTAACATCTGGGCTGAACGCACACCCCCCTGGCGGTTTATGTACGCAGCAGTCACCATGTTGTCTGTGTGAATCAACACGTGTTGATTCTGTAGCACGGGAGCAAAATGTTGAATCACATTCAGCACTGTGCGACACTCCAAAAACATTGATGCGGGCTGGTGTGCGGTGGGGCACAGCGCCCCTACTGCTTGAGATAGGCATGTCCCCCCCCCCCCCACCCTGAAAGAGACACGTCCGTGAAGACTGACACGTGACGTGGGTCTGCTGACGGGGACTCCCTCTGACAGAGCCAGGGTGTTTCCCCAGTGTCGGAGGTCTGCTCCCACGGAGGGAGGGACAGTGATCATCCGTCTCTTTTGTTTACTGGATCCACACGCAGACGCGTAAACCACCTCTGGAGGCGTCTCATGTGTAACAAACCCAGCGGGACCACTGTGTGAGCTGATGACGTCATTCCCAACAGCTTCATGACGGAGACAGCTGTTACCACTTTGCCAGGTCTTACGTGGCGTAATTGGTTTTTAGAGTGTCGATTCTTGTTTGTGATAAACGAGCCGTCATGGTAATTGAGTTTAATTCCACTCCCAGATAACAATTGTCTGGGCCGGGAAAATCGAGCTCTTCTTCCAGTTATGGCGAAGCCCAGATTTAGCAGGTGTGATGCTAACACCTGAGCCTGTATCAATGCTTCCTGTCTGGAGTGAGACAGGGGCAGCAGGTCGTCCAGGTAAAACAAAACTCTCATCCCTGCTTTGTGCAGTGGATGCAGGGCTGTCTCCACACACTTTGAGATTACACCCTTTATCAGAAGCTCCTGGACTTCTGCATTTAAGGCTGAGACTTGGTCTGGTGATGACAGGACCGTCTCTATAACTCCTCCGAACGGAGGGGGTCGGGTTGCAAACTGCAGCGTGTAACCCTTGCATAACACTCTGTCCATCCATCTGTCCGGTGAGCATGTTTTTAACCACTCTGCGTGACGTTCGTGGAGTGGACGTGCGTTTAAATGATGTGCCATGTTTTGAACGGATGTCATCCAAAACTCCGCCTCGACCGCCGTCATGCGTCGCGGAAATGTTTTCCGCGTGACCCAAGGCGAGGTTTTCTCGAAAGGGCTGTTCTGCGCGCGCCCGTGCGCTGTGACTGGATCGCGGACCAACCTTCATGTCCGGGCGGGGCGGTGTGCGCTGAGGCGAGGCGTGTGTCAGCTGATGCCGTCGAGAAGGCTGCACGTTTAACGTCGCTGTGCGAACGTTGAGAGGTGGAGGGCGTGACGTCATCAACGCCGTGCTGTCGAAGTGAAGGTTGTGAGCCTCGCGGGAGCGCACGTTTCCTCTGGGGGGACGCGCGCCGCTCTCGCTGAGGGCGGGGCCCGTCATTGGATTCATTCAGCTGTCTCACGCTTATGCCGCCGTGAGCTGCTGATCGCTGAGACGCGGTGGATGACGGCCACTCGCGTTCATTCAGGAGAGGCGTGTGTTGTTTTCGCTGAGAGCAGGGACCTCCACCGGACCCGGCCTGCGGTCCCACATTTATCCCGATGTGGGCCGGTGAGCGCCGGGCAGCTGTGCGTGCATCATCGACACAGTGCCGTTAGGATGGAGGCTGCTTGTCTCGCTCGGGAGCGCGTTAACACCGTTGGGAGGTGATCGTGCGGGTCTGATTGACAACAAGTTATTTCGCTTACCGTGGTGTCACGTGAGCGTCTGGGCATGTGAAGGAGCGGCGGTGGATTTAAAAAACCTTTATTTAAGGACACCGGCTCTTTATGAGTGGAGGGTGTGTGTGTAGCGGCTGTGAGCTCATCCGAGCTTACAGACTGGCTAAAAACAGGCATTTGATCTTTGAAAAATCATTTATTCAATTCCTGTGTCATTTATACACACATCCTCCGCAGACCGTCATCTCTTAAAACTTCTCCCCCGTGAGCCCTGCGGTTTGTTTGCTCCGAGCGCCGTCTGCAGGCGATCTCTGGGGAAAAACGCTGAAATGCAGGCTGCCGGACTGAGGAGGGGTGGTCTCTGGCGGGCGGGGCTGGTGGTGGAGCTGGGCGAGACGAAGCTGCTGCTGCCGTGGAGCGTCGATGTTATTGCCTCTGCTTTCGACGATCTCTCCAGCGGGCTGGGGGACGGAATGAGCCGCGTGGCTTGATGAGATGGCGTACAGCTTCCGACGTCTCCTTCGACTGCTTCGAATTCGTCAGCATGGACGTCAAGCTGCTTCCGAACAGCGCGTCCGATGAGATGGGGCCCTCCATCCGGTCTTTGTGCAGCTTTTCCGGCAGCAATGGAAAGTGACGGAGCCAGATGGAACGTTGGATTACCGTCATCCATGCTACAATCCTCGACAAGCAAACCGAGGGAGCGACGCACATGTTGAGGATGGCGTCTGCCGATTACACAGGGAGCTCTTTGTCTCCTCCGGCAGGTCTGAGGCCTCCAGCCTTTTCGACATGCTAAATGCTAGCAGCGCATGTTGTTGCTAACTGCGGCTGCCTGAAAACACATCGGTGGGCTCGATTGGAGAGCTTTGGTCGCCGTCTGGTTCCTCCGGAGGGACGGGACGCTGCTCCGACCTGGGCAGCTTCGCTCCGGAAGCTTCCGCGAGGCTTGGCTCCAGGGGAGGGAACCGAGGAATAGCGTCAGTTGCCTTACAGAAGGAGTTCTTTGTCTCCAAGGCAGGTCTGCGGCCTTCAGTCCCTTGGACATGCTATATGCTAGCAGCGCAGGTTGTTGCCAACTGCGGCTGCCTGGAAAAACACGTCGGTGAAAAATAACCTTTCCGCCGATCATCCGAACTGGCGGGAAAAGGCGAGGGACGTAGAAAAAAAGGGGTCCCTTCATGTCAGCCTCCTCCCGGGTTCCGCCGGGCAACCCCTGAGGGCGCTGTCGGCCGGGAGCGGTGTGATCGCCGATGCGAAACGAGGTGGGATGGGGTGAGCATTCACTCAGCCCCCCTCCACCTACACTACGCTCCCCAGGAGGGAATGAGCAGCGGGGGCTGCAGCTGAGCACACCTTGCCCCGGAGGAACCATCCGGTTCGCCCCGAGGGTCGGCGATAAGAGGAAAAACACAAGATGGCGTTGTCCAGCGTGTAATGACCTGTCACTGGGAAAAGTTCCCCGACGCTTACCTTGGAATAAGACTGCTGTCATCTTCTCCTCGGGGAGGAGAACTCACCGGACGACCGGAGGTCGACTGCCGGGCCAAGCATCTTCCGCAAAGGTTGGTCATTTACACAATTTATCTTCTTTGTTCTTCTGACAGTGCTATATTAGCTCGCTGAAGAAAAAATGGGAGCCGATTTCCCGCTCTTAACGTAATTTATACGGACCGGGTGGGGCCCACACAGCAGGTGGGCGTGGACTAATTTTTTTTCAGTGCTTATGCTGCGCATAACGGGATAAACCATCAGCGACAGCCTTAAAGGGCGAAGCCTATATGAAATAGAACACTCGAGTTCAGTCATGTTGTTTTTTTTAGCTTTGCCGGTAAAGAAACCTCGACACATGGTTTGTTTTTCAACCTGTTCACAGACCGTCAGTCCACATCGTTCCTACGGTCTCCTTTCTTTCTTATAAACGGTTAAAGACTGTTCTTGTATCGTCATTTTCTGCTGTTATCCAGTGAAAGCACATTCATACCTGAAACAACATCCACCTATTCACGCTCATTCATACAGCGTCTCATGCACGACCTCACGCTGACAAATCCCTCAGAGAAAAGTGGCCTTCTGCGTTTCATCCACTCAGATGTGCAGACTCTGGAAGCCTGGAATTAAACCTGGCATCTTTGTCCCAGAAGTGTTTATGTAAAATCAGTTCAGTCAGTCTGGATGTGACTCGACTGACTCACATTTTCAGATGTCTGACTGGAAAAGCATCTCAGACCATCTGCAAATGTCGATTGGAGCTGATTTGCAAAGATGTTATGTCAACTGGCTGTTTGGGCAAAGCAAAAATCCATCTGGGTTCCTCGGGAAGCAAAAAATAAACTTTTAGGTGAAGAAATACAGCTGTTTTTTAATTTTAATATGATACACTTAATATGATGTTAGAGCCGAGCTGATGGACAGGTCCGGCTGTTAAATGACACCAAATTAGAGCTGAAATAATGAAACAACTATTTATATAGTGATTAAATCCTTCAAACCACATAAAAACTAGGGGTGCACCGATTGCAGTTTTCTGGCCGATCACTGATTTCTAAAAAGTCTGACCTGCCGATTCCGATTTTGGCCGATACCAATTTTGTTTTATAAGCGACACCGTCAGGTGTTATAAGGTCACAATACACCTTTAATTTTCCAATCTTACTTTGTTGTAAAACATACCCTTGAACAATATCATAGAAACAATACAAACTTGTTTTAACTGACCATGAATTAGTGCTCTGAAATATAAATGAAGTTCAGATAATTGTTGTTAAATCTAAAAAAAATTGGTAAAATCGGTTTCTCATACAAGTATCGGCCGATTTCCGATTTCCAAAAATAAAAGGAAATCGGTGCACCTCTACTAATTACTAGGGATGCATGATATTATTGGCATGGTACTGTATCGGCTGATATTAGCGATAAAGTTAAATATCGGACATCAGCCATTGCATCAAAATAACTCACCGATATAAAAGGTGCTGTTCTTGAATGACAACCCAGTGACAAGGAGATTTGAGTTGATCATTAAGATCGTGTAACCACGTATTGGACTTCTGTTTTAAGTTAAATTTTAATTAAAAACTGTCAAGTATATCTATTAACGCACTTCTACTTATGTGCTTTTCACTTGTTGCTTGTGGACAGGTTGAGTTTGGATTTGTGAAAAGTTACAAATTTGTACTGTTTGAGTGTTGTCATCATGATTAAGTTTGAAATTAAACATAATCCAAGTTGAAGTGTTGCATCATTTTCAGCCTTTTTGGCATCTGCATTTGGCACTAGGCCAAACTGACAAAGATCATGCAGAATAATGTAGTATTTTAATTCCACAGCAGAGAAAGCTATGTAGTCTCTGTAAGTAGGTCTAGGGGAAAAATATCAGTATTGGTATCGGTTATCGGCCAAATAAGTTTTAATATATCGGCATATCGGATATCGGCCAAAAATCCAATATCGTGCATCTTTACAAATTACACATTTTATTAGAAAACTAGTATCATTACATTCAAAAACCAAGAAGAAACTTTTTAAAACTAAGCTTTAATTGTCAGAAAAAATTAGCTCTGCTAAACTTGATGAAAGGTCAACAAGTAGATAAACGGCGACGCAGACAGGTTGATCAAAAATGAAGCAAGAACGTGAAGAGCAGGGGAGAGAAATCAATGAACGTCTAGAGGAAAGAAAGAACAGAGACGGGAAAAACAAGCGGTGTGTGCAGAAAGCAGAGCAGTACCTCATCAGTCAGGTGGTAGATTTTTCTCAGCATACTCTGTCGAGCAGCTTCAAGCTCCTGGAAAAGAACAAGAGGGTGAAGTCACGCTCTCGACTGAGGCACCTCTACAGCTTCAAATCAGCTGCACTGCTCTTCAACGTTTGGAAATAAGGAAATAATCATGTTCGAAAATATGTTCTTTAACCCAAACTTGATAAATGTATTTGGGATTAGTCGTATATTGTTTTAAAAACACAACAACCATTGATCAGCTGTAGTTGCGTAAGATATTTTAGAGCCAAATCTCAGCTTCTGTATGAAAATGACTTTAATAGGTCGTTTGAGGTGGAAGTTTTGTCCTGAGTGCCCCCCCCCCCCCCCCCTCGTCTCAGCACAGGAGCTCTACCTGGACAACGTTGTGTCCATGTGTGACATTGAAGGCTCTGAACAGCTACTTTAGTGCTGAAATGTCTAAAACTAGTGATCTCGGAGGTCGTTTCCTCGCAGCAGAGATCAGACTCTACAACCAGCACTGCTCCCAACAAACAGAAATACAAATAATCATAAAAACTACTTTATAATTGTGTAATATTACCTCTATGGAGGTGCAATCACAGTTTAAAGTACAAAATCTGAGTTTGAGGCAAATAATTTGTTTATATTTTGTTGCATAATCTAACTTTCTACAAACGGGATTCCAAAAAAGTTGGGACACAAAACAAATTGTGAATAAAAACCAAATGCAATGATGTGGAGATGGCAAATGTCAATATTTTATTCGTAATACAACATAGATGACAGATCAAAAGTTTAATCTGAGTAAATGTAACATTTTAAAAGGAAAAATATGTTGATTCAAAATTTCAGTGTCAACAAATCCCAAAAAAGTTGGGACAAGTAGCAATAAGTGGCTGGAAAAAGGAAATTGAGCATATAATGAACAGCTGGAAGACCAATTAACACTAATTAGGTCAATTGACAACATGATTGAAAAGAGCTTCTCAGAGTGTCAGTGTCTCTCAGAAGCCAAGATGGTAAGAGGATCACCAATTCCACCATTGTTGCACAGAAAGATAGTGCAGCAATACCAGAATGGTGTTACCCAGCGTAAAATAGCAAAGACTTTTAAGTTATCATCATCAACCGTGCATAACATCATCAAAAGATTCAGAGAATCTGGAGCCATCGCTGTGCATAAGGGTCAAGGCCGTAAAACTCTACTGGATGGTCGTGATCTCCGGGCCCTTAAACGTCACTGCTCCTCAAACAGGAATGCCACTGTCAAGGAAATAACAGAATGGGCTCTGAAATACTTCCAGAAAGCATTCTCAGTGAACACAATCCACCGTGTCATCCGCCGTTGCCAGCTGAAACTCTACAGTGCAAAGAGGAAGCCATTTCTAAGCAAGCTCCACAAGCTCAGACATTTGCACTGGGCCAGGGGTCATTTAAAATGGAGTGTGGCAAAATGGAAGACTGTTCTGTGGTCAGATGAGTCACAATTTGAAGTTCTTTATGGAACACTGGGACGCCATGTCATCCGGACCAGAGAGGACAAGGATAGCCCAAGTTGTTATCAACGCTCCGTTCAGAAGCCTGCATCACTGATGGTATGGGGTTGCATGAGCGCTTGTGGCAAGGGCAGCTTGCATGTCTGGAAAGGCACCATTAATGCAGAGAACTATGTTCAGGTTCTAGAACAACATATGCTCCCATCTAGACGTCATCTCTTTCAGGGAAGACCCTGCATTTTTCAACACGATAATGCCAGACCACATTCTGCAGCAATCACAACATCATGGCTACGTAGGAGAAGGATCCGGGTACTGAAATGGCCAGCCTGCAGTCCAGATCTTTCACCTATAGAGAACATTTGGCGCATCATAAAGAGGAAGGTGCGACAAAGAAGGCCCAAGACGATTGAACAGTTAGAGGCCTGTATTAGACATGAATGGGAGAGCATTCCTATTTCTAAACTGGAGAAACTGGTCTCCTCTGTCCCCAGACGTCTGTTGAGTGTTGTAAGAAGAAGGGGGGATGCCACACAGTGGTAAAAATGGACTTGTCCCAACTTTTTTGGGATTTGTTGATGCCATGAAATTTGGAAACAACAGATTTTTCCCTTAAAATGATACATTCTCTCAGTTTAAACTTTTGATCTGTGATTTGTGTTCTATTCTGAATAAAATATTAGATGTTGGCACCTCCACATCATTGCATTCAGTTTTTATTCACAATTTGTTTGGTGTCCCAACTTTTTTGGAATCCAGTTTGTACTTTAATTTAATATAATAAAACTCCTAAATGTTATATTTTGAAGAAAAGATGATGCAAGACTCATTTATATCAGAATACAGTAGTAACTCGCTACTTCATGGTTCGTTTATCGCAGACTAGCTCTATTGCGGTTTTTCAAAATAAGATTGGCCCTGCCACACAATTGGCATGGAATTTTTATTTAACATAAATTATTTTAAATTATTTAGTACCTGCTGCACCTTTGTGCAGCACATACTGCAGGATAAACTTCCTGCTGCAGCTGATCAGCTGTTCTCCGTGCAGAGCGAATAAGTGGGCGTGGCCAAGAGCACTTGAAGGTGGCAAAGAGCAGAGGAGGCAGGGAGCTGAAATCATGACATTCTGTGCTCTTTTAGAGCGTTAGAGTTTAGAAACATTGTTTAGAATATTGCAAGAGTGTGGGAAGAGTGTTAAAACACCTTTATATATAAATACTAAAATAAACTACTACTTACTACATGTACTTCGCGGTTTTCGCTTTATCGCGGGGCTTCAGGGTACGGATCCCCCGCAATAATTGAGGGACTGCTGTACTACAAAACAAACATTTCTGGAATCTAATTTGACTAAATTAAACTTAGAATTTGTGAAAACTAATATGTATCTTAAACACCTAGCATTGCTTGAAGGAATGCATATCGCCCGTCGCCTTTCATGCCAGAGCGTTAGACTGAGATTATCTGAAGATGAGAGGGGAAGGACTCAACTACTACCACACTGAATTTAAACTCAGTATCTATAAAAATAACTGAGTAGAAGCCATTTGGAATCAGGTTTACTCCAAGAGTTAATTAATTGTAGATGTGCACGCAGTGATTATTTCCTGAAAGTTTCATTAAAACCTGTCCAGTGGTTCATGAGATTTTTCGCTAACAGACAGCGTTAACACTGATGGTTAATGCCAGATTTTTAATTAAACTTGCTGCAGAGCTCAAAGTATGTGTCATGAATGACTATCGGCCAAATTTTAGCTCAAAACTTGTAATGAGTAAGTGAGTAATAGAGTATTTTTGTGCTGCCAAGAGTCTGCTGGATGCGGCGGCCATCTTCAACTGGGTTAACTCAGAAAGTCAGCCCGCTGTAGATTTATATCCAGTGATTATTTTGTGAGTTTTAATAAAATCCAACCGACGGTTCATCCATTTTGTCAACACAACAAGCAAAAATACTGTACGTGCAAGCCCAAACTTGGGCAGCAGGAGATAAATATTTTGTTCACGCCAACTGTTCCAGCAGCATTCAAACATTTGATTAACAAGCTATGATGACATTCATTTAAACTTAACCCTTCCAAGGAGTAAAGTATAACCAGACACTAACTTTTTGTATATTTTTCCAATCTTGATCACGATTCTCTTCGTTTCTACTTTGCTTCTATAAAAGCAGAAGAGGAACACTTTACTTTGTGGCTCCAACATAAGAATTGTTCTTTAAACTCAGTTAACCTTTCTTTTTATCCTCTGCAGGACATTATTTGGAGCAGAAAATGTTCATAGATCTTTGTAAAGTCAATACAGCTTCAACACACGAGCAAGTTCTCCTCACATTTCAAGCATCACCATAAAAAGCTCATTTATTCATTTTATTTTTTTTTTAGATTTACGCGAGACATTTGTTTGTGCTGAGCCACAATGTGAGTGCGGTACCTGTGCTGCAGCATCCTGAGAGAAGATGAAAGCGTTCACGTGAGATAAAGCCACCGTGTATAAGACAGGACACCAGGAGGACTTCAGGGTCCCCGTCACTAAGGAGCGAAAGTAAAGCCGAAGAAGAGGGAGGGAGTCTTCAGGCGGGGAGGTGAACCGCTCGATGGGGATGGACAGCTTCAGATGAAGAGACAGGACGCAGGTTAGAGGAGACAAGAACTGCTTCAAACTACTTTATGTTTAATTGATTACCTCCTCCAGGGTGACCCCCAGGGATCTTAGCATCCCTACGTGCTCTCCGAACACAGCCAGCTTCATGGTGGTGCTGTACCTCCTCTGCAAGGGCAAGAGCACCCAACAGCCAAACAGCTGGTCCCCAAAGGACACGGCCTCATACTGGGTCAACAGGGCTGTGTACAAATCCTGGAAGGAGGCGAGACCTGGAGGTGGTACATCCAGGTCTAACAAGTCCAGCTTGGACCCCCTGGAATAAAAAACGTTGGTTTAGCAGGAGCTTCTGGATTTATTTTAGATTCTGGTGTTGCCAGACCTGGTCAGAAGTCTGAACAGTCCCCAGGTTAGCTTTTGAACTGGTTTCTCCAGGAACAGGTCGCTTGAACACAGGAACACACAGGAGAGGCGGGCGAGCTTCGCCACAGGCGGGATCACCTAAAACAGCAAACGTTCAAATCGGCAGGTGTAATGTCAGCCAATAACATCTGGCAGATGTGCTAATCTCAGTCACAGCAACTCTGCCTTTAGTGTCATCAGAATGACTTCTGTACCGTCAGAGCATCCTCCCTCCAGACCTCCAGCATCAGCAGCCACTGCAGACAGTGAGTCGCCGCCTGCAGAGCTCCATGAGGAAGCTCCTCCACAGCCAGGCCTCCACCCGCAGACACCCCCGTTCGCTCGTACAGGCTGATGAGGGGCAGAAAAGGCCAGTCAGAGGGTACTGCGGGGCCGTTGAGTTCTGGAAGGAGATGGGAGCTGATCCACGGATTACGGCCCTGGAAAGCATCTCGGGATGTGAACACTGACTGCTCCAGATGGGCCAGGTAAGTGAGGAAGCAGCCCCGTATGGAGGGCAGCTGGGTGCAGGCTTCTCGCAGGAGAGCGCCCACAGTCTGGAGGGAGGGAGCGGTGTGGAGGTGTGGGCTCTCCTGAAGCTTGAGCTCCTCAAGCTCCACAGCCTCCGGTCCTCCACTGTGTCCCTCCCTGCAAATCACACAAACCAAACAGCAGCAGGTAGTTTGTTTGGACTTTCATCAACTGTTCGTCACACAGATAAGAGTTGTTTAAACACCCACAACTGGTTTAACCCAAAGTAATTAGCAGCAGCACAGACATTTTTCACAACGTCAAGGTTATTTTTTATTTTTTTTTCTACACATCTTCCTTATCGTAAACTACTGTCATGGATTTGGTCAGTTGGACTTTCAATGCAATTGATAAAAATGTTTCAACCAAGCGACAGGGTCCTGGAGAGCCCTCATGCCCTGCTGAGACACACACAGCAGGATACGTCATGGATCCATGGGGGGAATGGAAGTTGATGTGCCTTTCTGTATTGTCTCAGGAGGATGCCGAAGATGTTTATATAATTGGAATCATGATGGCAGGGTTTCTGCTTTTTGGCACCGACAGATTCTTATTTTATCGACTATTGAAGAAGACGGCGGCAGCAGTTTCGGCCATGGCAAAGCTGCCGAGCGTATGTGAAGGTTTGGTTTGTGCTTCGAGCACTCAAAATCAGCTGATTTACGAGCTCAGCCGTAAGATTGAAGTGATTTGTGAGAATTACAGACCACTTACGGTTTCTGGGACTCACCAGCATGTTGGTGACGGCCTTGGAGAAGGCTAATAAGAACTGTCTGTCTGTCTGTCTGTCTGTATGTATGTATGTATGGAAGTATGTATGTATGTATGTATGTATGTATGTATGTATAGATGGATGGATGGATGGATACAGCAATGTGACTACCTTAAGTTGCATCTGTAGGGTAATTAGGCTTAACAAAAGGTAATTTCACACACACAAAAAATACTCTAATCTGTGTTAATCTCAAAACAACAACAGTTCAGATGTCTGAAGACATGATTCATTTTACAGAAGCCCCCGCAGACCTTCAGATGTCCTGTTTGTCCTGAGCTGACAGCCCTCTGAGAGCCGTGTCTGCGTGTGTATCTACACACAGCGTGGGTAATCACAAAAGGTTTTCAGTTACACAATTTATCACCAAATGTGAACAGAGGCGCCAGAGACAAGAAGTCAAATCCCCCAAATTAGGTTTGAAAAACATCTGAGCAGCTCCTTCATGTGGGGGCTCTGAGGAGGTAATTAAGTTGAGCAAATAAATATTCCACATCCACACACCTGACTTTGTTTGTCCTTTTTACAGCCACTGGAGAAGAACAATAAAAACCTATTAAATCCATCACTGGTTGATAATTTATGAGGAACAAACGGTCGTGAATTTAATGGTGCTAAAAGTCGTTAAACGTTTATTGAAAATGTGCATTTTATTCATTTAAATTTTTCTAAGAAATTACATTTTAATATAAACTAATCAGAAGTCAAACCTATCAAGCTACAGGGACAAGACTTTAGACCCAAAGGCAGAATACTTTGTGTTAGCTTCTTGTGAAACTTTATCCTGGATTAACAGAAAATAAAATGTTATGCTTACGATATAAAGTCCTTGTTAAAGATAATGGTGGAGAGCAGTTCATGCGCCAGGTATTCACTGCCTGGCAGTAACCAGGGGAGGAGCACCAGCGCCACCTTGTGGTAAAGTGAAGAATATTTTGCTACTTCTGGCTCAACAGGAACCTGAGAAATATTAAAAAGCAAAATATAAGTTTAATAATACCTATCACAACATAAATTAGAAAAAAAATATACAACCTGAATGTTTTTGCTGCACAGATTGTTGGGAGTTGTAGTTTACATCAGACTCACCAGTCTTTGTGCGAGCCGGAGCAGCAGGTACAGGAGGAGGTGTTCGTGGCGAAGGAGCCAAGCCTGGCTGTGAGACAGAGTGGGTGTGGCCTGACTGCAGCGTTGCAGGTAACCAATCACAGGCTCCGACAGCAGGAGGTCAGCGAACTACAGATTAGAAGACAAGATCCGTCAAAATATTTAAAACTTTAAGGTTGTTCTCGTTGCTAGAAGTTGAAATTTCCCTGGACTCAGCCACTTTTCATTTGAGCGTGTCTTTTGGTATGACCTACCTTCCTACTGAGACCTTTATGGATCCCTGTGATCGTTTTCAAGAGGAGTCCCAATCCTATTAAAAGGGGGAAGGGGGAGCTGGAAACAACCAGCCCGGGACGATTCCTCCATCCTGAACAGGCTAAACCAGGAAGGTTGGGTGTCGTCTCCAGGCCCAGAGGACTAAACTGAACATTACACACCACTGAGGAAGACCTGGTGGAAAGAAATGTGTTATTGAAAGCACACATAGAAACATTTAGTTATTATTTTAAAAAAGCTTGAATGTGACCACATGAGAAGGGGGTCGAAGAAGAACAGCAGGGCCTGTGTGGATCACAGGTAAATCAAGTGTACCTGAGGTTATTTATCAGGCCTTGAACAACACTGTGACCCATGAGGGGAAGAAGAACCTCGGAGGTCAGAAGCTCCAGTTCTTGTAGAGTTTCCACCGGCTTAAAGGAGCTCTGTAGAAAAATGGCAATCGTAGAAACACGTGTTTCATAGATTGTTTTGTTTTATATTATTTGTATTTTATGTTGCAACCAAAAAGTAAAATGAGACTTTCTGAGATAACAGGAACTGAGATTTTAAACTTCAACGTTACATAAAGCACAACAGCACACAAACACGTGGGGTTAGAAATGGCACCTGTCTGGAGAGTTGATGGTAGAAGGTTTGTAAGTAAAGCAGATAAACGGGTATCAGAGCCAGGCTGTTGTCTTTCAGAGCTGGATTATCGAGGTTCTTAACGAAACCCTTCAAATGTCCCAACAAGGACGCCTGCAAACCAGTGACCTGACTCCAGGACACGGGGGGCGGAGGTGGGCATTCTTCTCCTCGAGCGCTGTGGTGAAAACAGAGCAAACGTGTAGAAACAGGAGAATCGAGCGAACAGTTCGTGTCGTCCCCTCTCGGTACCTGACCGCTCCAGCCTGAAGCTCCTGGTGGCAGCCGGCGGTGTGTGTAACTTGTGTGAGCAGAGAAAGCAGAGCTGACAGACGGTGGATCTGCAGAGACGGCAGAGGATCCGAGGACGGCTGAAGGCTGTGGACAGACTGCAGTGTCCTCACTAAGGCTGGATACAGGTCCCTGTGGGGGAAAACAGTGGCAAAATAAAAAACTGAATACTCAACTTAAGTTAAAAAGCACATTTATGACTTATAAACATGATAGTTTACTACCGTATTTTTCAGCCTGTAAGTCACAGTTTTTTGCATAATTAACATGCCCTGCGACTTATACGCTGAAGTGACATTTATGGATTATTTCCCCATATTTATAAACCAATTTTTGGCTGAAGATATGACCGTTTTCATTCATTCTGACAAGGAAAATATTGAACACTACCATTTTCAGCCGCTAGATGGCACTCGAGTTGTATGGCATGCTGTTGTGTCATGTAATAGGTAAAAAGTGGCTATTAATGACAAAATCGGTTTGCCACAGAGAGCCACGTTTGTCCATCTCCAGGATCATGCCTGGAGCAACCATCAAATAAGCTTCATTTCGCTGCGCCGCCCCGGCGAAATGCAGCTGATTTGACCATTGAAGTGCATTTATTAAGTAAAAGTTAAACTGAGACACACCTTTGCTATAATTTTGAGCAAACAAGCAATTGTTTTTAAGTGTTAATCTTGTTAAATTCTTGTTAAAGTCCTCCCGTGCACGCTCCCGCGGCCGCCATTTGGCAGCCTGGCACAGCACCGGCCACATTTCCAGGTTGTCAGCAGTGACGTCAGAGGTGACGTATAATAGATGCGACTTATACGGCGAAGCGACGCATTTATGGATTTTGTTACTTCAGTAGACATTTTTGGACTGATGCAACTTATACGGCGGAAAATATGACACGTATAATTGTCTCATATCAAGCACATTTTTCCTCTCAAATCACAAAGAACCACTATGATTCTATCAATTTGGTGTTAAATGAGAGGTTTGAGGTCTGTGGTAAGAAAAACAAAACTAATTCAAATCATGGAGTTTTATTTAGATTTTTATAGATGAGGATTCTGAACTGTACGTGGTAACTTACGTGTACAAGCTGCAGGCTTGACCGTAGCCGGCTGCTACAGTCCACAGCCTGTAGGCCTCTGTGGTGATCCCGAAGGCCTCGCTCTGCTCCAGCAGCAGCTCACTGGGCTCTGCACTCAGGAGGCACAACAACCGCTCCCTCACTCCCAGAGAGTTTAACTGGGAATGAAGAACAAGAATGAGTAAAGTACTCTACAGGACATTAAAGCATACTGCAACCTTAATCAGAGTTTACTCATATTTACATAAAACACATCAAGTCTGTACTTTTAATGAGGCATTACTAGATTATTTTTTGTTTGTTTTATAATGAAAATTTAATTCACAAAAACTGAATGCATAAAGGATGTTTACTCTGTTCAGTCTGTTTTCAAGCTAATATAGCCCACTTGAACCAGCAGAACTGTCAGAATTAAAAATAATTACCAATCTGGCACAGGCGTGTCTGCCAGTGGTAGCTATAACCCTTAACAGCTTCATGGCGCTGGTGAGTGTGTGTCCATAAACAGACTGAGGACTGAGAGACAATGACGACGTCCAGGAAGTGGGAAGGAACTCTGACATCACCGTCTGCATCAGTCGAGGACAGTCCAACACCTGGAAGCAGAATGCAGCAGATGATAAACCACAGATTCAATGAAAGAGACTGTAAATTTATCAAAGTGGACATCGTTACCTGCGTGGCGGATGACGAGGTGTGTCGAGCGATCCGCGTCAGAACCTGCAGGACGTCCTGAACGACTCGAGGCGCCGGTCGGATGACCTCAAGGATGTAACGCAGCCTGGGGAGGAGCTTCATCTTCAACAGACCCTGAAACACAGACTTGAGGTCAGCCTTCATCAGTGGTATGCCCATGTGCCCCGTCGCCGAGAGATTTCAATAGTGAATGTTTGCAGCTGTTGAGATGAGTGTTCTTCTGGACTGGAATTGAACAAAGAATCCAAGTAAAGCTTCATGTTTTTGGCATGAGATTATCAAGTGGATACAAGTTACACTGTGTATAATAGTTTATTTTTCTTGTTCAAGGCACCGCAGACTTGTGAATCCTGGAGAACAATATTTTCCACCACCAGGTGCAATGGGGGAGCCAGGGGGTTGTGGCCACCATAGATTAATCCTTGGCCACCCCACTCTTTTGAGGAAACTATACTTTTAAGTAATATAAAAACTAGAAAACGTAGTTTCCTTAAATAATGGGGGTGGCCGGTTTACATATATAAATGGTGGTGGCCATCTTGGATTTTTATGTGGCAACCCATCCATTCATCCATCCATTATCTTTACCAACTTTTTCCTTTCGATAGACATTTCTTACACCTAAATGCAGCCACACACCAAAATAGAAGCCAGTATGTCACTTATTTTTCAAGCTATCAGCTCACAAGATGGACAAATGGACGGAGAATATTTCCAGTTCCCCTCTTCAGTCCACATCAGGGACAACAATAACGAGGTGAAAACAGAACGTTAAGCACCACTTTTGTTTTACCTTAACAACATCCTGCCTGCTGACATCATAATCACTTTTCTTCTCTTCCTTTTCCTTGGCCGTCTCCTTCATGAGTTCATCCAGCCCTTCATCATCATCGTCTTCCTCCTCTTGAGAAGATGGCTGCATAGGGAAAGACGCCATGCCACGAAACCAGGAGAAGGTGCAGTCCAAACACTCCTGAAATGAACCCAGGACACCCAGAGCTCTGTTGTCACATGCAGCTAACAAAGTCTGCAATAATCCTCCTGATTAACTTAACATTAATGTCTAAACTTATTATTTTTACTACTAGAAGAAACTAAAAGTATAAATCTGAGGGCCATATTTTTCATTAATTAATGTTATTAAACCTAAATGTAATATTCAGTGTGAACTCACTTCATCCTCAGCACACACAAGGAGTGCTTTAAGCGCATGCACAGCTGCAGACATCACTCCTTCCACATTATCATCCAGAGCGAAGCGGAGCAGGAAGAGCAGGCCGGCGTCGAGCAGGGTGGAGATAACGCTGCCTTTCAGAACCGACAGGTAGGTTCCAGCTCGTGCCTGCCAGGGGATAAAACACAGTCACCTAACTGACTGTCTGCATGCGTCTTTGTGCGTGCGTGTGTTAAATTACATGCGTGTACCTTGGAGAGGATGTTGGCGAGCGTGCCAAGAGCCAAACTCCTCTGCTGGATAAGTTGACTCCGAGACAGCAGGAAGAGTTCCTGCAGGGAGTAACCTGCTCTCTGCAGAAACATCATCAGGTTTAACGATGATTAAAAAAATAATCTCACAATATTTTCTTTTAAATTGGTGAAACTTTATCTTGTTTAATCTGAGATGTTGGCAAATTTGGAAAAGTAGTTTCTATCCAACGACACAAACACAAACAGTTGAAGAACTTTTTATTTTCTCGAGGAAAACTACAGACCTCAGGCTCCTCTCCGTGGTGGTGCAGCCCTAAATGGGTTGGCAGGTCCTCGGTTGGTGGAATTAAGGTCCCTGCAAAGTCGAACCGAGCCTGCATGGCCTTTTAGGACAAACCAAATGATGTGCTGATCACTAAATCAAACATTTAAATTCAAGACAACACATATATGAGCTGAAATCAGGCCTCACCCTCTTGGTTCCTTTTTTTCTGGGTGAAGGCAAGTCTCTCATCCACTCCAGCTTCTCCAGCTCCAGCTTGTCCATGTGGACCCAGTCTTTCTGGGGCTTCACAGGAAGATCCTCCACTGAATTCACATCTATGAGACACAACGAGACAAATCATCCTGAAACACCACTGCAGGTTTGTTTACAACACAAACATAATTTGAGGCACTTCTCAGCTAATTAGATTCAATACTAAACATAAAAAAAGAGCTTGTTGTGCAAAAAAAGGAGGATTGAAGAAATAATATATGTTCAAGGGTGAATAAAACCACAAGCAACGAACATACCGCTTACTGCTGCTGCTGGTGGTTCCTCTTCTTCCTCCATCTCCGCCTCCTGTGGTGTCGGAAATGAAACTGCAGCCTTGGAGGAGTCTCTGCTGTCTGCAGCTTCAAGAGGAGGATCTTCCTGATTGCTTCCCTCTGCGGAGTGCGTGGACGGGGATCCAGAGGACGGAGCGCTCTGAGCTTTACGAGATCTAATAAACTCCACCAGTCTGGGATCTGGAAAGCAGAAAGGAAGAAAAAAAACACCATTAACAGAAATACAAGAAAACTGAAGGCGTTTTAATTTTCTGACCACGTCTCTGCTTACCAAGTTGAGACAAGAGCTTTCTTTGCTCCTGTTGTATCTCAGCCTGGGACATCGCTTGGAGCTTGACCTGATTCTCCAAGTGGATCCTCATGGTGTCTCCTGAGCCATCTGGACCTTGAAGCCCCTCACCTGAAACCAACCTGGGACCTGAGACTAGAGGTGGTTTTAGTGAACAAAAATGACAGGAATAAAGAGACATTTTGACAGTTTTCTCTTCTCTTATATTTCTTACAAACTTGATTCTTACCAGAATGAGCTTCAGGAGAGAGGCTCTGCTTTTTGGCTTCAAGTGTCTGAGGAGATTCAGAGGAACAGGGTAAAACCGTCTTTCCCTCCTTTAGTCTCTGGGCAGCAATCTGACGAGCAAAAATGCTTTTCTTTCCTTTAACTGATGACGGTGGTGCCTGAAGGTCAGAACCAAATAAACAGAATCTTTTAGACAATGAGACAAAAATGACTGACCAGTCAGGGATGTGCACATCCTTTGTAATGTACAGTGGATTTTTGTCGTCTTCTATTTTTCCACAGTTTTTTATACTTAAAGGCTGATTTGAACTCTTCCCCTGAATGTACCAGCCTGCAAGACTACCAACATTCTGACTACACAAGCGTTCGTTTCCAAAGCAAATACGAGTTCGTCCTCAACCCTGCACCCAGTTTCTTTTCTTTTTGACAGATGAATTAATAACCTCGTCTCCCATGACTTGAAACTGAAGTACAATAGGATTCGTGGATGTTTTTGTGCTCACCGTAATGAACTGACACAAACTTTTTACTCCACAAGAGAAGATTTGTTGAGGACTAGATGCATTTTCTAACTTATTTATTATTTGGAGGTTTGGAAAATGTACTGTAACAATTTTACATCCTTATAAATATTCTTACTATATTAAATTCAAAGTACTAAAATAAATACATACATAAAAATAGTTTAAAAAAATACCTGAAATGTTTACATTGGATTAAAAACAAAACACTAAAATGGTATGTGTTTTAAAGACAGGGTAATGAATAAATAATACGTTTTTTCCTTTTTCTTTTCTGTTTTTTACCTGACTGCTGGTTTCTGAACGGTGCAGAACTTTGGGGAAAGCCAGGCCTGTAAACGCAGGCAGAGATATGGGAGCACAGCTGGTATCTCTCTCCTTAAAGCAAAAAAGGATAATGTTACTATCCCCTCAAAAAAAAACTGTAATAAAAATATAAACCAAAACAAAATAAGTTTTATTATTACACAATGTGCACAAGTTTATATTTAAACATCTTTCAGATCCTTCTCCACACCATTCAGCGATGTGATTTGACCGAGAACGCTTACAACGATCCTGGAGAGGACCGCACTGATGTGAGAATCCTGTTTGTCCAGCCGGTCTTCAGCATCTTCATCCTCAAAGGTGACACGACTGGCTTTAAAGCGGGACTTCTTAGCAGGGGCTGGCGTCAGAGAGGGCAGTTCATCTGGGAGATCTGCATCAAACACAAGAGCAAAATAAATCATAGCTGGCAGAACACACACATCTTTAAATATCTGTGTCTCCAAAGCACAACTCATTTGTAACCTTCTATGGTGACCACATCCTTCTGATTCCCTTCATTTTCCCCATTCTGTCCTCCTCCTCCTCTCCTCTTGTCAGGACGGCGGAGCACACTGGCAGCAGATGGAGCACCAGAAGTCAGAAAGTGCTCCTGCTCCTTCAGGAGGTCCTCCTCGGAGTCAGTGGGTTTTGGACGCCGCAGCATCCCTCTAAACACAGTAATGAAGACAAGAGAGATATGTCTTTTGTGTTTCCAAGAATTTACGAATCACCTGATCATGAGTAATTAAACCACAACACACTGATTGATGGGTTGAACAATGTGGATGACTCAAGGAGGGCCCACACAGGTGAATGTTTGGCCCCTGTTTGTTTACGTGTGAAAACTGGTTCTTTAAACCTGAAATGATTTAAGATTATAGTACATAGTCGTATAAGATTATAATCTTACATTATATTTTGATTTCACGTTTTTGTGTGGTTAACGCTAACACTAACGAGCACTGTCTCATAGTAAGACAAAAAATACTCATTTCAACTGAGAAGTGCTTTATCGTTTTCACGTGTAGTTTAGTTTACTTCGGCACGCGCAGTAAATGTTAGCCGACGGCTAGCTTAAAATATCAAAACGCATTCAGTTTAGGGTCAAATATTACAAAACATTAGTAAACAGAATCTCGTAAAATTATCTTAATGTTGTTCACAGTAGTTATTAATGTTAGCTTACCTTGTTTTTTTATTGACTCCTTCAGGAACCTCCACACGGGTCTGCAGTTCACACGGAGCGTGTTTATTGTTGCACAAAAAACACTTCCTTCAAAATAAAAGCAAATCGGAGATCTGCGTTTCTTATTTTTGCAGCTATTTAATTAATTTCTGACACGTATTCATCAATTAGAAGGCTTTGTAACTAATAAAACGTGGATAAAATTTACCCGAGTTAATTAAATCCACGGACAAACAGGATCCTCGCTTTATTTTATTTACTTCCGGTCTACATCCGGAACAGAAGTTTGTTTCGTTATGTCCAAATTCAATCCAGTAGTTTGGCCTAAAGTTGTTTTATTTGGTGACTCCATCACACAGGTTGGTTCCGACATTAAACCCGTTCAGTTGTATCCTTCATTTTATCTTCCTTGCTCTTAATTAGCTTCAGCCGCAGACCTGCCATCCTAACATTAAAGTGTTTCTTTCAGTTTTCTTTTCAGCCCAATGGATGGGGAGCAGACATTGCCAACAAGCTTGCAAGGTGAATAATTACCCTTTATTCTTTCTTATTTAGGTTTAGCCAAAAAAAAAAAAAAATCATAAGGATTATTTTGTGTTAATTAATTAACTCTAAATATATTTCAAATACCCTATTTGCATTTAAACCCTGGACTTTTCATATTATCTACAATTTCAACATTAATCATTTCTAGTGTCTTAATTACTTTAACTTATATTTCATATTTTATCATAACTACTTTTGCCTTCTATAACTTTAAATACAGGATATATTATGCAATTTTAAATGGCTCAATCATTTTTTTTATTTTAAATTGTTGCCTTTTGAGTTTTTTCTTCAATTTACCACTTACAAACTGCATTTTTGAGCCTCTTATTTTTTTTAATGTAAATTTGACCCACTTGATTTAATTAAAAAAAAAAAAAAAAAAAACTCCCACTGCTGTTAGTTTAGCTTTCTGCACATCTGTCTTTGATGGACCTGTGACTCTGAGCTTTACATCCCCATCAGAAAATGTGATGTTGTAAACAGAGGGCTGTCTGGCTACAACAGCAGATGGGCCAAGATCGTTCTTCCTCGCCTCATTAGCAGCCAGAACCCATCAGACGCGCACGTCTCTGCTGTCACAGTTTTCTTTGGAGCCAACGACTCTGCACTGGAAGGTACAGCCTTGCTCGAGAAGCAGATTTAGCATTAGTCAGGGTGTGTATTTTCTTGCAAAGTCAGCGAGATTCCAACGATCTTGTTTTTAAAGTATCCCACATTATTTTGTTACCCTGTTAAAAGTGAGGACTACATCTGTAATAACAGTAGTTTAGTCAAGTTCAAGGTTCTTTATTGTCATTCGCATCGCATGTGGTACATGAGGTGGAACGAAATTGTGTACTCAAGTTCCCAGTTACACCCAAAAATATAAATAATAAAAAGAAACAGTATATAAGGATCTAAAATATACACTAAACAATAATAATGTCTAATAATAATAGTCCTAATATGTTATTATTATCTGGATGCACGGCACCAATTAACTGTATTAGATATGAATGCACTTTTGCAGAGCTGGAAAAGACTCGAACTTAGAAAAACTGTCACTAATAACTCTCTTTTCCTTCTTCAGATAAGAACCCGCAGCAGTATGTCCCTCTACAGGAGTATTCAGAAAACCTGAAGGACATCAGCAAGTTTCTGACCTCAGCTGGTGTGTCGGCAGACAAAGTTATCTTCATCACTCCTCCTCCTCTTCATGAGCCAGCCTGGGAGCAAGAGTGTATTCTCAAAGGTAATCCTGCCAGGCCGTCGTTTTATTTGATCCCTTATTCTTCCTCAGCTGTCCCGCAAAGAACATGAGCACCTCCTCGTCGTCTCTTCCAGGATGTCCTCTCAATCGCCACAACTCGGTTACGGGACAGTACGCTCAGGCTTGTGTCCAGGCAGCCGGTCAGTGCGGTTCAGACGTTCTAGATCTCTGGACACTCATGCAGAAAGACGGACAAGTGAGTGCACGAGCCTTTGACATGTTGAAGTCAAAGAACTGCCCTCTGAAAACAAATCTTCCGTTTCTACAAGCATCTTGTTCTTTTTATCGATTCTTCAGGATTATACAGTCTACCTGTCTGATGGGCTGCACCTGTCGGAGAAAGGAAACCAGTTTGTGTCCCAGCAACTGTGGACTTTACTAGAAACTCGCCTGGCTCACCTGCCCTTCATCCTGCCTTACTGGGGAGATGTGGATGCAAAGAGCCCAGAAAGCAGCCTCCTTTGCAACCAGTGAGGGGAAAAAATGCTGCTTTAGATCAATGGAGGACTAAACTCATTCCACAGCTGAGATAATGAAGCGTTAAAACATGTACAATAAAGATATTTTTTATTGGAGATGGTTTTGAATGCAAGCAAAGAACATTAAAAACTTTACAAGACAGTTATAATATACATATAGTCTGGTATAAAATTTAACTTCTGCTTATCTTGACCTACAAGAAGAAGTGTTTTACAGTGTTGACGTGTGACGAAGCAGGTAACAGTGGTGAGACAATGATGTGCGGAGCTCACATTGGCACTAGAGTACAAAAACCAAACCAATATCCGAGCACCTGAGGGGGCGACGAGATCGAATTCAGAATGTCATGAAAGGCAGGGAAGTTTCTGCTGCGCATGAATAAGTCACAATAGAACAAACGCCACAAAAAGCACATGTGTCAACAATCCCATTTCAGAAAACTCATGTTCATCCAACTTTCAGTTTCATATTAAAGTAAAAAAAGATACTAAAACTAGTCCTTGTACATTACAGTGTACACACACAACCCCATCAATACACTCAAATTATGTGTACAAAGAGTGATGTTAAAAAAAATCTAAGTGCATTTAGAAGCATTGAGACAGATCTGTCCATTTTAGTGTGAATTCAAGAAGCTCCACTGAAATGTTTCCTCGCTTGTAACAAAATCAGCTGTAAATGGAACCAGTTTGGTGAACAAGGATTTAGTGCGTGTGCTAAAATGAGACTTTTCCTGGTGATCCAAAATCAAAGCCTACTGCTAAACAATATATTCTTTATATACAGCCGGGTGCTTCAGGATCAGTGTAGCTCATTTTTTAAATATTTTACTTCTGAAAAGCCTTTTCAGAAACTCAAGTCAAAGTGTTTGAATCATAAAAGCTGCGCTACGAGGAAAGCCCGTTATCCTCGTAGATTCCTCAGCCTACAACTAAAAAGGCACAAAGATGTGAACTCACAGTAATATTCAACTTAGAGGTGACTGAAATAAAACCACATTTCACAACCTGAACTCTGACCCACACAATCTGCTGCTGCCTGTGGAGCCAACACTAAAGTCATGTAGCTTTAAATATTTAGGACGCGTTTGTTCTTCCTCCACCTGTTTCCTCTCAGCAGTCAGTCTCTTTAGTGTCAATGCGGTCCTGCCTCATGAGGCGGCGCCGGTCCCTGGCTGCTGGGTTCAGTTCTGTCAGATCCCCGAAGGAGGATTTCGTAGCCGACGAGGAGGCTCCTGCGGTTGTGAAACCGTCCTCTGCCAGATGAGAGTCGCTGCTGGTGTCCTCCGGGATGGTGTCCATCCGCAGGGCTCCGGCGCTGTCCGGGTTGCCGTCGCAGCTCGGGTCGGGGTCCTGGGCACTGCTGGCCGCGGGAGGGGCCCAAACCTGGCTTGGCTGCGGCGGAGACTGGGAAGAGGGCGCGGTCCGGCCGGCGGAGGAGGAGGAGTGAAGTGGAGGAAGCTTGACGATGCGCACGGGCGTTAACTCGAAGTTGTTCAGCTTGTCTTGACTCTGGAAAGTGAAAATGACAAGTGAGGAGAGGGCCCATCAGAGCTTTCTGCCTCTTGACTGAGGAGGGAGCCATTCCTTTTTTACTCCATTCTGTTCATGTCAGACACATCTCTGAACTTCATACGTAACCAATAAATAATTATTTAGTTATTATATATTTCTACCATCTGTAAGATTCCACGAAATTCTATCTTCATCCCCAAGCCTAACCTGATGTGAAGACTGGAACGAGTAAAGCAAACCTTTCTGCCGGGACATTTAGAGTTGTCAGAACACAGGAGGATCATGGTGGTTGAAGTTATTCTAAGGACACCAGGACTCTGGTGTTAGCACATCTAAAAAGAAATCAGTCACCAGTAATTCTGTCATTTTGCACCTGAGCTTATCCCGTCCTGGCAAGTCAAAATGTCGGCTCAGGGAAAGGTCTGCAGAGGAATGCACCCTCAGTCTCAACATTTTTCCCATCGAGCCCAAAAACTGGACTTGACTCAGTACAGATGATCGTAATAAGATGGATAAAAATAAAAAAACAGCCACCTGCAGAACATTTTTCCTTGTGATGTTAACGGCACTGTGCAAACTTAAAATAGACGTACTCCATCTGATTTCACACAAAAAAAAAAAAAAAAACTAAATAAATAAAAAACAACTTAAACCCTTTTGCTGTTTTGAATACTCCTAAAATGCAATCTTGCTTCCTTGAGGTAATTTCTGATCAGACGAGGCTACGCATCTGTGCCCAAGAACACAGCCTTCCTTCCTCTCTTTGCCCGTCTGAAGAAGAGTTGTGCAGCTCGATCAGCGATTACGACAAAGAGAGTGACTGCAGGAGTATCCCAAACCGGGGGGGGCACCATGCTCAATGGTAAGACATCTCAACATCAGGCCGTGGCACAAACACACTCACCTATGGCGGGAGCTCTATTACAAACCTCCACCATCTGCTGCAGTTCCAGGGCAAAGAGTGATGGACAAATGATTGAGACCCCGACAGTGACAGAACGGCAAAAACAAACTCTGACCCCCTGCCTCAAATATTCTCTGAATTAGTTTTGACCCTGTGGGACAATTTAACACCAGATTAAAGAGGAGTTTGACAATCTCATGTCCTTATTCAAAGAAACGTTTCATGTATTAACAAGCGCTACTGGGATTCGATTTGATTCAAAGGGGTTAGAAACACAAACCAACTAGGGGATAATTTGCTAATAATAATAATCAATATGGCATTTTAAAATGGCATTAAAGAATGAAACTTTCCCTCAGATTTGAATCCATAAAAACTGTCCAACTATAGAGCGTCCAGAAAGTTTTCACAGCACTTCACTTTTTCCACATTTTATGTTACCGCCTTAATTTAAATTGTATTAAATTAATATTTCCTCAAAACTCTACACACAGTACCTCATTATGACAATGTGAAAAAAAGATTAGATTTCTTAAAAATGTATTAAAAATAGAAAACTAAGAAACCACATTTAAGTATTCACAGCGTTTGCCATGAAGCTCCAAACTGAGCTCACGCGTTCCGTTTCCACTAATCCTCCTTGAGATGTTTCTTCAACTTAATTGGAGTCCACCTGTGATCAATTCAGTTGATTGGACTTGACTTGGAAATACACACGCCTGTCTATAGAAGGTCCCACAGTGCATGTCGGAGCGCAAACACCAAGCATGAAGTCAAAGGTCTGTAGACCTCAGAGACAGGGTTGTGTGGAGGCACAAATCTGAAGGTCCTAATGAGCTCAGTGACCGTCATTTGAAAATGGAAGAAGTTTGGAACCACCAGGACTCTTCCTAGAGCTGGCCGGCTGTCTAAACTGAGCAATCGAGGAAGAAGGGTCTTATTAGTCAGGGAGGTGACCAAGAACCCAATGGTTACTCTGTCAGAGCTCCAGTGTTCCTCTGAAGAGAGGAGAACCTTCCAAAAGGACAATCATCTCAGCAGAATTTTGTTTCTCATGGTCCAAGTCCTTCAGGTGCCTCTTGGTAAACTCCAGCTGGGCTGCCATGTTGCCTTTTATGAAAGAGTGGCTTTCATCTGACCACTCTACCATACAGGTCTGATTAGTGGATTGCTGCAGAGATGATTGTCCTTCTGGAAGGTTCTCCTCTCTCCACAGAGGAACACTGGAGCTCTGACAGAGTGACCATCGGGTTCTTGGTCACCTCCCTAACTAAGGCCCTTCTTCCCAGATTGCTCAGTTTAGATGAGCAGTCAGCTCTAGAAAGAGTCCTGGTGGTTCCAAACTTCTTCCATTTACAAATGATGGAGGTCACTGGGACCTTCAGAGCAGCAGAGTTTGCTGCATGCTTCCCCAGATTCATGCCTCCACACAACCCTGTCTCTGAGGTCTACAGACCTTTGACTTCATGCTTGGTGTTTGTGCTCAGACATGCACTGTAGGACCTTCTATAGACAGGTGTGTGTCTTTCAAATCAAGTCCAATCAACTGAATTGACCACAGGTGGACTCCATTTAAGTTGTAGAAACATCTCAAGGATGATCAGTGGAAACAGCATCTGAGCTCAATTTGGAGCTTCATGGCAAAGGCTGTGAATACTTATGTAAATGTGATTAGTTTTCTATTTTTTAATTAATTTGCAAAAATCTCAATCTTTATTCACATCGTCATAATGAGTTATTGTGTGTAGAGTTTTGAGGAAAGATTAATAAAATTTGGAATAAGGTTGTGTAAAATGACAAAACGTGGACACAATTCTGGATGCATTGTATATGAAAAGATATAAATAATTTCATGTTTTTAGAGTCTTACAAACATAAAAACAAACCCTATAAAAAAGTCAAATAATTGGCAAAGCCCTGTCATATGCATACTTTAGTTTTTATATTTTCAGGCCTTGTTTTAAATACTGATAAAGTCAAGTATGCATTTTTCTACTGAGCAGGATGTTTATTGTGCACAACAATCAACAGTACCCCTTCATGCACTTTTGGTTTCCCTGCCCATTAAAGATTCACGAGGTCAGAGCAAACGTGGGGTTTAATTAGTCTGGTTTGTGTGGCAGCAAGGCTTGTGCACTGGATAGGACCACATCACTTAAAGAACTTACACTCTGAGGGGGGCATAAGTACTTTGCACTCTCTTCATACTGCTGGTCAAGACGTTTGTCCTTCAGAGGGAAACAAGAAATGCAGCACTGTTAGCGCTTCAAGTCAAATGGTTAAAAATTAAAAGATATCTCGTTCTTTATTCACATTATTAACACCGACAAAGAGCAAAGACAGCAAAGATCAGCAGAAATGATTGAAATATTCTTACCACATAGTGAACCACGAAGCCGAGAGGAATCCAAACGATGAGAGAAAACACCACGACTGAGCCCACGATGTTATCAGCCAAGAACTTCCCTGATGTGGACAAGAAGATGGCACAGACAAACAGAACTAAGTCAACGAGCACAGATTCAGGTTAGAATCTCACTAGGCTTCCCTCTCTGCTTTAATTAGCTTTCATGCTACAAACTTACTAAACGTGTTGATGTCCAGTTTGTCGATAAAATCCCACAGCCTCTCAATAACATCCTGAACCTGCTTCATGCATTTGCCCTGTTTGAACGAAGAACAGAATAAACGTTAAACATTCACGCATTTTGAAAACGAATGCAAAGATTTGCGGACTCACGTTTCCGTCACAGAAGCCCACTGTGCAGGGTTTGCCTTTGCGAAGGTAAAGGAAGCCGGTGGTCTGGTTAAAAGGGGAGCAGGTGCCATCTTTTCCCCTGCAGCAAACTTTGCAGGAATCATTTGTCTCTGCAAGAAGCCAAAGAATATTTAAAATTCACTTTTAATGGAGGTAAGCTAGGCAGCACAATTTAACCTCACTTTTCCGAGTCGGACGATTAAACTTTGTTTTGTGTAATAGAACAATCAGAAGCAACACAGATTGGATGAAAATGCTCAGCTGTTCTTTGCCAGCTACAGCTGCAAACTCTCCACTCCTCCTGTAAGGGTGCTCATTACCGTTGCACGCGCAGGACCTTAAGTTCTGCATGGCCTCACAGAAGGGGTTACACTCTCCTTTATGGCAGCGGCCGTTGTCAACACAAATCGTGTTATCAGCAGCGTTTTCAGGAGGAGGGCACTGACTGCTGTTGCCTGTGAGTTGAGGAAAAGGAAAATATACTTCATTATTTTTGATTTTTGCAAGCATAAAGTAAATTCCTTGGTAACACAGAGGCTGTTGGAGATCATGTGCAGGAGCTTACCTGTGCAGGAAGATTTGCCTTTACAGGTGGCACTAATGGGCTCCTGGCATCTTGTGCCAGCCTGCATAAACTGACAGCTCTTACAGCACGGGCTGTTTCTGTCACTGTGGGAACACAAGTTAATCCACTGCCTGAGTATCTGTTTCCTTGGATTTGATAAGCAAATAAATTTCATTTGACTTTTATGTAACTTACCTGCAGTTAGCGCCTTTTTTGAACTTGCAGTCTGCAGTGCAGCAGTTGTCATCATTGAGGTGGAGTAACCCGGGGTCGCATTCTTCCCCGGCCTCCACCCTGGAGTTTCCACAGACTTTACTGTTCCTCTCCTTGAAGCAGATCGAAGCCTTGAGACGCAACGTTTTGCCGATGGATATCTTACTGCATGTGGAGAAGTGCTTCGGGAGGGAAGAGAAGCAAATAAACAGGGGAGACATCTTAACTGTAATGGTTTGCTGTACAAATATATAATGGTACAAGATGAAACCCTGTCTTGAACCCAAACAACTAATTAATTAAAAATATATATATATAAATCCAGAATACATATTTGCAATGGAACAAATAAGCCCTGTGAAATGCAGAACTGAAAGTCTCAGACTCATGACAATACGTTGGTTTTCATACTGGTGTGCTAACACTGATTATGTCAAACACACAACAGCAGCAGAATCTGGAAACAACTGAAATTATTCCTGTTATAGAGCTGCTGAAGTTTGATAGGACTACCTTAGCAGCATAGTGATCTTGGTGAATAAGCTTTTTTTATTTGTAGTTTCCTTGAGAATGTCATTTCAAAGCTAAGAAGCCTCCCCCACTTCACAAACCATCAACTGATAAGTTACAAAAAAAAAATAATAATAATAAATTATATATATATATAAATACATTTTCACAATGTGTCCCATTCCTCTTAAGAGCTGATCACATGTCCCTAAAAACACAGCTGCACTTCTTGTCAGTCTGGTAATGTGGCTGCACCAGTTCAGACTTGCTCTTTCTTGGCTTACTCTATGTGATCGTAGTTCAATCTAGTCAGACCACTCATGCAAAATGTAACAGAAGGACGCCAGAGGCGTTAAACAAAGATGACACCGAAAACAACGTCACCGCCAAATTCGTAGAAAGCAACGAATTTCTGGGAAAAAAACTAAACAAAACGCTCCACAGCAAGAACTGGAATACAACCCAGGTTTGATGCTTCTTCTCTGTTAAAAGTGGTCAAGCAAAAGACAAAAATAATCTCAGTGGTTAAACAACATCAAGTCATAAGCATATGGGCTGTCAGGGTCAATGATGGAGGAGGGACATCACATTTCTGTGCGTCACATTTCACAGGAACAACTGTGACTCAACAGTAAAGGATTTCTGCAACAACTCAAACACATTTTCTCTATGTTGTATCTTTGATCGCATAGACTGTTTCAACCACACATACAGTATTACCACAGATGAAGAGCAATGTGTTGAACTGGGTACCTTGTTGTTAGCATGGTCTCCGCTAACAGCAATGGGGTACATGACAAATTTCCCCCCGTCGTCATCACTGGGAGCACAGGAAGCGATGTTATCAGGATCGTGTTCTGCTCCAAAGTTATGACCCAGCTCGTGAGTCGTCACCAAATCTGCTTCCTGTGGAGCCACAAGCCCATCACGTTTAACTATAGTGGAGCTAACAGCCAAAAGTGAGTTAGTTTAGAAAAGTCTTTATGTTTTCTGATCATAATAAAAACAAAATAATGAACTGATGATAAAATGTTATACATTTCCACTAAATTAAATCCATTCAAAGTTAGAGATGCTTCAGAAAGTCCTGATTAGTCATCTCTAAGTGTTAGCAATGTGGCAGACATTAAAAGGAATTTAAAACGACAGAACAAGCTAGCATCAGTCCGCAACACCCACACAGAAGATGCATCTGCTCCACTCAGAGGATCAACTTGGCTAAATGTCCGGTTGCATAACATCTCGGTTAAAATCTAGTGCACAAACCTTAGTGAGTATAGTTTTGCCATAGTTCTTGGTGCTGGTCAGACCTGTGTTGAGGTAACTGGGTTTCTTGGCAGAGTGAGATGGGTAGTAGGCTACAACGTGACAAAAATTAACAGAATTATCTCGGATTGTTTGGGATTTTGAAAGCAGCGCTGAAGTATTTGAATTATTTTTAAATTCTTCCACTCTAAATGATTAGCCAATAGATTTACTTCGATAAGTAAAATCTACAGCCTTCAACACCACAACAACTTTCTATATGGGATTTATTTTAATAATCTATCATCATAGAATATGTTAGGTGTTATAAGAAAATCTATCATCATATGTCCATGCATTATTTGATGGTTAGCAGATCAAAGCAGGCCTTTTGATGGTGAGGGGTGCATCTTACGTTCTGAGCAGAGGCCACCCAATGGGTGAGGTCTGGATGGGGCGACGTAGGCCAGCCCCAGGGTACCCTGATCAAAATCCTGGTATGTGAAGAGGTGGGCCAGGCACACAGAGGAGGCATTGTCTGCGATGTCTGAGCTGAATTGCTGTAAGACGTGAGGAGAACGGACTGTTAAGATGTCTTTACGTTCAAACTGATACGCTGATAAACAGTAACGAGTCGCGTTACCTCCAAGAGTTTCTTGACATCCCAGACATCCTTTCCTTCAACGGGGCTATCCTTCATATTATAGTGAACCCAGCTTTTGTCGTCAGAACCATAGGGACTCTTTGTCGGCTCTTTATTAATAATAATCTGATGAGAACAAACAAAAACAACATTTAGAGCAATTCGAGCGTGGCTGCTGCAAGGTCTAAATAATCAATAAGAAAGCAATGCTGCAACTCTGTCTGCTGGTTCATAACTTACACATTTGAAGAAAAAAAAATTCTTAAGATGCAAATGACAAACACAGCTCCTACAGATCACACACCGCTGCTTGTTAAAACCAGCCGAACTCTGAGCTATAGCAGCAGTTTTTGCAAGGAAGACAGAACAGCCATTCATTCTGGGATTTATATTGTAGATCAATGCAACAGTGCAAATTCTTCTTTACATTTTTAGTAAATATAAATAAATATGTAATAACCTATGTGTTTTTATAAAGCCCTTTTTAACTAATCAATTTACCCCATCAGACATAAACAACAAGCTGACAGTTCTTCCTAAAAAAAAGAGCTATTTACAGACTGGCTGAAGCACTGTGTTATTTTCAACCTTGTTTCCGGGAGTGGTGCTGAATAAAGTGACGCCATTAATCAGCTGAGAGCACTAAAGTTTGAAGTCGCAGCTCAACACAAAAGGGTTCAGGAGAAAAGGAGCACTCCGTGCCAGCTGCACACCTGCTGGATCTGCACCCCGTAGCCTTTAAACTCATCGTCCCAGGTGGTGTTTCTGTAGATGTCGTCAACTCGATCAATCAGCTCGATCTGTTTCAAAATACGATGTTTAGAACACCTACATATGATGCAGAGATACTGTACATGCCAATACAGATGAACAAAAACAGATTTATCAAAGCTAGTAACATAAAGGTTACTCAGCAGTCCTACAGAAGATGATCTGAATGCAGCATTATTGTATCAGACCAGGTAGTTGAGAGTGACGCTCTCCTGTCCGCGGCCCATGTGTTCGTAGAAGCGATAGTCTGCAACTAGCAGCAGGGTGCACGTATTCTTCTTATGGTCATGGACTTGTCTTTTCTCTCTGTGTTGGCTTTCTGCAAGAAAAAACAGGAGGGGCAGTGAGGAGATTGGAAAGGTCAGATTTATACTATAGTGCAGACGTCACTAATTGGCGGATCCGGACCGAGTGATGGCTCTGTCTGGACCCGACAGAACATCGGACCAGGCTACCGCTTTGCTTGCTGCGTCACGCTGCTGCTCGCTGTGGCTGTGCTCCGACTCTGCTGTTGTTGCTAAACAACTTGGGCGAGATCTACAGTCAGCGACACTTGAAACTACTCAATCATCTACTCGACGGTGAGTTGTCTTTTTGTTTTAAAATCCTGTTGGGCGTGTCAGTAGCTGCGTTAACGCCGCAGCAACAATCACAGCGCTTACAATGCAAGACTCCATAGAGCTAACGGCTAACTTGGCTAGTGTTTTACCCTCGTCAATATGATCTTCCCAACCATTAATATGCTAATAAAGTTACTCAATAAGTAAGCCGAATAAAAGGCCATACCTTTAGTAATTAGAGCCACTTTGTTGTTTTCTGTTTTCTAAAGATGTGAACTTTTTTTACTTCAAGTGTAAGCCTTCAATTCTTGGACCTCTTCAGTTTAAGAGAAAAAGGCTTATTAGGCTCCGTTTGCACATTCAATATGTGTTTTATTCTGTGCTTTGTTTTAATCTGAAATAAAGGCCTTAAATTTGTTTGCCCACTTTTAAATATGATAAAAGAGGTAGTTGTTTACTGCAAAGTGCAGTTTGTTAACAATGAAAATGTGAATACGGGTAGGCAAGACCATAAAAGTCAAACGCTGGACTTTCGTTAGAGGAAATTTTAGTAACTGGACCTCAGTGAGTTTTAATTGAATACCCCTGCTATAGTGGATAATGCAAGTTTACATCAGTGCAGTTTATAAATTGTTTTTTTAAATGACGCCACGCTCTAGAATTGTAAGAATCCATCCATCCATTATCTTTACCCGTTTATTCCATTTTGGGTCACGGGGTCGCTGGTGCCCATGTCCAGCAATCACTGTGCGAGGGGCGGGGTACACCCTGGACGGGTCGCAAGTCCATCACAGGGACACATAGAGACAAACGAGACAAACAACCATTCACTCTCTCACTCACACCTAGGGACAATTTAGAGTTACCAATCAGCCTAACATGCATGTTTTTGGTCTGTGGGAGGAAACCAGAGTACCCAGAAAAAACCCACGCATGCACAAAGAGAACATGCAAACTCCACCCAGAAAGGCCCCCGGACCGGGATTTGAACCAGGGTAACCTGCTCGCTGAGAGGCAGCAGCTCTACCAGTTGTGCCACCGTGCTGCCCAATTGTAAGAATAGTCTTCATTAAATATATTTTCTTTTAACGTTATGTCTTTTTGGATGTTAAAGCCAAAAATAAGAATTAGGTATAGACTTTATACTTTGATATCCTAACACCTTAGATTGGGACAATGTAACTTAAAGCTCAATAAACTCTTTGAACCATCAGCTTAAAAAAAAGATACCATTCTGAACATTACATCATGAGCTGCACTTGGCTCTACATGATTTAGAAGAGTGGGAGAGCTCTGCTTCGTCCTTCACAATAAGATGTGGGAGGCCAGTGCTGACTCAGAGCCATCGGTCGGCAGCGGAGGCTTCATGAATTTTAATGCTTCCTCCATATGAACCTTCACCTCAACTCAACCAACCAGAATCCAGTGAGAGGTGTTGGAGATAACTCCTCTCACACATAAACACTGATATTCTTAACAGTTCCAACGCAGAACCAAACATTTTGGTTTTCGACGTAGCAGCTCAAGTATGTAGGTACATGACGAAGTTTATAAAAAGGTTGCTGAACATTTTAAACGTAATCTTAATATTATAACCTTCAAATTATTCCTCTTTATCTTAAATCATACATTGTTTTTCACCTATTTAAAAAACAGGACACAGTTTAGGTTGAACAAGTAAGTCCATTCATTCAGACGCTATTTCCAACCAAATAAACAGCAGAGCTCACCGTTTTTAAAGTCCGTCTCCTTAAGCCTTTCCCATCTGCTCCTGATATTCTCAGGCAGAAGATTCGCTGCATCTGAACTGATGTAGCCGCACACTTTTGGAGATGCGATCCGGCTCAGATTCTTGATATCTTCTGATCGATAAACCAGCAACCTGCTGCCAACTGGGGAATCTGTAAACCTCCACAAGGGCTGGACAGCACCCCCCCAAAAAAAGAAGAAACCACATCAGAGAGGTTCTCAAACCATAATAAGGGTGTTTAATTCAAAAGGAAATACAAAAAAAGTTATAAAACAAGATGGGAGCAAAATATGTAAAATTTTCAGTCAGGAGTTTATTAGAGATTAAGTGGACTGATGAAACGTATTGTGTGCATTTTTTAATATTTGTGAATACAAATACATAAAAACTGACCATATCCAATACAATACATCATAAAAGGAAAGTTGAACTAGTTATACAAAAAATACTTTGAGAAGCTATACCGATTTAAAGGTGACGGCATTAAATAATCAGCTCTTATGAAGATATTCACCTCTACGTTATATTCTGCTTCATCTGTCTGGATGAGAGCAGAAAACTCGTCTCCGTCGATGTGAGCCTGCACTCGTGAGTTCTCCTCACCTAAAAAATATAGAGATATATAATTTTTCCTCTGAGAAACACAATACCCAGGAGAGTTGGGCTTAAGAGAAACGCCTCCATCAACTCACCAACAACGTGTCCAGTGAAGTAGTTCTGAAGCTGAACGTCATATTTCTCCTCCTCTCCGTTTTTATTAACAAACACAGCTTTGAAGTTGTCGGTAAAAAGGTCTGTGTTTGTGGTCACGTAGAGCTGGAAATTTCTGAAGGCAGGAAAAAAATTTAAATGCAATATTTATTTTTAACTCACAGTAAGTATGACAAATCTTCAGGAGTCATATTGGATACTTTTCGTATCATTAAAGTATATTTTTACCACATACATGTACAATACCCACACTGCTGGCGTAATACTGCTGAAAGAATTGTTGGTCTACAATTGTGCAGCTTACGATATATTTTTTGGCTTACATCAACAAAAGGTTATGCGCGTGATATCACCGCCAACAAGTCCATCTGAGGTGAAGCTGACTGAGACAGAAATGACCCCAGACTGAATGACAACGGGTCGTATGAGCGGCTCAAAAACAGAAAACAAAACTGCAATGGGGAAGAGCTGTTATGCAATCAACTGCGCCGACAAAAATCAGCTAAAATGTGTGTCACATTCTTTTTATACGCTTTAAAAAAAGAAAAGAGAAAGAAACCCAGTGCAATGCTTCAATTTATATATATATTTATATATGAAACTAAAGTCCCAGCATTAAAAATGTGCATTTAAAGAAAATATGCTGGAGTGTTGTCTTAGTTTTTGAGGTAAAAACTACTTTTTTTACACTATTTTAGTAAGACATAAGTATACACTAAATATATCATCTGGTAACTCCTATTTATAGTTTGTGGCACTGAAATATGTTTGCTAATATATGACTTTTATTTATACATAAACTGTATAAACTATCTGTTTACCAGATCACTATATATTAACACTGCTGATAAATACAAAAAGGGTTCAATCATGTCATCTGGACCTGTCTCTTTAAGTGAGAAACGTTTCGTCCCCCATCAAGAGGACTTCATCAGTCTACGACCTGCCAATCAGATCTGTCCCACAGGTAGCCTTCCCTGCTGTGATTCAAGCCATCTCCTGTTAGAATCTCAAAAGTAGGCTTTTAACACGTGCAAAGCACAGATGGCCAAACTTGCTGCTCACAGAAACAGCCTGTGGACAACCAAGGCCAAAGGGGTGCAGAAAAAGGGTTGTAAGCTCAATCATCCAGGTAGATAACAACAAAACAGTTTCAATCATGTAATCTGGACCAGTTTATCAGCTGATACATACATTTAAACCAAAAATTAGCCCAGAACTAACCCTGATATTAACAGCACTAAACAGGGTCTGAGCATATTCATCCTCATTCTTCTCAAATATAGATGATGGCAAAAAGATGACTTTAGTTAAACGAAGATCTATCAGTTAACCTGTGAAAAATAATCAGACATTAAGAGTTTGAATGGAAATATTTTCTTGTAAAAGACAGAAGTGGATGCTTATGAGAACAAGCTGCAGAATCTCAGAGCTTATTCTGAACTCCATCTTAGCACCAACCTAACTGGTTTGTTCCACTTTGGAGTAAGCTGTTGGGGAAAGAAACAGTTTTGTGTTGTGTGTTTCCTTGACTGATGAAGCCTTCTGGATGAAAGGTGAAATGTTTCAGCACATAAAAAGAAACTGTCCAGATGACCTCACTGAAAATTGTTGGATTGTATACCTGGATTATTGAGCATGGACTTTGTTGGCTTATTCTGAATTATTGACTTTTGCATTTTCCTTAACCCACAGTGACATTTTAACCATTTACTAATAAAAGCATTTTTAACGGTGAGAAATTAAAAGATCCCATAGTAAAATAGTTAGCAGGGCATGAACCACTGTGGTGCAAACACTTTCATGATAAACAAATGTTTGTGTTTCTGAAACAAGTGCAATCGGTCTTACCTAATATAGGTTATATTTGCTCATATATATATAATAAATATATACTATATATATATGTATGCCTTTTTATAACTGTATTGTTGTCATTATTGTCCATTGTTGTCAACACTCTGTTGAAATCAGGTCTCTCTTGTAAATGAGTCCTTGAGGCTCAATGGGATTAACTTGTCTAAATAAAGGTTGAATGAATGTGTAACTGTGCACAGGTTAGAGGATAAAAGAGTCAATCAAGTGACGCTGTGAATCTCTGCTGACCTCATTTTTTAATTATATGGATTTAAAAACCTATCAATGCAGTGTCCTACCATCCACTAAAAACTTTTAAAATGTGACTCATTTATTTTCTTGCTGCCTGAGTTTGAAATACCTATTTTAGTCCTGTGCATACTGTATGCTGCATACCAGCCAGCCAGCGTCAATTCAATTTGATTCAATTCAGTTTATTTATTATATAGTGCTAATTCACAAGTGTCATCTCAAGGCACTGCACATAATAAAACATGGGTCTACAGCAGACATGTAAAAGCAGAGGCATAGTGCAGGATATGAATGAGCATCTAAAGTATTCACTTATAAATAACTTTTGAATAGTGGGGCGGCTGTGGCTGAGTCGTTATAGAGCAGTCGTCCTCCAATGCAAGAGTTGGGGGTTCAAATCCACCAGCAGTCGCATGCTGAAGTGTCCCTGGGCAAGACACTGAACCCCTCATTGCCTCTGATGTGTGTCCCATCAGTGTATGAATGTGATAAAGCACTGATTAGTCTCTTTAGAATGATTTGTTCAATTAGCTTTGTAGAGATCTAGTAGAGAGCTGTATGAATGGGTAAATGAGGACACGGATTGTAGTGTAAAGCACTTTGAGTGTCTTCATAAGATAGAAAGGCGCTATATAAATACAGTAGTATTACAATAGTATGACAGTGTACAAATACAACTAGTCCATTTATTAATAACTAAACATACAAGTACTGTTTACATTTCAGTTTGTTTATAGGTCAGACAGGTAAAATAGAGTCAGTGTGATTTTTATTTAGTTAAGGTAATTTATCTTGTGAGAAAGCAGAGATATGATGCAGGCAAGCTGGGACTTGTTCTTTACCTGTGCAGGGCTCTGAAGCTCACCAGGCGCTCCAGGTGAGACTGAGGGTTGACGTCCCTCTTCCTCACAGAGTGCAGCTGGAGGTCGGACAGAGGCAGCACTTCATAATCTGACAGGATGGCGTTCAGATGATCTGGAAACACACACAGGAGTCAAGCAAGCACACAGATTCAGCGGCTTCGCAAACTAACGCCCTCATAAAGGACGTAAGACAAAACAGCGGCGCTTATAATCAGAGGTGCGACCGTCACAATAGCTTTATGGTTGGCGCTGATTCAAGCTAACGTTAGCCGAGCTTACCCAACTCTGGGTTGTGTTCGTGATTTCCCTCCGTGGTAAATCTTGATTTAACGGCGCCGTTTATCCAACAGGGAGCGAAAAGGACTAAAAGCAATGTTTTCATCGTGTCCGAGCGGTTTTGTCACATTCACGACTCAACAATAAAAGGTTTCGGATCGTCTCGGAAGCTGCTAGGAGTTCCAGTGTAACCCGGAAGTGCCCCGAGTGGAAACATCCGCTTTCCGAGAAGTAGAAAAAAAAAGAAAACACTAATGAAAATGATCGATTCTGCTTTTTAAAGTGGAGAAAAAAATACTAATTATGAATAGTAATCACCATTTAAGCTATGGTATAATTAAATATTTTTTAATCACCACCATCTAAGAACCGGAAAGTACTTATGTAGCTGTTAGTTTAGGTGTGGCACACTGAACTTTTTACAATCAGATAAATACAACTGCATGTTAAGTGATTTATTATGGACTGAAAACAATCTGCAATATTCACAATATTGTAATTTAGACTGTATAAGTAATACCAACTGCTATTTGCTGAAAATGAGATGTTAAAGGAAGGGAGGCAGAACACTAGCTGAATGCTAAAATGCTAACATTAAATGTAGCAAAAAGCCAATTAGAAGCTAAAAGTAGCAGAACAGCAGCTAAAACCTATGTAGCGTAAATTAAAACAGCAAGTATGCTGTATCAGCCTTCAAAGAACATTAGTCATTTCTGTTTTCCCAGTTGGAAAATCATTTGTAAACAAGTTAAACATTTTAAAATGTTTAAGTTACAAAAGTCACAGCACTTATTGCTTGAAAAAGCCTAATATTTTGATATACGAGGCTAAAATAGCACAATATGCAGTAGTTGGTTTAAAAACGACTCCAACAGCATTTGCACTATTAAAATACACTGCAATGATGCAGTGTTTATTTTTTTATAATTTAAGTTTTTAACAACATGGTTCATTTGAGGTCAGCAAATTCATTTAATGGCGAAGATTGAAAACACAGCCTGCATTTAATATACTGTATATGTATTTTGATAGATTCCCGTTTGTTTTGTCATGTTAAATAGAAATGCATAACACAACACTCACAAATTAACTTCAAAGCTCACAAGTTTTTTAACATCTTAAATCTAACGCACGTAAAAATAGAGACAGTAAACACGTTTGGTTTATAAAATGTTTTATTCTTGTTAACATGGTAGATGCACCAGGATTCAAAAGTTCCACGAGGCTCTTGGGGACTACAACTGACTCAATTACAAAACAATAGTGGTCCAAATCTCTAGTGACAATCACTGGACAGACTAGAAAATAATACCCTCGCAAAGTGTACAAAACCGCATTGTTCCCATTCCAGTGTAATATCTGAAGAGACGTGCAGGACGAGCACATCTCTCCAGTAACAATGTCTGATAAAAGCCATAAATTTATCCCAAACAGATTTTTAGTGAAATATGACGAGATCAGGAAGTGAACGTCCAACCAATGAGCACTGCTTATGTGTTGAAATATTTTTTTTAAGTGTAGCGCACTGGATTTCCCTGCAGTGTAAAAATTACATCTTTAATCTTGTACCTCAGCACAGGTAACACCACACGTGTAGATACATACTACAAAAAATATGTGAGGGAAACTATTGCATGTTTATACTTTGTCTCACTTGATTGAGTCAAGCTTCCAACTTCTTTGCCTCTAAAGTGAACTGGGGTGGGGGGGGCGATATAATTTCAGAGTATCAGATACTTTCGGCAGTTCAAACTACACAGATGGGAAGGCCAAGAAGCAAAACTACCAGTAAAAGGAATAGATGGTTCCTCTTTTCACCAATTATTGTCCTAATCTGCTTGGCACAAATAATTTTGGTTCTTTATATTAACTCATGAATGGAATGAACTGGTGGAATGATTGAGTGAAGCATTAAGGAATAAAGAAAAATGTAAAAAGTTGTTTTTTTTGTTTTGTTTAGAGAAAGAATCCCAACAATATAGAGGAAGTTGGTGCTCTAGTTCTCGGTCTCGCCTCCCTCTCCTTCCCCGCCGTCGGCCTCCTCAGGAGCGTTGTCTGACGTCCATAACTGAGGAAAAATAGGCACTCGATTAAAACAATACAAAATAAAGCAAAGTACTCGGATACTATGTGACTTATGAATTTTCCTGGAATTATTTAATTTTGGAACATGTGAACACAACCCTGTTATTTGAAGTTTTTCATTTCGTTTTTGACTTTGAAGGGCAAAAAACAGTCAGGAAGACAATGTATAAACATACGTTTAGAAACTTTAATTAAAAAAAATAGAGCAGCAAAGTGCACTTCAGATTAAAACACTGTATTCTTAAATCATTCCCAATTTAAAATAGAGTATGTAAAGAGGTGAGTTTTTAGTTTAGGTTCATTTTAAATCACGTAAAAACACAAGTAATTTAAAAATAAGCTTTTTTTTTATTGTATAGTGATGATTTTTGATCCAGTAGTGAACAAACATCTCCAGATGTTTACTTGCTGTAAACAACTCTATACATATGAAGTAGTTTTGTTAGCGTCTGATGAACTGTATGACAGAAGTGGCCAAACAAACTGAGGATGTAGGAGGATTTTCTAACCACATGCTTCATATATGTGATGCTTTCTTACAGCATTCAGTCGCTACAAAGCCCCTGCTTTAAGTTCTGCTCTGAGCCGAAGTTTGCTTCTGTGGTTATGGTCTTTACTGCTGCACTACACCTGCACTGACGACTTATATATATCACTCATAAGTGTAGATGTTCAAGCTGACAGAAAGGCCCGACCTTTGCTGCATTTCAATTTCTGCAGTTTGGTTTTGAAGGGCCCTTAAATTTGACTAATTACCATAATGTAAGAGGTTATTTTAACTCTGAGATTGTAATATGACCCCCTTTATCCACAGAAACGGTCTTATATGAAAGACTTACTGTCAGGTTGTCTCGGAGGAGCTGCATGATGAGAGTGCTGTCTTTGTAGGACTCCTCATGTAGCTGATCCAGCTCTGCGATGGCGTCATCAAATGCCTGTAAACAAAGACAAACGGTAATATTATGAACAAACCTCTCAATTTACAACAGAAGGCACAAGCGAGCGGTAAACTGTATTTACTAAGTTTGTCAACCTTTTTAGCCAACTCGCAAGCTTTTTCTGGTGAGTTGAGGATCTCATAGAAGAAGACGGAGAAGTTAAGAGCCAACCCCAGGCGAATGGGATGTGTGGGGTCCATCTCAGTGGAGCTGACGTCAAATGCAGCCTGGTAAGATTCTTGTGATTGGTCAATGGTCCCTGAAAGAGAAAAAAAAATAAGCATTTAAGTTTCTGCTTAAAGCACAGAATTTGGCACAAATTTAATTCAAAAATATATTGCAAATAATATTAGGTTACTATGAGGTTTTTTAAGAAGCCGTATGTTAAAGTAGATCAGTTTTAAAGATTTCTGAAGGCACTTTCACAAAACATTTCTGCAAAATGGTCACAACGACCAGTCGGTCTTTATGTTGACTCTAGCCGTTTATCACAAATGAATCCAGACAAATCAGAGTCAGTTTCTTTATTGTCGTTCGCACCACATGTGGTACATGTGGTGCGAACAAAATTATGTACACAGAGTCCCAGTTACATTCAACAATAAAATGTAAAAGAAAAACAATGATAACATCTAAGATGTGAACTAAGAAAAACAACTAAACATAAACTAAGCACTAATAGCATAAAAACATTACATCGAACAGCAGCACGAACATGAGCATGAGTCTGTGTGAGCAGATGAGCACACATGAACACAACATGAAACGAATCAGCAACAACATGATGTGATTTTTCACAGTGATTATTCTGGTTAGAGATTCATGAGTCTAACAGCCTCAGGGTAGAAGCTGTTCCTCAGTCTAGTGGTTCTACGCCTAATGCTCCTCAACCTCCTTCCTGGGGGGAGCGGGGTGGATATATATGCTGGGTGAGTGGGGTCCTTCATGAGGCAAAACCAGCAGAGATGTGACTTTTTAGAAAAGAAGCAAGTAATAAAGAATCTAAAGATGTTTGGAGCAAAAAGCATTAAATGTGTGATGGAGGTTTCTCTCATACGGTTTTCAAAACATGACAAATTTAACTCAAGTAAACGATCCTTTATGTGGTTAATCTTTTCTAATTTCTTTAAAACTAGTTGCAAAGTTGCTGTGCATCATCATCGATCTTTCCTAGGTAATAAATCTGTATTTTTAATTCAATATAGACCATATGTCATCATTTCACATTATTGAGCCACAAAACCAGTTTATGTTTTCATACATCGACTGTTCCAAATCTGTCACTACCTTGCGTCACAGCACAAAGGTGCATCAGGTTGTCGAGTTGGCTTCAACACCCTCGGCCAATTCAGAAGACACAGAGGCGGCCTAAGGCATCCAAGTTCCAGCTTGAAATACTTTACGAAAGTGCCTTTAGACTACTAAGGGCAAGCGGTGAGGAAACTGTACTACTGAACTAGAGCTGGGTGATATTTTAAAAATAAAGTGGGGTTTTTTGTGATATAAGTTCAGACTATATCAATATAGTTTTATACTTGGAAATCGAGATGGAGATCGATTGGATTTAAATTGTCAGATGAGGAACAGAAAAATGTAGATAATGCCAAAAACAAGTCCCGACCAAAAGGTCGGAACTACAAATCTTTTTCACCTTTTAAAATCAGTGGGGTATGAAGCGTGTGTGAACTGCAGCTGCAGGTCTGACAGACTTCAGCCTCCTTCCCTGAAACAAACACGGTATAAAACTCATTTAGCCGTGCTGTGCCTTATGAGGAACAGTGCGGTGTTGCAACATTAATTAAGCAGCAGTTTATCATACCGCTAAAGACACGGTCCTTAGCGGCTAACAAGACAACGCTTTAGCAGTCTTGTTCGACAGCTGAGACTGGGACCGTGTCTTGGCGATATGATAAGCTGCTGCTTTAATGTTGCGGTGCCACCTCTCACTTTTTGTTTCATAAGGCACAGCACGGCTAAATGAGTTTTATACTGTGGTTGGTCTCAGGGAAGGAGGCTTAAGTCTGTCGGACCTGCAGCTGCGGTTCACACACGTTTACCAACATTGTGAAGGTGGCGCAGCTGAATGGACTGCACTTCTATAGCACCTTTTTATATTATCAAGACACTGAAAGTACTTTACAACACAATCTGTGTCCTCATTTACCCATTCATACAACATTCTGCTGGATCCCTACAAAGAATAATCAGAGCTTTATCACATTCATACACCAATGGGACACACATCGGAGGCAATGAGGGGCTCAGTGTCTTGCCCAGGAACACTTCACCATGTGACTGCTGGTGGAATCGAACCCCCAACTCTCCCATCTGAAGACAACTACTCTAGCCTCTCAGCCACAGCTGTCCCCAGCTGAAGAGGATTATTATTTAATGTATGTAAATAAAGGTCTAAAAATAAAACCATTTAATAAGTAAATAGTTTATTTTTTAGACATTTATTTTGTACAGTTACAGCTGTTGTTAATAAATGTGCCTGTGTGACAATTGGGACAAAGCTTTGACTCTGAAACATTTTTGTTATTACTTTATGGAAATAAAAAATAGAGATTTATTGTATATTGTGATTTATCTTTTAAATTAATATCGAGATATTAATTTTGGTCTCTATCGCCCAGCCCTATACCGAACAGAACACACAGCAGGGAAAGTAGGAAGTAATCGCAGTTAAGTGTCAACAACTTTAAATATCAGACATTTATTCTTAGTGTTTAAGGGGATTAATAATACTGAAGGGAATTTAAAGAAAATGTAGGATTGTTGTAATCTTACCCGACTTGGTTTCTCCAGAAGCAACTTCAGCAAGGTATCTATAGTAGTCCCCCTTCATCTTTAAATAGAAGACTTTGCTCTCTGGATTTGTGGCATTTTCAATTAAATAAGAGTCCAGCAAGTTCTGTGAATAAAAGACGTACAAGGTTAGTTTTTGATAGATAAACTTGAGCGTTTACACCCAGAGCAGAGATCCATTAATTAAACCTGCAAAGCTATATTATAGCAGTCACATTTAAAGGGTTATTACTACCATCATTCACCCTAGTCATCCCATATTTATATCATTGTCGCACTACAAAAGAGAAGGCATAAAACAAACATCCTCTTTGCAAAGTACAACCTGCTTCTAGACAGGTTCCTTAAACTTGACCACAAATGCTGATTTCTGCTTGTGCTCTTTTCCCTTCTGCGCCGTTACGAAATATTGTTGTGCATTTTTTTTTTTGGTAAAGTTTTATTTGTAAAGTCTAGCGAAACACACAAGCTCTGACAGCACTGCATGCTGTAAATAACATTTAATTAACAAAATTAAATAATAAAATAAAAAAGAAAAACACAGGTCCTTCTATGTCTTACAAGTTCAGAAGTGTCTTCAATGAGTCTAAGGGTTCAAGAGGAAATCTATATATAGAAACAACCAATATAATTTATAAAAAACATTTACTTACACTTAAATTAACCAGAGGTTCTGAACATTACAGAAAAAAAATTTGCTGCAAGCTTGACACCCATCTTTAAAAGTAAAATTTGCTAAGAAAATCCCAAAGGTTTTAAATAGCAAAACAGTATTTCCATACGCTGATGGTTTACAGAAAGACAGTTGTCTAGTCAAATTATTTTGGGCACTGATTGTTATTTTTATTATTTTTGGAGGGGAAGAGGGGGCTCTGATGGTAAACAGGAGGGCATGCTTTTGAGGTGAGAGCAACGTTGGAAAGGTTTTCTATGCGAGATAGGCAGACGCATACATCTTAGTCATAGGTCCAACACATTGCCTTGGACCATGTGTTGATGTTAACAGTAACATTCATAACATATCTAACGTTGTGAAGGTAAAAAACTGTAACTAACATTTTATCAGCATTATAATTCATAACAATTGACCATTTGCATTTGATTGTAACCAGGTTTGGGAAGTTTGTCTCAGCTGAAACTCATGACTCATGTGTTGAAAATTTTGCTTTTATTGTATACTCTGTCAGTAGGAAAAACAAAAATAAAACCAATCTACATTTGCGGAAAACTTAATGTGCAAAACCCCCCTGTATGACCAGATATTTAAAAAAAATTTATAAAAAAAAAAGTTCACCAGCATGATTTTCCAAACAACTTTGCGTTTCTCCTGCCTTGCAGACAGACACAAATCCATTTGGTCTTTTTGCGTTCTACTCTTTTTCCAGCAAAAAGTGCATAGCTGACATGTCAAGCTTCTGAAGACAAGCTAAGGCTTGAGGACCGACACACCCTCCTCTCTTCACAAACCCTCAATCAGCACAGGCTGGCAGAGAAACTGTGCTGAGTCACAGCCAGCCAGTGCATAGTCTCATGTACGCCCAAAACGGTCCCAGCTTTTCAATGTTACTTAAAAAAAAAAATCAGAGGTCCATAATTTATTGAGGAAGTGTGATAATATCAACCACCAATCTGTGCAGCAAGCATGAGGTTAAAGCAGCATCACCCATTATTTCATTGAAGCTAAGCCTTTTAAAGTGGCACATGATACATTTAAATCCACTGGTTTCAATAAATGACAGCAGGAAGAGTGCCACATCGGTGAACTGTATAAAACTGAGTGTGAGTCATTTATACACATTAGGCTGCTTGCCGTCTGATGGAACTTGGTGTCTAAGAATAAACTTTGTGTGTGTTTAACACAGTTCTTTCAGACACACCTTGGAGATTCAATACTGACCTCTTGCCACTTCACGCCCTCAAAAGGTTTCAAGCCTATTGTTCTAAAATCCAGATTCCCAAAAAGGCAGGAACAGTCGGAAGACTACATAATACTTCCTTGTCCTGTCTGTCTTCAGAGGTTTTATTTATACAAAACAGAACAGCTCACAGGAAACAGATGCCATTAGACACATACTTGTGAATGAACAACAACCGTGTGACACCATAAATTCAATAATCACAGGAATGATCACTCCTGTTGTATATTAAACTATGATCAAATCTCTTACCAAAACACAGTAGCAGATGTCCTGCAGCTCCTTCTCCACCTTCGCCCGGTACTCATGGACCATCTGCTTCTTCTTCTCGCACCCACTCCCGTCGGTCTTCATCCCGATGCTGGACAACACCCTCCATGAGGACCGCCTCGCCCCGACCACGTTTTTGTAGGCGACAGAGAGCAGGTTCCTCTCCTCGTTTGACAGCTCGCCTCCCTTCTCTGTGACCTCCTTCATGCACTCTGCCATGTCATCGTAGCGCTCAGCCTGCTCTGCCAGCTTGGCCTTCTGGATAAGATCCGTTTTATCCATCGTAGTTTCTGTATTAAATGGGATATCCGGGCGTACAAATGACAGTCAAGGGTTGATAAATTGAAGGGTGGATGTAGCTAGGGATCTGCGGTTTATCTCTCCACAAACCTGTAAAATAAATATAATGTCAGCTGGTTCCCTGATGATCTGGCTAGTCTAATAAGTCATCAGAACTGATTTTTTTTTTTTTTAAGACAATAGCGCACGACGTCATTCTGAGCTTAAATTTACTGTAATTGCCACACAGACCAGATAATAATTTGCCAACTTCAATAAGCAGTTAATCTACATCCAAGGTTGTTTTTTTTTTTTTAAAGACAAGACTGACTGTGTGAATATCAATGTAGATTTGTTCGCTGGTCCATGCTGCGAAGCGAACCGCCAACGACGATGACGCTAGCTAGCAACACCAGCCACTCCTTTCAATTCATTAGCGTTTCTCATACACGTCTCTAAATACGCCAAAAGCCCTATTAGTTTCATCAAAAGCCAGCGGTAATACGTTTAAATGAAAATAAATAAGGTAGTAATGGTCTCGAACCTACTGAAGTCCAAATTCGGCCCCCAGATCGATTCAAGTAGGACAGAAAAAGGAAGAAAAAACAGCAGCCGCGGCAGAGAAAACTCCAACTGAACGTGCTAAAATAGGAGGGGTTCATCTAGAGCTGGGTGTAGGTCGTCCAATCACAAGCCGGGTTTATTTTTGATGGACAGGACCAGGCGATAGTTTGAACCAATAGTCCTTTAGCGCGGGGGATGAAGGCGGGACCTGAGTAGCCTAGCGCTGCAGTTTGAAGGCGCAGTCGTTGTCTGTCACTAAAAGCAGGACGAGCGGCAAGGGTGGAGTTTCCCTCATAAATGCGATCTAATTTTATGACGTAATTAAAAGCTAACAACATAAATTTGCAATAACGATATAATAAACATATCAGAAAACAACACCAGAAATTAAAATAGACATTTTAGTTAATCGCATTGTGCATTTTCTCTAACTTTGTTTTACTTTTTGACCTTGTTATCGACACAACTCCGTTTTGATTTTTTCAGTCACATGATCGAAGAGGGCATTCGCTGGACTTGCCCTAGGATCAGAATGGGACAACGGTGTGAAGCCCCGGCTGACACGCCGTTTGAAATGTTGTGCGACTTCCTCCTACCCGGCTAGCTGCTTTGTCAGCCGGGCTGTAAATGGGGTGCAGCCGTGGCCATGGACCGCGAACAAGGGACGAAGACGTCATCTCGTTGCTATAGTGATTCTCGTCCAATGGCGATTTAGTTCTTAAACACTGTAGAGTAGGCGGGTGTGGTCTGGACTCAACGTGGAAATTAACATTTTTATTACAACGATTTAGTGAAAAGTCACCTCTGTGATAGTTCAAAAAGTAACATTTATAAAATATTGTATTTTGCTGTTGATTGATTGTTAGCATGAGATGGTAAATGCAGTTTTAAGCGTTTTTATCAGATTTGGCTTTTGATTCTCTGCCGTTACATCCCTAATGTCATCATATGTGTGCGTTATTTACCCACCCAACAGGCAAGTAAATGGGAGCTTCAATCAAAGTGATGGAAAATGCTTATAAAAAAGTCAATTCACGTGGTTTTGTACTGCATGCCTACTTCCTGTCTCACTTATTATAGACCATCAATTTTCTGATGGATTTTCCCATCTCAATTTGACAAGTCTTGGCTGAATTAAAGGTAAACAAAGCATTTATCTTCTGAGCCACAACTGTGATTTTGTTTAACCACACACAGTTTATGTTGCAATAAAAGGTTGGACATCCATCATGTGACAGACTTCATTTCTAGTATTTCTGCTAGTCCCAATTTAGAAAATGTTGCAGGTACTTGTGTTTTGTTGCTTCCAGAACCTTCAATAAAATACTTTAACACATTCTTACCACTCTGGGTTTGATTATATTGCCTAGAAATTTAAGCAAATACATTCGTGAAATTTGTTACATTAGTTTAATATGATAAGAGAACAAAATGAAAGTAATAATACATTTTTACTCTATTAGCTGACTGGTTCTGGTAGACTGGTTTTTATTCTGGCCACTAGATGGCACCACTGATACAAGCAAGACTTCTCGTTCATAGGGGAAATTGTTTAAAAAAATGTTTTCCCAGACATAAAATTCCCAGAATTGATACTTCTTAACAAATATAGACACTGAATGTGAAACATTTAAAGTCAACAAGCTGCTTGCATTAAAATTCAAAAGACATGTTGACTTTTGTGTTGGGGAAGATGCTCAGCTACTACCACTCTGGTCGAGTTATTTTTGTGTCTGTTGGCTGGTGTGGCCATCTTGATGAAAGATTTCGTAAATATTGAGCAACCATGTTTTAACTTGTCACATCATTTTATTTATTAATATGTATTTATTTATTTATTTATGCTCAAATTGTGTCAGAACTCTCTGGAGAGGTGATAAAATGGCTTCCAATGGGATTTCCATCCCCTCAGAGTTAGGACTGTGATGAAAGAAGGTGTATTCTGGTAGAAGTCCTGGCGTGTTTTTACTCCACACCTCTAAAGCCTTTCACCTTTCAACAATCAGGCTCATTCTCACACCTCCTGCCATCTTCTTTTTAACTTCACCTGTCTTTTTGTGTCATTCTCTTCTAGAGATTCACAGAATGGCTTGAGTTCTTTAGGTTTGTTCATTTCTGTTTAAAATACATAATATATATATATATATATATATATGGATTTCTATCGTTTCTAACAAGTACTGATTAATTTTCCTCCATGCTTTTGGTAATTTCAGGTAATGCTGGTGGTAAGACCCTGAAACAGGTCCCAGTACAGGGTGAGAATTTGTTTTGGAGTTTCTGGTAAATTAAAAAGAATACAGATTATTAAAATAATCCAATTAAACAATATCCTGCTAATTAACTTTTAATTAACTTTAGTTCACCATTAAATCTCTGATGAACCAGATTTTATTTAAAATTGTATATTTTTCTTCATCATTTGATGCATTTGCACTCATTGTGCCTGTTTTTACTGTTCAATTTAGATGTGTGGCTTTGTTTCTTGTATGCAGATTTTTTTAATTTTTTTTTATTTTAGCTTTGCTTTAAAGTTTAATTCTTGTTTTGTGATTTGTACATCTAATAAAGTTGAACTAAAGGCTATAGCTCTTTTAACAATTTCAGGGAAATATTCCTGAGAGATCCAATAATTTTGTTTCTTTTTATTATTTTTCAGCTGAGTTAACTTTAACAGATTATTTAATAAAGTCATTAAATGTCATTAAAGTGAAAACAGAACTTCATGATAAAGTCAGCACTGTTTTTTTTATATTCAATGATTATATATATATATATATATATATATATATAATGCTTTTAAAAATCATTTCCACCCTCCATCCCAGACCCTGCCATCCAGGGCTCGGGCTCCGGGCCTCGACCTCGTGCACTCCTGCGGGTTGGCAACCTTGAGGATCCTCAGCGGTTACCAGCGGAGCTCGGAGCAAGGAGATGGTGGCCTGCCCGGCCTGACGGATCTTCAAGGCTCCAGTGAGAGGACCGGGGGACCGACAGAGCTCAATCTTACTCGTTCTGAATTTTATTGTCAGCCACTAAGCACAAAAGGCACCTGCACCTTGTTGTCATTACTGTTTTTAAAATCTTCAAAATAGATCCAGTCGCTCCTTGAGTTCGAGTTATTGCAAATGGCGGATCGGGTTGTAGTAAAAGTTTCTCAAACAACCAGTGACTCCACCCTCTAACCAATCAGTGACTGACAGTGTTCTGACGTCATGTTTTAAGGCCAGGAAACAAATTATTTTGGGGATACCAAATGTGGTACGGCACCAGTGTGATACGGTTGGAACCCCAGAGGGGGCGATTTCTCGAATATTTGCTAGTAGAAAAAGCCTTGAAACAGTATTGAGCCGAGTCGAACCATGCCGAATAGGTGCTATGGAAAAGTAGTGTAAGTGTCAGGTAAATACTAGGTACCAGATAAGAACCTAGTGCTAAGGAAGTACTACATAATTACCTGGTTCCAGTAAGTACCATCTTGCAGATACCAGGTAAGTACCAGCTCACTCTATACAGGTACTCACCTGGTATCAGGGACTTATTTGGTCCTGATACCATTTGAACAGTTTCTTTATTGTGGAAAGACGTTTTGCCCTCTATCCATAGGATTTCATCAGTCTGAGGAGTCCCAAGTAAACATTTTTCCCCACTAAGCAGTACACTCCTTTAGTGGACCAACCAGTTTGCCGGTGATAAGATGGTTTCTGAGGGCTGTCCTGTCCCCCGTCGACTCCTCCCAGGCAGGCAGCCACAGCCAAAGTGGTTCAAGACATCAAAGTTCATGCTCAGTCATCCAGGTACAAAATCCAATAATGGTCAGTCAGGTCATCTGGACCTGATTGACCTGATGAAGCCCTGGTGTGATTTGTGTGCATTGTATTGCTGGAGGGCAGTTTCACTCTCATTTCCTGTTAAGATGGCAGCAGATACATTTGTGCAAAATGTTACATTTTGTTATATGTTGCTGTGTGCTTTGCCTGTTTGTTTCTGTTTGTACAGCACTTTGGTTGGCCCTGTCGCTGTTTAAAGTGCTCTATAAATAAAATGGTATGGTATGGTAAAATTATATTCAACATGCATTTTATTTTTCTGGAGACTCATATCCAGGCTGCAGATTCAACCTCACATGAAATGCACATTAAATAAAAACATTTATTATCTGTTTTAATATAAATCACTGTTATCTGTAATTAAGAAAAGAGATGTTCAGCTCTTTTGCAGTGGAGTTCTTTGAAAAGGTTATGAAGAGTTAATATCTTACCTGTTGTAGATAGCTTTTTGAATGACCTATCGGTTGATTCAAAAGACTAAACTGAACTACTGACATCTTAAAACAACTGCAATCTCAAACAAATCACAGCAGTTCATATCAAGCCTATTATTAAAACTCATTAGTTTCATAATATACTGAATTTGTTATTTGGGCCAGGTAGCTGGCTGCTACTTCCTTTATTTGTTTTTGCAGATAATCATAGAGATCTTAATAACCACGATCTGATCAATCCAAAGGTTTTCTCAACTCATGGCAGACTCTTCAGCAGCTTCAGGAAATTTACATTCTCATAGTAACACAAACATAATATCACTTCAAAAATCACCCTTGAAAAAAAAAAACTGAAAATGAGCGCAATTAGTTCATTTTTGCTTTTATAAATCCCTGAATAAAAAACTTTTTAAAAGCGAAAACGAAGAATAAAATCACATCTGAGTAAGCAAACAGCAGAACCTTGTTTTATTTGCTAAATATTCAGTCTGAAGGGAGAAATCTGAATAACAGCGCGCCGTCTTCTTGTGTAATTGCTCATTAATGGCTTTAGCCAGAAGGTACACGTCTAAACATCACTAATGGCTTTCTGTTTATTTAGTTCTTAACTGCAAGTTTCTCCTCATTGTGATAACATAAAACCTGGTTTCAAAAGATTTATTTCTAATGATAATCACCTTACATTAAATATAATTGATTCACATACGTGAAAAGATGATCAAATTTCCTGTCATTTGAGCTGGGTGTAATTTTTCTACTCCTTCGCTCTCTTGTGCATCACCACCTCTCATTAATGGGATTTATTATGTAAGTCTGAACAGGAGAATTGCTTTTGAGCTGTTAGTTTTCTCTGGGAATACTAAACCCAGAGGACTGGGCAACATCACACCTTTCAAATCTTGTTATAAATCTATAAACCAGCAGTGACTGGTTAATCAAACAGGCTGCAAATGTTTGGAACCGTTGCGTTGCTGCATCACCGCTGCTGCATTCATTCTTCTATGTGTTTCTTCCCCTAAAAGAGTGTCTGCAGGAAAAAAAGATCAATAAAATTTGTCAATAATTCGTGACAAATTAACTCTCTGGTGTTGCACCCACAGGTGTCCACCTCCACAGTTAACTGGTCTGCAGCCAATGTATATTTTTAATTTTATCTATTAATTTGACTCTTTTTTTGCCCCCCCACCCTGCTATTTTTTCTCAAAATGCTTTAGATAGACAGGGGTGTCTAGCTCACTTGGGGGCCCAAATTAACCCCTTTTTCAAACTAAGGGCCAATTTCAGAATCTACATTAACTCAAATCAGATACTCAGCATTTTTTCTTGGTTGCAGATTCCTCAACAAAAGTTTGATTGGTCTCATTTCATGTTCTCTGTTGCATTTTTGACATCATAATCAAATATTTCTGAAAAAAAAAAAAAAAGTGATAAAAGTATTTTACATTTAAAATATCATCTTGGGGACCAGATAAGATGGGGGCCACATTTGGCCCCCGGGCCTTGATTTTGACACATATGCTCTGCGAGATTAAAGTTTACGCAAGTGTGTTATGTGCCTGAGTGATTCTCAGTCTCGATACTTGTTGTGTCTATGTGAGAGCCTTTGTCTGAGATTATGTGCTTCAATACGTTTGCTTCGACCGTGATTCATATATTGGTGCTAAATCTGTCCCATTTCAAGTGTCTGGTTTAATTAACCATCTTTGCTCTTTTTAAAATGAGCATTTCAGTTCTTTTTTTCAACAAAGGTAGCTCAGAAACAGTGGAACAACACTGCTTACAAACTCCCCTCAGTGTAATGTAATATTCATATATATCCAGAGCTCTGCTTTCTTACAAAACAACAAGGCGCAGCTTGTTACAGCTCGACAGCGCTCGAATCATTTGGGTCATGCAGCTTCACAAAAGAGGTCAGAAAAGCAGTTTTGTGTCGACTCATAAGACATTGTGTTTTGCTGCTTGTTACTGGTGGTGGTGTGTGTGTGGGGGGGGGGGGGTTATAACTTGAGATTCTCAAAGCTCTCCGTGCTTAAGTTCACACTCTGCTGGAACATGTTGTGACTCAGCTGAGCAGTTTGGACCAAATATTCAGAGACACACAAAGTGCTAAAACTGAGAGCACTGACAGAGAAAACAAGAAATGCATTTTAAATAGCAGAAGCATTGGATTAACAGAGCTAATTCTGAATTAATCCCCACACACACAAAAAAATCCCACGAGGCTTGGCATTTCTTCAGTCTTTGCTCTTTGTGGATTTCTCAAGGTTGACATTTAAACTGGCCACAGATATTTGCGCACACACATGCACCGTACGACAAATGAACATGTGAAAAATCAGTCATTTAACACTGAGAAGGACAGAAAAATCAGTATTTGCTGAAGAAAAATGATGTGAATGTAATGTCCCTTTATTAATCCTCCTGCTGCTCTGGGGTCAAAGCGACTCTAAAGCCTTAAACTGAGGCCTCGTCCATCATTTTGACCCAAGGGCAGTAGGAGGGTTTATATGAAATGAAAGGAAAGTACTTCCTCTGATCAGCTGAGTGAAATTCATCATAACAATTGCTGTTTTCATACCATTTGTCTAACGGTGACAAATTTCCCAGCTGAGGTGCATTAAGTGTGTTTTATTCTGTTTTTAGCTACATCAGGTGTAACTTTCTTGCGGGACAGTGTCATCCAGGACAACTCCGGGTGCATCTGCCACAATGGTGGACGTGTGGAGGCGCAGCATCCTGTGGGACGCTGTCAGGATGCTTGACCTCTGACCTCTGTCCTTCCCTTTCCGTCTCCTCCGGGACAGCGGGTGGAGGCACAGGTAGGACAAGAACTTGTTGTGCAGCGAGGCGTAGATGAACGGGTTGTAGCAGGCGGAGCTCATTGCGAGCAGGTGAGCCGACACCTGGATGACGTTCACGTAATTCTTTCCCAGGATGGAAAAGTCCGTGTCCAGGTCACGGATCAGGTTCACCACCTGGAAGGTAAAGGGTGTTATAAAACAAAAACACGTTGCCTTCAGCAGTTAAGTTGTCTTTCAGCAATTAAGTTGTCTTTCAGCAATTAAGTTGTCTTTCAGGGATTCTTACAAAGTGGAGTTATTCGTATGATATGTGGAGCTATTTATTCATACGGTCAGTTTTTTGTGTACCTGTAACGGGAGCCAGGAGAAAGCAAAGCAGAGAATGGACACCAGCAGCAAGCAGAAAGTCTTCCTCCTCCGTCTGCTCCAGGCGGCCCGTGCACATTTTAACTCTGGACAGGCGGTCAAACCAGACGTGGTCCTCTGCTTCAGGTGGAAGGATATAGCGCAGTAGGAAATGGAGACAGCGGCCAGAGGAACAAAGTAGGAGAAGAAGAGGATGAAGCAGGAGTAAATGAGGCGACCTCGCTCCTGGCCGTCCCAGAACTCCTCACACACGGCCATCTCCAGACCGGTTGCATCCAGGTCCAGGTAGACGGTGTGCACAGCTGTAGGTGTGGATAATCCCAGGGAGGACAACCAGATCAGGATCACTAGACACCAGCAAAACTGGCATCCCGCTCTTTTGCGAATGGGATAAGCTACGACTATGTACCGGTCCACCGCAATAGCCATGAGGGACAGAACCGCGGCGTACACAGCCGTGGACTGCATGATGGTCACAAAGTAGCACATGTGGGATCCAAACACCCATCCACGCCTGTCGAAAGCGTAGGACGCCGTCAGAGGGACGCAGAGGACGCACATCGCCAGGTCAACGAGCGCCAAGTTACTGATCAGAAAGTTTGTGGTGTTGTGTCTCTTCTTCTTGTGCCAGATGAGGAAGAGGAGCAGGAGGTTCCCGGAGCAGGCGATCAGAACCACGGCGGAGTAGAGGGGGATGAAGAGCAGCTTTAGACTGAGCAGCAGGTCGAAGCCAGAGAAGGAGGGGACGGAAATGAGTGAGAAAGGGTGGAGGGAAGAATTGCAGCCAGGCAAGAAGAAGGAGGGCAAGGAGTCAGAGGTCAGAGATGACGTGTTCACCCTGGAGTGATTGGCTGCCTTCTCCCAGTCCATCACTACAGGTGAAACAACAAGAAACAAGCGGTTTTTAAAAAGAGCCTTGCATTGTAAATTTATAGTATCAGCTCAGGCTGTACTGCTGTGAATAAAGTAACTTTACTCAACAGGACCTTACAATGATTTAAGGGTGAAGAACTGTTAATACAGTCAACACAAAAGGTTAAATGTCATCTGGACCAGTTTCTTTAAGTGATAAATGTTTCGTTCCCCATCCAGAGGACTTCCTCAGTCTATAGCCTGCCAACCAGATCTGTCCTACAGGCAGTCTTCACTGCTGTGTTTCAAGACAATCTCCTGTTTAGGATTTTATGCAAAACACATCCATCCAAAACAATCAGTCATCATGTACAACAATGGCAAGCCGTAGACTGAGGAAGTTCTTTGGATGGGGGACAGAACTTAAACTCACTTAAAGAAAATGGTCCAGATGACACAATTTAACCTTTTTTAGTTAATACAGTCATTTCTCATTAAATCACAGTATTTGAACCATTTATGAGTTTAATTATTTATTTGTTATTTAATTCATTTATTCATTCATTTAAAATAAAAATAAACAAAACAAATTCATCAAAAAGAAAAAAAAACATTGAATGAAAAGGGTGCAGAAAGAAGAAAAAGATTATTATATCTGCCCCTTATTTAATTTTTTTTTTTTAATAACTACAAACCAACAACAACTCAGGCTTGAACATCTCCAAAGTGAAAACAAAAAAAAATTAGGCATCTTTCACACCGTACTTTCCTAACAATTTTAACTTAATCATCTTTTTAAACATATAAATTGTTTTGGAAATTTTTATGGTGATATCAAGACAATTCCATAATCCTGTTCCCTGAATTACAACACAGCTCCTTCAGATTAGTTCTTAATGGAGGTTTTACAAACATTTCCATTCCCTTAAGGATATAATGACTGTTTTTAAAAACGAATTTAATTGAATTTAGGGGGTAATATATTTTATGAGCTTTATACATGACTTGCAAAATACTATATTCAACCAACTCATACAATATTAATAATTTCAGCTGATGAAATAATATATTCAATGGGCGGCCATAGCACTTCCTACTAATAATTCTTATAGCTCTTTTTGGAAAATGAAATTAGGATTTGTAATTGTTTTGCATGCTTTTCCCCAAACTTGAATACAATAGATTAAATATGGAACAATCATTACATTATACAATATATAGGAAGCTTTGTCATCTAAAAACTCTTTTACTTTATACAGTAATGCAATTAATTTTGCTATTTTTATTCTTAAGTAATTTATATGAGATTTCCATGTCAGCCTCTCATCAATAATGACACCCAAAAATTTAATTTCATTAACTTTATGAATTTCCATATTGTCAATTTTAAATGGGACTTCAATAATTTTCTTTCTATTACTAAACATCATGTAGTTTGTTTTTTTCCAAATTTAATGATAACTTATTAAGTTGGAACCAAGTTTGTATTTTTAAGACTTCTGCCTGTATCATCTCGAACATCCGTTCAATATCTTCACCCGAACAAAAAAATGTTGTATCATCTGCAAACGAAACACACTTCAAAAGCCCTGACACATCAACCAGATCATTCACATACAAAATAAACAACTTTGGTCCCAACACAGAGCCCTGAGGAACTCCACACCCATTCACACAAAATTCAGATCTTCAACCATTTACCTGTACAAACTGTCTCCTATTATTCAAATAACAAGGTGCCCACTGTAGTGCTAATCCTCCAATGCCATATTTATTCAGTTTTTCGAGGAGAATGGTGTGGTCAGTAGTGTCAAAGGCCTTTTTTAATCAACAAAAGCACTAACACAATGCTGTTTTTGATCAACATTTGTTATCTCTCCTATTAGTTCCATGAGAGCCATTGATGTTGAATTTAATGATAAGAGATGTTTAGACAGAATGAGTAATGACCACTTAAGGACTCCAGCCTCACTAAAAGGCTTTTTTTGGTACCTTTTAATAAACATCTGCTTAGTTTTCAGCCATTAGTCTCCCTCCTCCCTAAACCTTATTTCATTTTTTGCCATTTGGATCAAAGTTACGTTTAGTGATAGTAATCCTGAACTCTTACTGATCATAAAATGTCAAATGAAATCTGTGCTCCAGGAAGTGCTGAGTAACAAGAAATACTCCTCAATCAGCCTGATCACATGCATGGAAACAGTCATGAATGACAACATGATTTGCCTGCTGTACTTTCACAAAGACACTTTCATTTGAAATTCTGCTTCCTTTCAACAAATAAGGCAAACAGAAGCAGAAAGAAAGAGAAACAACCAAATACTTGAAGAGATTTGTAAATGCATCTGCTTGGTTGAAGGACAAGATATAAATGGCATCATTTTGACATCAGAACAGAGTGATCTCACTCCGCTGCTCTCGTTTTAAAATGATATAAAGAACAAAAGCACAATAAAAAAAAAAAGAAATTCTGTCTGAGAAGCTGAATTTTCTTTAGCTCCAAAGCAAAATAAAAACCAGGGGGCAGCTGCTTCATTACAGCTTCATCACATTGTGGAGCAGGAATAGGAGCGCAAAAATGACCCAGTCAGGCTGATCACAATCCTGCTACAAAACTACCAGCAGGTTTTTTGGTTTTTTTAAAGCTAAATTTGTCATGTTTGCCATGATCAACAAGCACATTGCTTTACTTTGTGCACAGAACCACAGAATAATCAGGCTCAAACTAAGATTTTAAACTTAATAAAGCTCCCATTAGTCTGCCTATAGGAAAATACAAGAGGTAGAATCCTATACTGTGTATATAAAGTTCATTTGAAATAGAAGAGTACCTTTTTAAGGCTTCAGATGGACGTCTCAGCACCTGTTTGTGTCCTCCGTCTTGGTGGGGGGGTGGGAGTCCTGCAGTTGTGCAGCCGTCACTTCTTCTCTGCAGCCCGCTCGCCTTTATGTGTGCCGTTTCTCTCTCAGTGTGTGTCTCACACACACCTCACAGTGTGTGTTTGAGTGAATGAGTCACCTCCCATAGGGCGAAATAAAAAACGACTCTCCTGTAAATACTAAACAAAGAATCGATAAAAGTTTCTGCTCTTCATCTTAAAATGGCTGTTTTATTATCATATTTCTTCATTAATAAACAAATGATGCCTCAACTCTGTCTTTTTTTTTAATTTTTTTTTTAGATTTTGATTCCTGATGAAAATGCATCTCTCGCTCTCAACTATAAATTATGAACTAACGACGTCCCGTTTCCAGCTGTGAGGTTCTGCACAGGACGGACACTTTTTCGACAAACACACTCAGATTCTAATAGTTTAAAAACGTAGCCCAAATTGAACTTTTAATTAGCAAACCAAAACTTTTCTCCACCGTCGAACACATGCATGTTAAATATTTGAGACGCTAAAACTAATTTAAGACTTGTGAGTCCTGTTGTGTAAGTCGTCAGGACCAATACAGTGACGGGTCAAGTGGTACCAAATACATAGTACTATACTGGCACACATGTAAAAATTATTTATAATTTAAATATTATACGCAACAAAAAGCTCTTTGTTTGGTTTTCCTTACATGTATTAATCAAACTGCAAACCAAATGCTTATATTTTGACCATAAGAAATAACACTGCTGCCAGTGACTCGTTATGGTCACCATGGTAACCACACACCTGTGTCTCTCACTCTCTGACAGACTGAAAATTAAGCCTCAGACAAACAGCTCCTGTGCAAAAGCTACAACTTGATGTCAGATATTCTCGATCCGTGAGTGGCAGAACACGGATGCTTTTTTTAAAAAATTTAATGTTTCTGCTGTGTTTTTCTCAAAATATATGACGTTAAAAATACCTTTTATCTTCTGTTTTGAAAATAATATTTTGAGCTTCAATATAACGAAGTCTGGGGTATACTGGGTGTGCATTCTGCGAGGATTTGAGAGAAACTTAAACCTTGCATCAGTACGACACACAGAGAGTGAAAGAGGATAAAAATCCTCATGTTTTGATGTATATGTATCAAAAAAAGTTGGCAGGATGTAAATCAGAGTTCACAATATGTATTGGAGAAACAGTACTGTGTCTATAATACCTTGTGAACATCTTCAAGAAATCCTACCAGTTGTTGTCAAAACCTTCCTTGCAACAAGAAATCATCAAAAGCACAAACAGTTTTCAAATCTGATTTCACTGAAAATCTTTAAACTGAGGCTGCTTAAAGAGCCATCTGCAACAGGTAAGATATTTAACGGTTGTTATTTTTCCACAGAACCTACAACAAATCTGAACAATTGCTTCAGAGCACCAAGTTGTTCATAAATATCTGATTTTCTTTTCTTGGAGGTTGATTTTATTTTATTTTTCAAGGATTCAAGGTTCTTTATTTGTCATGCAACAAAATTGTGTACACAGGGTCCCAGTTACATCCAACAATAGTATTAAAATGTAAAAGCAAACAGTAATAAGATGTGACCTCAGATAAACATCAACTAAATATACACTAAGCACTAGTAGCATAAAAATCAATACGCCGAACAGCAACACGAACATGAGTCTGAGTGAGCAGATGTGCACGCATGAACACAGCAACATGAAACAGATCAGCAGCAACATGAAACAGATCAGCAGCAACATGAAACAGATCAGCAGCAACATGAAACAGATCAGCAGCATCATGAAACAGATCAGCAGCAACATGAAACAGATCAGCAGCAACATGATGTGATTTTTTCACAGTGATTATTCTAGTTAGAGATTCATGAGTCTAACAGCTTCAGGGTAGAAGCTGTTCCTCAGTCTAGTGGTTCTACACTTAATGCTCCTCAACCTCCTTCCTGAGGGCAAAAAGTGTGTGTGCTGGGTGAGTGGGGTCCTTCATGATGCAGGTGGCCCTCTTCCTGCATCTAGAGGTGTAGATGTTTGTTTGTGATGGTGGGGAGGCTGACTCCGACAGACTTCTGTGCAGCCTTCACCACTCTCTGCAAAGCTTTTCTTTCTGCAGCTGTGCAGCCTCCATGCCACACGTTGATGCAGGAGCACAGGATGCTCTCCACTGCACACCTGTAGAAGGAGGTGAGGACTGAGCTTCCCAGACCAGCTCGTCTCAGCCGCCTTTTCACACTGGTTGTGATTGTTGTTAGTGACACATCGAAACCTTTGAGTCCTGCAGAGACTTCAGCTGTGGCTTCCCTCAGGAGTGCTTCACCCTGGGATAGATGTATGTGCTGATGGGGACAGGACTGAGGTTATTATGAGTGGTTTCAGAGTTATTAGACTGCTGAGCTGTGAGATCCTTCAGGAAGGCCAAGTGCCCCATTCTTCCCTCCCTGTGATGAGTTCTTTTGGCACTGTGTAACTTTTTATTAGTGCAATATCCACAAAGTAATAAACCTGTGTGTTCTGCCACTCCAAGGTCTCATGGTTGTTGTTGCAGGGCAGATTTTCTGGTTTGGTAAATTCTCACCTGTGATGTTCTGACAGCCACAGTGGACTTCCTGGTCTTTACTCTTTCTTTTCAGTGTCATCAAAATGTGTGCAGCATGACAAATCCACTGTGAATCCACCTGACGGGGCCTCTCAGGTCTTTTTTTTTGTGGTTATTTTAGGGTCTTAGTTGCCGTCGTTTCTGCCCTCACGATAAACTGAACGAGCCCTAAAATGACTGAATTCATTGCATTCAGCTCTGAGGTGTTTAGACTTCTCTATAGAGGAAATGACTGTGTCACACGCCTGCACCTTCTTAGAAAAGCACAGATTTAATCAATCAAAAAAACATGACAAAATCACTTACGAGCCCATTTATTTTTCTGCTTCCTTTCAATAATTTTTTTTAACTTGTTTACCAAGATTTTATTTATACAAGAACAGGTCAAGTAGGTTGTTTCTGATGTTTTCCTCTCAGCTGGCCTGACTAAAATGCCATTGACCTTCATCTAAACTGTGCTTTGAGCTGGTGTGGGATCCTCGTGGCCTTTGAGGGGCAGCCGGTTGAAACGCTATAAGAGCAAAAGTCAGAACAAAATAAACCAATTGCTTTTGGCTCCACAGCATCAATATTTGCTGGAGGATATCGGTGTTTCTGATAAGTAATAAAAGTACAACCCAGCATTCGTTTCTGCCATTTTCTGGCAATAGATTCATCGACAGCAGTTTGACGTTAAGGATTCCTGAAAGTTGAGAAAGACAAATGTATTTTTTAGAAAACTCAACAAATATCAGTGATTAAACATGAGGAATATGATATGGTTCATTTATTTAATCAAATCTCACAGATGGATTTCTTTATGAACACCTTACAGAGATGGATGTTGCATTTTTTTATTAAGGAGAAGGTTTTAAGCAGATTTTAATTTCCTGCTTTTCAGCAGCTCTTACTAATATTTAATTCTGCTTATTACCCCGTACAAAGCTTTTCAGTAACTGATCCTTTTGAAATAGTGTTCAGGAAGCAACAAAAGTCCATTTTATTTGAATTTATTTAAAAGAGAAATAAAGATAGTCGATGTTGGAGTTCTTCTTTTGGGTCTTTGAGGACAACAAGTCGAATCCTGGAGGTTTTGGTGTCCACATCGAGGATGAAGCTTCGGCTGCTGTTTTTGTTTTAATTAACTGGTTTTATCAAGATTTTCCCAGGCTGAGTTTATTTTGTTAAATGGTAAATTTGGGTACTTGTTGCATCTGAGGCCAACGATCGCCTCACACATCATCTCTGCAATAACAAACATACCTGTGGGACACTTTGATTGTTTTTTTTTGTGTGTTTTTCCCGCATTAATTGTGCAGATTCACCTTGATGCAAATTTACTACAGCTTAAAAATAAAAGTTCAGTGCAAATGAAAATGTATAAATCCATTAAAGCTATCCACTTTTGATGCTTCATCATTTATCACCACACAATTCTCTAAAATAAAAAGCTAAAACAAGACACTTTCAAGTTCTATTTGTTTAGTTCAGCTGAATCACTGGACAGAGTTATTTTTATTAACCTTTTTTATTTCACCAGGCAAATCACCTCGAGGTCACAAATCTGTTTTACAAGGGAGGCCTGGGCCTGAAGGCAGCCTGACATGCATGTTTTTGGACTGGTAGAGGAAACTGGAGTACTCTGAGAAAACCCATACAAACATGAGAACATGTAAACGCCACACCGACAGACCCCAGGTCCAAATCCGGGATTGAACTCAGGACAGGCTTCCCAGCCCCACTGACGGTGAAGTTTCTGCAGAATCTCTGAGTCTGAGTGCTGGTATGATGACGTGATCCTTGTAACCTCATTTCATTCACATGAGTAACAGACTTCTGTATTGAGAAATATCCGTGAGGGGTATAAGGGTCGTGTTAGACTGGTAGTTACAAGTGTTCGATATGAGGGAAGAAAACCAGCTCAAGAAATGGGATGATTGATGGTACGTGTCCATACTTGTCTCTAAAATCTTGCGTCGGGGTCTTGGGTTTTCTCTGTTCAGTCAGAGGCTTGCAGTCCTGTTGCTGGAGTTATGAACATGTTCAAAAACTTTGTGTGGCATGTTTTCTTTCAAAGTAGTTGCAGAGTTGCCTCAAAGCCTTCTCAGTTCAGTTTCTTTTATTCTATAGCACCTGAGCTGTATTTTGACACCTGCAGAGGAGCTCTCTTTAGAACATTGGAAACAGTTAAGGATACAGCCTCAAATGTCCAGGTAAAAAGTAAAAATTAACAGCAGGTTCAAATGTGCCCATCGTCATTTGAAAAGTGTAGATTCAATCATGAGCATGACTTTTACAAGCTGCACTTACAAAATAAATTAAGATTTTCAAAAACTGCCTGATCAGTGATGGCGGCATGGCTCACTGGTCGCAAAAACTCAGAAATCAACGAGACTGGAATAGAAGAATTGCCATTTTTCTTACGATTTCAAGCCATCAACTAGTCTTACATTTTTAAGCTGAACTTTATGTTTTGTGGTTCATGAGTTTTTTTAACTAAGGATGAAATGAATTTGGCTCCACGCTGCCATCTAAAGATCTCAGAGCCGTGGTCACAGTTGCGTCGTAAGGTCCTTTACTGCAAAACACAAACAAAACCTCACCAGACCAACAGTTTTAATTATAAAACTGTCCTTTTAATGGTACACCAGCAGGCACGTTTCAACAGCACTTTAACATAACTGTTCTAGTTTCAGCTGCATGTAACAAGCAAAGATCAGCATCAATTCTTACCATTTTTTATGCGGATACAAAAGAAATATTACATAGTATGTTACAGTATTTTCTTGAACATGTAAAAGTCACTTTAAATCAGACTCTAGATGTTAAACTTTTAAAAAATAGAAAACTTCTCATCTGCAGGCGTTGCATTTTATTGCAACATGAGCGTAAACACGATCTCTCTTCTACTTCTGCACATTTAGTTAAAAATGAAAACCTTTATGAGACTTAACTTAATGCTGTTGTTTTGTAACAAACCAAACTTCTAGTACATGCAATATTTTTGAGTTGCAACGATAAGACATGACGCAACAACTGAGAATACAGAGAAGCTGCTTTTTGATAAAGGCTTGTTCAGAACACTTCTTTAACATAACGGGGCTCCACTCACAGATCATTCTTACAGAACATGTACAAACTATTCCGCTCAGCATTCACATTTGAACAGGATCATTTCTCTGGGCTGTGAGGGTCTTCTTCAGCGCTCTGCGTGTCTTCTGCTCTGTCCTGGGTCTGATTTGGTCCCGCTGGTTCTTCACTCCGAGACGGCCTCAGGAGATACTCCAGCTCCTCTGCACTGATGGCAACCTTCTCTGGGATCAGCCATCTCTTGAGGTGCTCCAGAGCGCTGGGAAAGGCGATGCGAGAAGTTACAGACGGAAGGTCTTACAAAGGAGCACATTCTCTCATAATATCCATTTGAGGTGGAAAAAACTCATTTAGATTCAGTTGTGGAGGATGCTCCACTTCCATGTCCTACCTCTCATCCATGTCACCACTTTGGAAGAGCTCGGAGGTCTGGGCGTCATGCAGGAACCGATCCCAGCATTCTTTCTTGGCTTGAGACAAAGAGCGCAAGATGTCTCTGGAGGTCACATCACTGGACTGGCCCTTTATTTTCTTCAGGCGGTTCTCTGCAAATAAACATAAAATCATCGTGTTTTATTCTTTATTTATTTATTTTTATTTTAAACCACACTGACATGAAGGCATCCCTGTAAGAGTTAGTGATGCTGTCTGAGAGGACAGGGGGAAAACTGAGACCAGGGGCATACCTAAACCTGCAATGTAGACCTCAGAGTCCTCCATGGGTTCCCACTCAGCTCTGGGAGAACTGGTTCTGGTCCCGTTCACTTGCTCATTGCTCTGCACTCCTTGTTGCGATGCTGGACGGAAAGAATCTGTGAAGTCAGTGGTGTCCTCCACCGGACCAGTCTCAGACTGGACCTCCGGCAGACTGGAGCAGATTTCCGACCAAAGCTCGCCACTGGACCGAACCTCCTGGTTCTCGAAGTCCTCAATCATATTTCTGGGTCCAGTCACTGAGCTAAAACAGATGCCACAAATCAGTCCTAAGTTAAACCGCATCCCTTCAACAAGACTAAAGCGAATCATTACGTGACTTTAAAATAATTAGCTTACTGCACATTTAAACCTACTAGATTGGTGCTAGTCTTTTTTTTATGTTCTTCAAACAATTTTCCGCCTTGTTACATTAAAACTGAAACATATTTCTTACCTGGGTAATAATCTCGACAGGTTAATTGTTATTATAGCTAATACTTTCAGTTTAGTTACGAGAGTTTAGCTTTGAAGGCTAACTGTACATCAACAGTGAACTGACCGCCCCTTAACCACCGGTATATGATTGGACAATGTAGCTGCCAATCAAACGTATTTCAGATATGATTGGACAGTTTTGACGACACGTGGAAACAATCGAATCCTATTGGTTGAGGACTGTTTGGAGCCAGGAAGTGTTTCTCATCTTAAAGTGACGGTGACCACCAACTAGCAAGGTAAACAACTACAAATAATGATCTAGATTAAATTCCTTTACTGACGACATAAACATTAGTGACCGTGTACCGGTGTGTATTTTCGTTAAGTAACGTTTACTTAACAAGTTAAGTCAAGTAGTTTTGTAAAACATTTTCACTGCTACTTCTTGCAGCTCAGCTTCAAAAAGCGTTTTGCAGGAGCCCAGAATAAAATACAGTATAGTTTATTGTGTGTCAGTCAATGAGGATTTCAGTGGTTGTTGAACTACAGGGAGGTCCAGTGGAGGAGATGCGAGCGGTGTTGCGCCTGGCTGTCTTGGCTGTCCCCATGGGTGTGCTGCTGTCCCGGACCATGGCGTGGATGTCCAGTGGCAAGACACATTCAGAGCTCATCAACAGGCTGAGAGGTAAAAATACTAGAGATCCAGCTTTGATACCCTTGTTCAGACAGTGAGTGGGCTCTGATAGGCTGGGTCACCATCTCTGCCACAATCTGTGTCCCTCTTTAACTTTATATTTTTTTTAAAAAAGGCAGACAGCATCAACTTGTAACCTGAAACTTTCATGTTATTTGTTTGTTCATATAAGAGGTGGGGATTCCTCCTGTCTGAAATTAAGAGTAAATCACGATCTGGGGGATACGTCAATTAAAACTTGATAGTGAAACATTGTCTGTCCTTTATTGAGGGGGAGATCCAGATTATGTCTGTGGAAAACTACCGGTAACTGAGGTCTGTCCTGGTCCTTCGGGGTCACTATCCTGCACGATTTGGTTTCTCGGTTCCAGCACACCAGAACCTCAGGACATGAAGAGGTAATTTAACCAGGTGTTCTGGAGCAGGGAAACAAGTAAAACATGCAGGATAGTGGCCCTCAAGTACCAGGATTGGAAACCCCTGCTGCTCTAAACTGTTAGGAACGCTGTGCTTAATGATGAGGATATAAAATAAACACATTGTGTCTGTGCTGACACCAAAAAAATGGTAAAAATGTACTAATTATATATCACCTTTCTATCTTATCAAGATGCTCAAAGCACTTTCCAACACAATCTGTGCCCTCATTTACCCATTCATACAGCACTCTATCTGTACAAAAAATAATCAGTGCTTTATCACATTCATACACGCACACACATCAGAGGCAATGAGGGGTTCAGTGTCTTGCCCAGGGACACTTCGGCATGTGACTGCTGGTGGAATCGAACCCCCAACTCTCGCATTGGAGGACGACTGCTCTAACCACTCAGCCACAGCCTTCCCAAAAAAGACGAAAAAAAAAAAAAAAAAAAAAACAATAATTCCCAAGAATAAAGTAAACAACAGTTTACAGTGATGTAATCAGGAAGGTACATCTCTTGTGTCCAGCAGATGTAACGTTACAACTACAATAAAAAAACAGTTTACATGGACTCAGCTGCTCTGCTTTCTAAGTAGAAGACAAATAATACCTCACTGAGAACTATAATGGCATTTATTTTTACTTTGAACTACAACTTCAACAATAAACCAACAACACTCACACAATAAGTTAACACATGGAACTTTTTTAGGTTTACTTGGTTGAAGTTGACGAGTAGTTATTTAAATCTGCTTTTTCTGCTTTGTGTGCTCCTGAGTCAGGGTACAAATTATTTCAGAGGTGATTACCTTGGCTAGCACCTGTCTCCTGACAGAGTTACTCACTAACTAGAAGATGGAGTCCCTGACATATAAGGCAGTAAATGTGGATCAGACAAAAACCAGCTGCTAAACTTGATTTACTGGCATGCCTAAAACATGCAATCCACCAGAGATTTTGTCTTGTACAGTTTTGCCATTCGCTGAGTTTAATTCTCCTTTATATTTTTCTCCAGATCATGGGGTCATTCGCAACGACCGAGTGTTTGAAGCCATGCTGGCCACTGACAGAGGACTTTACTCCAGAGACTATCCTTATGCAGATTCTCCACAGACCATAGGTACTCAGTCCAGTCTCACTTTTTCAACAACATTAAGACCACAGATTTATTCCTCTATCTAGTGGCATCAACACACCTTTGATTTATGGGAGCATGGAAACATTCAAGTAAATTAAGTAATGGCTGTAACACAAGGATGGGTCAACAACTGTCAATCTGTCACACATATTGCAAACATTCACCACTGTGGATCAAGTGAACCAAGATATCGCTACTGAAACAACTGGCTAGAAAGAGATTGTCAGATTAATTGGATTTGTAAATAATCTGTGAGGCAGGATTCATATGTAGCAACGATAAGCTACAAATAGGTCTTAGGGTAGAAAATCAGTGACAAGTAAGACAATGACAATGACTAAATCTGCCTCAGTGAGTGTCATATGTCACTAAGCAGCTATGTGGGTTATCACTAAATCTATCAATATAACAGTCATTGTTTCATTAGTGCAGATGAGCAGTGACTATCTTTTGTTTATTTTTTCAGGCTACAGGGCAACCATCAGTGCTCCCCACATGGTGAGTAATGAATGCCAAACTGGACTGTCAATAATTAAGAAGCTACATAGCGTTGTAGGAAGTAAATAATGTTGTGCACATGAGTCATCAAAAGATTTTATGTGTGTTTATTTGCTGTATTTGACAGCACGCGCATGCTTTGGAGCTGCTGAGCGACAAACTGACTGAAGGCGCCTCGGCACTGGATGTAGGTTCAGGAAGTGGATATCTCACAGCCTGCTTTGCAAGAATGGTCAGTTCTGTGTTTAAACTTAATCAAGATCCTTTAAAAATCTGACTTTATATTGTGGTCTGACTTTGTATTAAATTTACAGTATGACTGAGTGCAAGGCTGTGTTTTCCTATCATGTAGACGGGACCCAGTGGTAGAGTGGTTGGCATCGAACACATTGATGAACTGGTGCAAATGTCAATAAAAAATGTGCAAGCTGATGACCCTGAGCTGCTGTCTTCTGGACGGGTGAGATTTATAGGTAAGTCACGACACTTTAAAGTGATGTTGATATTTAGACAGTACAGCAAAAGACTGTATTACCTGTGACGCACTAATGTGTTTGCAGTGGGAGATGGAAGACTTGGCTTTCCAGATGGAGCGCCATATGATGCCATTCATGTTGGTGCGGCTGCAGCTGCCGTTCCCAAGGATGTAAGGACACATACACAATGTTGTAGTATACATAGTCGTTTTCTTAAATGTAAGATGTAAAAGTCCTTTTGACTTCTGTTTGTTGAACTAGATGTTTTTTCTTACAAAAGCTCTTAGAGCAGCTAAAGCCAGGAGGAAGGATGGTTCTTCCAGTGGGCCCTGAAGGTGGCAGTCAGGCGCTAGAACAGTATGATCGTCAAAGCAACGGGACCTTCCTCAAGAAAGCTTTGATGGGAGTGATTTATGTTCCACTCACTGACAAGAGGCATCAGTGGCCAGGGTAAATAAAAACATTGAATCTATTATTCCAAAAGTGAAAAGGAGTAATTCACCTTCATTGCTATCCTTCCTTGTTTCTTCAGAGGCGAGCTGTGACTGCAGTGTGGTTGCCCCTGCAGGAGGTGGCACTGGTGTTGTATTTCTGGGGTCTGGTAGTTCTCCTCACTCATTGAGCTCATGTGTTCATGACCTTCTGCTCCACTGGGCCGACACCGAGCACCGTAAAAAGAGAATCCTGATCCTGAACAGACTGCCTGCCTGGAGAGCCGACACAATAAGTAACCGAATAAGTGAGCTCTGGTTTACTGATTGCCGTGTTCCCACAATTCTTGGGAGAAAGAAAAACGGGAATGTTGATGAGAAAGAACTGGCAGCGTTGTTTATGAGAAAGCTTGTGAAGCAATGACCTATTACATCTTGGAAGCAACAGTAATAGTTTAAAATGCTTGCAGGAGATTCAAATGAGTGCTTAATGTTTGTGCAAGCTTAAGGGAATGCTTTGATCACAAATGCAGTGAACACATGGGGATAAGCCACAAAACTAATAAAAAATAACACAATAAAGTGATATATATTTTTCTGAGACTGCTTTTTACATATCTGTGAATATGCTCTGTTTGACAAAAGATATGAAACTGTTAATTGCAGAACCATGTAGACATGTTCCCGTTTTTAGTATTTTTCCTCACTATTTTACATGTAGTTGTTTTTGTTTCATTCTTATATCATTTCTTCTATTTACTTTTCATTTTATATGCTTTTTGTCTATTGTCTGTACCTCATCTGTGTTCTTTGTTTAAAACGGGTCTATTGTAAATGAGTTCTCGAGGCTCAGTGAGACTAACGCATAAATAAAGGCTAAATGAATGAATAACACAAACACATTTTTGAACAACAAAAAATGTAATTAAACATGTAAATCAAATTTAATAATAAAAGATACTGAAAGGTAGAAGTGGGTAAAGATAATAGATGGATGGATATACTGAATTAAATGTTACATAAAGTGGCGTAAATCAGTTTTTGGAATATCATAAAAGTGAAAAAGATTTTGTTTTTATTGTAACCAACGAATACTTCTTGAGAAGGTTTTTTTTTTTTCCTGGATTGTTTTGTTTTTAATGTTTATATCTTTAAATAACAGCTTTAAAGCGGCTGAAGGTTATGGAAGGATCTCACCAAGTGCTCCATTAAAAAAATTATATATTAGAAAACAATAAATAGTTTACTTCGTAGATGCACTGTACAGCCACAAGTCAATATTTTAACTGGTTAAAAAAAATTATACTGACTTTCATACGTTTACTTTGTAAAAGTTACTGGAAACTGATGCTGTCATTGACATCTTTTTTATGAAGAACAAAAGTAGCTGGTGTACTTTATTCTGCAAATTAAATATGCATAATTGTCAAATCATACAGAATATTTTTTTCTAAATGAATAAATATATTGTCTTCAAAATGAAAACAAAAATAGTTTTTCGCTCTTAATTGTAAACAAATTTGAGCCATATTGGGAAACTTGAAAAATGTATTTTTATTGCAAATATAGAACATATATGAACAAAGGAGAACTAATTATAAACACAAATACAGCAATCAAGGGTATTACAGAACATAAAACAATATTTTACAATGTTAAAATCAAATCGGTGCTCGAGGGAGTTGAAGTTCTTCAAGTTCTTTGAATGGCTTTAGCATTTGAGCTTCGTTTTAAAGATTCTATATAAATATTTATAGAAGATAATAAAATCTGGAAGTTGGGCTTCTGTTGTAAATATTTGAAGGTGTGAATGTGATATTTATCATAACTAATAAAAAGTTAATAACGTATTGAAAAAATGTAAACAAAAACTGAGCTAGCTACTACGTCATCATTATGCGCTTGTTCAAAGAAGGACCCACTCCAGTCGAAGCTATACGCGTGTGCGCATTAGCTGGAAGTTCGCTGCTTTTGGCCCAGACTAACAAATAAATGTATTTAGCTTGTTTCATTCCGTCTCGCAGCATTTATAAACTTCTGGGTCCTTGTTTTATTTATTCGCAGACGAAACAAAGGCACTTGGCGATGGAGGCGGCGGGTAAGAACGTAGAAGTTCGGTCGGACGCAAACTCTGAACCAGCGGTGGGAGAAGCCGCGGCGACAGAAAATGGAAAACGTAAAAGCGAGGAGCTGGATCAACAGGAGGCGAGTGGCAGGGGGAAGAGGCGGAGGGAAGCAGGGGGGAGGAAGCTCCGTCCGAAAGAGAGGTACATCCCACCGCCGCAGAAACGCAACCCAGGCGTCAGCTTCAGGCAGGAGCACTTCGACGAGGCGTCCTATTACTTCGAAAACGGGCTGCGGAAGGTGTATCCTTATTATTTTGACTTCAAGACTTACTGCAAAGGTCGGTGGATTGGAAAGAGCCTCCAGGAGGTGTTCACGAACGAGTTCAGAGCCGAGTCTATGGAGTATTACGAGAAGGCGGTCGAGAAGGGTCGTATCCGGCTCAATGGGAACCCTGTGAAGAACCTGTCCATGGTGCTCAGGGTCAGTGATCACTGTGTGTCTTCAGACATTTTAGGTGTTATATGATTTTTATACTTTTAATCTGATTGTTGTCATATTTAATATGTAACTTGAGTCTCTAGGATTTTTGGTTTATAATACTGTAACTCATGAGTGACCCCAACTTGAAGTTGCATCTTCTCTCTTTCTAGAATAATGACCTCATAGGCAACACCGTGCACCGCCACGAGCCACCTGTAGTCGGCAGGCCCCTGGAGATTCTGGTGGACGACGGGGAAGTTCTTGTAGTTGACAAGCCTGCCTCCATCCCTGTCCACCCCTGTGGTCGTTTCCGCCACAACTCTGTGATTTTCATTCTGGGTAAAGAGCACGGCATCTCTGCGCTCCACACTATCCACAGGCTGGACAGGCTTACGTCCGGAGTCCTGCTGTTCGCTCGGACACTCGAGACGTCAAAGAAGCTGGACCAGATGGTGAGAGACAGACAGGTACGTTCAGGAGGGCTTGAGATTGTACTTGTGTTTCAATTTTGGGGGGGTTCTTCAGACATCTTACTTTGTTTTCCAGCTTGAAAAGGAGTATGTGTGTCGGGTAGAGGGGGAGTTTCCTGAGGCCGAGCTAATCTGTGAGGAGCCCATCCTGGTGGTTGCCTTCAAAGTCGGCCTCTGTAGAGTCGACCCAAAGGGGAAGGAGTCCCGAACTGTTTTCCAGAGGCTCAGCTTTAATGGAAAAACAAGCGTGGTCCGCTGTTTACCCCTCACTGGACGCACTCACCAGATCCGGGTCCACCTTCAGTACTTGGGTTTTCCCATCCTCAACGATCCCATCTATGGGTCCTTAGTGTGGGGTCCTCACAGGGGCAAAGGGGGAATGATTGAAAAGAGCAACGAGGAGCTGCTCCAGGCTTTAGTAGAGGAACATCGCTCGCAGGAAAATTTACACCTGCTCGATCTGATAGATGACTGCACTGGGGTCACAAAGGATTCAGAGAAGTCATGTGAGCAAGTGGACAATTTACGTAGTTTCTCTGAACCTGCCGAGAGTGGAGGAAGTGAAGTACCAGCAGAGCAACGTGTTGGTGACAACCAGCTCAAAAGCACTGAAAGTGTGAATCTTAATGAATCTCCAACTTTAACAAAATCAAATGATGATGTGACCACAGCAGACCGCTCTGCACAGAAAAATCCCTCCGTGACCCGAGACCACCTGTGCAGTGAATGTAAACTGATGCGAGCGGACCCCACTAGTAATGAACTCATCATGTATCTCCATGCTTTACGCTACAAAGGACCCGACTTTGAATATTCAACACGATTCCCCGACTGGGCCAAAGAGGACTGGGTGGAAACGGAGTAAAACAGTTCTAACGGACACGATAGAAATCGTTTTATTTTAAGGCTCCTTGATTCGTTTCGTCACTTCTCAGCAGATCTTTAGTAACTTGGAAGTTTTGTTTGGCTGCTTTAATTTAAAATCCATTTTCCTGTGAGGACTTATTAAACAACATAGCGGAAGGCTGTAATTTGCTGGAACAAAACAATAAATCACTGGTGTGCAGGAAAAGGGTTTTATTTTTTGTGAAAAACTAACAACACTGGCAATTCTAACAGGGATGACACTGTTTTTTTTGTGCCAACAGAAACCTGATTGTTGTCTGTAAGGCAGGTTCTGCTGAATGAGTTCAAACAAAGGCTCCGTGATTATCTGACATTTAGGGTAAGAGCTTCAAAAGATCTGCTCATAGGCACATTTTATGTTCATCTTTTCATGCTCAACCACAGTCACTGCCACGTAACATGTCTGTTTTTATACCTAATATCATTTGAAGAACAATAAACACGTCTTACTTTGCACAAAACACTTTCAGTAATAAAAACCAAACTTATTGAGACACTTGGAACATGCTGGTAATGTGATAAACGTGATCTGCTGCACAGAATGAGCTCAGCTGTGGAGAAAAGCTGAACGACAGACCGTCGGCTACGAAATAAGCCAAAATGTGTGTTTTTATTAAATATGATGCAAACAAAACCGTTCCAGTTAAAGCATGTGGAGGATAATTAAAGCCACGTTCTGATTTTGTGGCAATTATTTAAAAAAATATACTCGTGCATGGATTTTTTTTGTTTTTACGTGCAGCTCTCTCGTGTCTGAAAACAGTTTGCAGAGACAGATTTTCTACCAGCGCTGTTCGTGCACAGGTCTGTAACATTAACACGTTGGGAAAATGCATTAGAGCTTCTGTGGAAATGTGTTAAAACAAATAATGTTTGTATTTGAAACTCATTTGAACTATAAAATCAGTAAATACAAGATTTGGCTCTGACAGTACACAGTTTCATTACCAGGACTTTAAATTTAAAAAAGCATACATGGCACACCGATGCTAACTAAATGTGATTTTCTAAGTCATCAAGCATAAATGACTGACAGGCGTTAGTAACTTTAACAAGTGATTTATATTCTATTTCTCCATACAAAATATAACTTTCTATAAGAGCCATATCTTCTTATATTTGGTCATTTCAACCCTACCAAGGGATATAAAATCCTCTGTACTCCCAAATATTTATTGCCTTGTGAGCTAAATGTTTCAAACAGTCTGATCTGACAACTATTTCTATTAAAATTTACACTTAGAGGAGAGAGCAAAGCATCTTAATGTGATTTAAAATAAATTACTGATCCATGTAACGAGTAGGGTACAGTCAAGATTGGTTTTCTAGAAAATAAACTTCAAAAATATTACAAAATAGTATTAATCAAAACCTTTTATTTGCACATTAAGACATAAAGCTTGATTGTAATTGATTCATGGTTAATTTAAAGTCAAAATAGATTTTTTAGAAATAATAAAAAAAAAATCTTAAGAAGTTCATAAATGCTGCATAAGATTTAATTTCTGACGCGACCATTCAGGTATTGTGGTACGACAGACGAGATTACAGCATAAAGTGCAAAAAATATTAAATATTCCAGTAAAATAAAATTATTTAATGTTGCGATTCAGAAAATATATAAAAATAATATTTAAAGTGTGTTTCTTAAACATTTATGTTATTCAACTGGAGCAAGTATAACTCCTATATGAAAGATTTGATCAGTTCTATATAAAGATTTAATTTATCTGTAAAAAGGTTAAAACATTTTTCTACAACAAATATAACTTCTTTTTTTTTTTTTTTTTTTGCGGCTGCTCACTTCTTCAGGGGCCGCCACAGCGAGCTAACTCGCACGAAGACGTGGCAATTATTTTTACGCCGGATGTCCTTCGTGACAACCACAGACACTGAGTGGAGCAGAGAGCTGCTATCTAGGGCGCTGGGGGAGCAGATGGTGGGGGTCAAGGGCCCAGAGTGGGGCAAATGAGGGTGGAGGCAGGTGTAGGTGCTTCACCACTTTTCCCACCCACATTTTGAGTCGACTGTCTGGGAAGTTGAACCAGCGATCTTCCGATCACAGGACCACCTCTGCACCACCACTCCCACAAATATGAGTTGTGAGGGGAAACGGATCCTACACAGCTTTGAGAGACAAACTTTAATGTGTAAATGTGATGTACTTGAGGGAAAAACTAGAATTTAGCAAATTCCCAGAATTATTTTTCTTCTTGTAATTTAGAATCAACGTTATGAGTTTAAGAGCTGAGGTTAACAGACCTGAAACAAACACAAAACCTTTGAATTTATCCATCCATTATCTTTTACTCGCTTCTTCCATTTTAGGTCACGGGGGTCGCCGGTGCCCATGTCCAGCAATCACTGTGCGAGAGGCGGGACACCCTGGACAGGTCTCCAGTCCATCACAGGGACACATAGAGACAAACAACCATTCACTCTCTCGCTCTCACCTAGGGACAATTTAGAGTTACCAATCAGCCTAACATGCATGTTTTTGGTCTGTGGGAGGAAACTGAAGTACACAGAGAAAACCCATGCATGCACGGAGAGAACATGCAAACTCCACCTATAAAGGCAACAGCTCTACCAGTTGCGCCACCGTGCTGCTCCCTTTAAATTTATACAGAACAAAAATATAAACGTAACACTTGTTTTATTCCATTTTTTCATGAGCTGAACTCAAAGATCTGAGACTTTTTCTTTGAACAAAATACTTTTTCTCTCAAATATTGTTACAAATGTGTGTAAATCTGTTAGTGAGCACTTTTTTCTAATCCATCTCACAGGTGTGGTATGTCAAGATGCTGATTACACAGAATGATTATTGCACAGGTGAGCCTTGGGCTGACCACAACAAAAGGCCACTGTAAAGTGTGCAGTTTCATCACAGCACAATGTCACAGATGTCTAAAGTTTTGAGGGAGCGTGCAGTTTACATGCTGACTGCAGGAATGTCCACCAGAGCCGTTGCCTGTGAATTGAATGTTCATTTCTCTACCATAAGCTGTGTCCAAAGGTGTTTCACAGAATTTGTCAGTGCATCCAACAGGCCTTACAACTGTAGACCACGTGTAACCACACCAGCCCAGGACCTCTACATTCAGCATCTTCACCTCCAAGATCTTCTGAGACCAGCCACCTGGACAGCTGCTGCAACATAATCAAAACATTTCTGCACAAACTGTCAGAAACGTCTCAGGGGAGTTCATCCGCATGCTCGTCGTCCTCATCGGAGTCTCCTGACTGCAGTTCATCATCGCAACTGACTTGAGGGGGCAAATGATCTCATTTGATGGAGTATGATACATTGGAGAAGTTCTCTTCACTGATGAGTCCTGGTTTTCACTGTGCAGGACAGATGGAAGACGTATGACGTGTGAGTGAGCAGTTTGTTGATGTCAACGCTGTGAATCGAGTGAACATGGGCATTCCTGCAGCCAGCATGTAAACTGCACACCATCAAAACGTAACATCTGTGACATTGTGCTGTGATGAAACTGCACATTTTGCCTTTTGTTGTGGTCAGCCTAACGCTCACCTGTGCAATAATCATTCTGTCTAATCAGCATCTTGACATACCACACCTGTGAGATGGATTAGAAAAAAGTGCTCACTAACAGACACACATTTGTAACAATATTTGAGAGAAAAATGTATTTTGTGTACAAAGAAAAAGTCTCAGATCTTGGAGTTCGGTTCATGAAAAAATGGGAGCAAAAACAAAAGTGTTACATTAATATTTTGTTCAGTGTGGCTCGTTGGAGTAAATTCCAACACGGTGCACAGAGTTCATACTGTTTTAGTAAAAGGCTTGTCTGTGCAGAGTTCATCTTCATAAGTTCAACAGTCCTAAAGCTGAAGTTAATGGTGGGTTTAAAACAAACTCTTGTCTCAAGTGATGCAACGATGTCGCTGAACAGAAAGCTCTCATCATCCTCAGCTTGAGAAAACACTGACTTTGTCTTGAACAGACCTTCGCAGCAACATTTAAAAAGCATGCTGTCAGAGATTACATTTGCAAGTGGCTTATATTTCCATTTAAAGTTCTTTACAAATGTAATTTTTGTTTAATAGTTTACTGTGTTTTTGAAACAAGGATCCACAGTGTTTGCAATCGTTTTTTCCAACGTTGCTCAGCATGCATCCTCTCGCTTGCCATCTCGCTTTATCCAAACGTCTGGTAAGTCCGATTTACTGTTGGGCAAAATGACCACCTCCTCACTCCTGCCAGCACGGTCCTTCCCACAGCTTTCATAAACGGTTTCTTTCAGTGAGAGCCTCAGCGTGTCTCTCTTTCCGTTGAGGTGTCCCGGCTGTAGCTGAAGCTCTGCCTCGTGTTGTTGCAGGTTTGAAGGTCCTGCTTCGAGGTCACTCAGACATGTTTCGCAGGAGTCCTCCAGGCCCTCACAGGAGTCCTCCAGGCCCTCACAGGAGCTCTGAGACTGGGAGGAGTGGGCCCCTTTGTGCTCAATCAGTCCCTCCTTTGTGGGGTTTGCATCTTTGCAGACAGACGGCTGGTCTGTGGTCTCCATTGTGTGGCTGATGATGGTCTCCTCTATGCTTGAGGATGAGGAGTAGGAGGTATTGCTCCACAGCTTTGCCCCAACCGACTGACCCATGCAGGTTTTACACAGCAGCTTTCCTGTAGAAGGGTCTTTTTGCAGCAGGCTTGCAGGGCGGAGGGTGTTTTCTCTGTAAGGAGATGACGTCTGGACAGCTGGCGGTTGTTGACCCATCTGCTGACTGCACATTTCTTCACTTTCCCTGTCCATGCCATTCTTCTCTACATCGCCTACACAATACTCAATCTCATCTGAGAGCACAGAGGGCCGGTTAGATAGCTTACTGGTGCACGTGCTGTTCTCAAAGCTGTCACTCCGGCGATAAGCCAACGGCTGCAGCTCGTACTGCTCTGCCCGTGCACCTCCACTCGGTTTCTGCCTGTGCTGATTCTGCTGGTTAGGGTAAAGGTAACCACACGCCTCTTTGTCATGACTCCGTCTCCTTCTCAATCTGCCAAAGGCCCCGTTGGCAGCTGAAGCTGTCGATGGTTCAGAATAAGCGGTCAGCACAGCGTCCGTCTGCGCTGAAAAGCACGGCAGCGCAATCGTTCCACAGTTTTCTCTGGGTCCGAAAAAACAGCACAGGGACTGGAAAAAGAAGGTCGCAAATCCACACGCGACACATTTCACTAGAAACAAGAAAATCCCAGTTTTTCTGAAATGTAAGGCTGTGGTAGGTAACATGATGATCCCCATAAAGAAAAATGCCCCAGAAACTATTGCTACAGGACACCCCATCTTTTTAGTGGAGTGCGCAACTTTTCCAATTTTGTCTGAATGTGGAGCCAGGCTGTATGATATGCAGTAATTTGCTACAAAGTCAACAGACAACCCTGCAGCTGAGGATATAAACAGAGCCTCAATGCCACTCAGCTGCCATTCAAGCAGAACAAGGAGGCCAGTGCTGACAAACACACTCCCTCCCACAGCGACAGTGGCGTAGATGCTCAGTGGAATATTCCAGGTGGTTGAAAGGAACAAAACAAAAGTCAGAGCTATAGAGAAGCCAGCTACTACCAGAATCTCTGAACTTAAAGACTGCTGCAGGTCAAAAAGAGACAACTGGCTGATGAACCAGCCTTTCTCCAGCCCTTGTGGTGCTCCTGACATCTCTTTGTTAAACCACGCCAGGATTTCCCTGTAAAAAACGCTGGTCCTGCTGAAGTTGAAGCTGTTGAGGTATGTGGTTTTGAATGCCAACACAAGGGCAGCAATTCTGCCGTCCGGCTGGAAGTACACGCCTCCACCGTTAACAGGATGGCCTTCAGCGTACATCTCTGCCAGCATCATATTGAGGCAGCTCTCAAAATCGCTGGGAGTGTACGGGAAAGTGATGTTACAGCAAAAATGAAGGGTGTCATCATTTTCTAAGCACCTCCTGATGGAAATCCAGCTCACCAGCTGCTCCACAAGACAGACGTTATCTGTCATGTCATCTTTAATCTCTGGTGATGGAGGGGAATAAAAGCTTTGGTTCTGAACCCGTCTACATAGATCCCTCAACCAAACCTGCGCTTCAGGTCGACTCATGTTGAAGTCAGTGTCAAAAACTAAAGAGCCGTTGCTGTCTGGGTTAAAGTGGTCTCCGTTATCAGTGGGTTTGACTCCCCAAACAAGCGTTAACGTAACGGGTTTATCCTCCCCATTTCTCTGCCTTTCAAACATGAACATGTGCCGATACTCTGCGTCGTATCTCTCAAACGGATGGCTGGAGCGGAAAAGCTGGGTGACCCAGCTTTCAAGAGAGGACAACTTCATGCCTGGGTCGACGCAGGACATGTACGTACCACCAGCTGCCAGCACTGCAAACCAGCACACCCAGATGTACCGAAACTTTACAACTCCACAAGGCAGGATTTTCAGGAACAACAAATTAGACGTGTCTGACAGAGCTTGTTTTAACTCTCGTAGCTTCTGCACGACACTGAAGATGCATCTCTTGCGTGAACTCGCGTCCCAGAAGCTGCTCGCGTTTTTGACGCAGCAGGACTTCCATGCTTGCATCGCCCCTGACGCCGAGGGCGACTTTCTGAAGCGCTCACACAGAACGAAAGAGCACGGCAGCCACATTAACGCCAACAGTGAGTTGATGAGAGAGGAAGTTCCGAGATAAACAGAGAAGCATCTGATTGCTGTGATGCTGCTGAGATAACCAGAGAAAAACGCTGCACTGGAGGTCAACCCTGATGCCAAAATCAACCAGCCCATTTCCTGCAAGGCTCTGTTTACTCTCTTCTCCAGGGACGCCGAGGGGTTCTGCGTTAGCTGCAGCTTCCAGAAGTCAGAAAAGATAAAGACCTGATTGGAACAACTTCCTAAGAGAATCAGAGCTACTGAGAAGTTGACCATGGGAAAGAAGGTCAGGCGAAATGCTACTTTGTAGAAGAAATATGAGGTTAGAAGGGAAGCTGTGATTGCTAGAAGAGATACTGCTACTATGAAGAAAGAGTGGAGGTATAATGCCATGGTGAACAGGAGAGAGAAAACGGCTAGGACTGGGTATACTGAATCTCTCGCCAGGTAATACTTGAAGAGGGTCTTCTTGATGCCAAAGTCTATGCCAGTTATAGTTGTATTATTGTACGTCAGATCCCTGCCTTCGAGACTGTTCATGTAGATCTCCATCATGTGCTCTCCCTTGTCAACGGGTAGAAACAGCAGGCTGTACTTCAGTGTTGGGATTTGGTATTCAACCGTCTGCGGGCTGAGGAAGTCTTTGTCTACGAGAAAGTGCAGGATTTGGAACACCACGCGGGATTGTTTACAGCAGGAGGGAACAGAGGAGCAGCTGCCGTGTTTGGGCGTCTCGACACAGGTCTCCATGAGATCCCCTTTGTGATAGTACAGGGCACATTTTCGAAGAAGGTTTAAAGACTCCAAAATCTGGTGAGAAGAAAAGATAACGAAAATTAGACCCATTAATAGTTTTTACTAATATTCTAGTGTCTGCTTTTGTTGGCCAAAGATTAGGTCAATGCAAGTGCAATGGCTGACAGTTTAGTATTTAAAAGAGCAGAAATGGTCTTAGCACATGATCCGTACATTTTACCAAGACATGCATAGCTTTTATGGCCAGATTTATGAAGTAGTGTTATAGAAAGATGACCTTAATCATAAACCTAACCAAGTAGATTCAGTCTCTAAACAAGTATTTTTTATTAACTTAATGAAACATAAACATGGAATAAAAGCCTCTCAGGATTCAACTCCCAGATGACTGTGCCTCAAGTATTTCAGTATGTAACGTTCAAGTGTCCAGACCCCATGAATTGTGTACGTCTTTTTTTCACAAACCTAATTTTGTGTCTAAAACAACCAACTTGAGAAACATGGAAGACGTAATTTCTGCAGAAGCAGTGGAGTTCAACAGGGTTGAAGATATGTTACGGCTTCAAAAGGGATGGTGTTGTAAGGAGGGTTTTATTTTGTGCCCTGTTTACACGACAACGATCCAATGAAATTTTTTTTTTTTCCCATTTCTATAAACACATTTACTTGAAAACATTCTAATTACAATCTCTGTTTACACAGCAACGGCAACAGTTGGTGCTACGTTCTTTGGCGTCCAGTAGCACCTCCTAGTCGTGTTTCTTCTTTGCATATATCTGATAAGTAACAGAGTGGAGCTGTATGAGATCCGTCTTCGATGGTTTAAGTATAAAGGTAGAAAATGAGCACTGCGTTGGAGAGTCGTAGTTACATTTATGAGTCAGAAGCACAAACAATACTCTGGTATCTGCCATTGTCTATAGTTTCTACTTCTGAGGATTGTAGGAAGCCGTTATGTTTTGCGTCGTACTGCGCATGAGCAGATTCCGGCTGACAAAAAAGATTAATTTTCGAACACCGGGACGTTTTTGAACCATTGTACTCTGGAACCTGTTCTCAAATTGTGCCGTCATCAGAGAAAACATTTGCTATTTTCATGTAAATGAACAGTACAAAACGAAACTCTTCCATTTTCACCAGAAATCGTTTTCATGTAAACAGGGCCTTGGAGACTACCGGTACATTTAAAGTCTCTTGGTTAAGTTCAAACAACAAACTTGATTGATAAAAAAAACAACATTTATTTGGGTTGATGTAAAACATTAAAGTTTGTCTAGTTTCTTAATAACTAGCAGTTTTTAGGGTGTACACAACATCTTAAAGAAGGGGTTACCAACCTTTATTCAAAAGCCAGAGTTTTTTTAAGAAGAGGTAAAGATAAAACAGTTGTATGTTGGAGGGGAGGCCAGCTGAGTAGAGGTTGTCTCTGAGCAACTATTTTAAAACATCAGCATCTAAAATGTCAGTTCATCAATTAATTTAATTAGCTTGTGGCTGATTGTCAAAATAAGAAGGACGATACAGTGCCTGCTGTGAGGTAAGGCTGAGGCAGCAGGAGGCGTTTGAGAGGACCGCCAAGTAATTCCCCAGAGACCAGCTGGGACAACAGCCGCTCCTCGACGTTCCCTCGCCGTCCACACCCTCATGCTGCTGGCACAGGTCCTGGAACTCAGCCTGGGAGCGAATCTGATTCACACAAGGAAAAAGGTTTTTTGAACTGGTGCCCAGTTTTAAAACCAATTTATATATATATAAAAAAAAATCAGTTAATTTCACATTAGATATTGTGCGCAGGCTGTTCTAGAAAAGAGGATTATAGATATTAAAGAGAAAGATGAGAGGAAAGTTAATCGAAGTTGATGTCTAAAGGAAAAAGGGGATCAGAGCCAACCCTGGATTGCTCCATCTCACACATGGCGTGGATCGCCTTCAGACTCCAGAGACTGGCTGAGTTTTCAGATCTGAACACCAACTGGGCAAAACGCTCATCTGCGAAGAGATGGATTCAACATCCAACAGTGACTCATGGGATTGTGGGCATGGTTAGAACCATTTCAAACAAAAGCACAAAACTCTCTTATCAAAACTCTAACCTCCTAAACTGGCCTTTTTTTTTTTTTTTTAATCGAGTGTGACTTAAGTTTATCGTTTTCATTAATAAACACGGTTAATTATACAGATGATAACTCACTCACCTGGAGCGTCACAGAGGAAAGTGTGCGGAGACAAATCTGCAGCCAGCATCCTCTTAGTCCGACCTCTGGAGGTGACCTGACTGCTGTTACTGCCTCTGCTGAGAACGTCTGCAGATCTACTGAGGCTGGAAGGACAGAATATATCATCACATCACAACGTCACATTTGAAGTCAAACTACTTAAACAGAGCAGAACAAACAACAATGGTTGCAGAAATGGCCCTAAAAAGTCAAGGATTTCAGTGGGTTCAGGTTAGAAGAAAATTATTGAAAAGCCCCAACATACCCTGAAGGAATGCTTACTACTCTGCACCTTTTGTGCTAAAGTTTTAGACTAAGGTCATTTTGGGAAATCATAAAGTTAAAGTCGTTTTAGTGAAATCTTTGAAAGACAATATGTGTGGTGGAAGGCTCTCAGCTACCACCACATCAGATTTTAGCTCATTATCTGTAAAAGTGACCTATAGATATTTTTACGTTGGCTAACATCGACCATCTGTTGTATAGATGTACATCACATTATTATTTCCTGAAAGTTTCCAAACTACGTTCAGCATCTGTTTGCACTGGTTTGTGCGTTCGGCGAACGTCTGCTGACCTTTTTCTGAGCTGTGGGGGTAAAAGAGACAGAGTCTTCCCCGGACCAGTGTTCTCCTGCAGCTTAGACAAACTGGACAGCCGAACCCCGAGATATGTTCCCCGCGGCTCGAAACCCTGAGGGGTCCAGACACAAAAACACAAACGCTGATTTCAGTCAAAGCACGGCTGCAAATTATTCAGTTACCGTAATCAGCATCACATAATATTGTTTGAAAAAAACAAACAATGTTTGATGCTCAGCTAAAAGAAGAAGAACACTAGCTAAAGGCTAAATGAGGAACTCTAGCTTAAAGCTAAAAGAAGCAAGATGCCAGCTAAAAGCTGAAAATTAAAAGAAACAATACTAACTTAAAGCTAAAACGAGCTGAACACTGGTTTAAAGCTAATGAAAACTAGACACCAGATAAGAAGTAAAATATGCAGAACATTAGCCGAAAGCTAAATCTAGCTAAAGGCTACGATGGACAAAACACTAGCTGTCAGCTAAAAGTTGAAAGTTGCAAGCTAAAAGTAGGAAAAGGCTAGCTTAATGTTACTTTATTAAAGCATAAATGAGTCAAAATAATCTTATTTTCTAATGCAAATCCATTCAGTTTTAATCCCGCATTGCTTTTAACTGAAGGTTGAAACTTTCAGAATAAATTTAATGACGCTCTTTCTGCAAGGAGTGATTTCAAAGACTTATTAATGACGGTGAGTGTGATTTAATTTACTGAATCAGACGTGAAGTGAAGTGAATGAAGTAAATGAGGCTGAGCTCGTGACTTGTCTCGTCACACGGTTCAGCCGTGGATCGGTGACTCACCAGCAGTGGATCAGAGAAATCTGGCAGAGGGCCGACGAACAGTCCGGCCAGTGAGAACCCCAGCAGCACCAGGGTGCAGCCCAGGAGGACTGCCAGTGGATACTCCACTATCACCTGGGAATAACTGCAAACAAACAAGAAGCGTCAGAAACTCATATGTGGTAAATGAGGAAAAAAACTGGTGTTCAGCTCTTACTTTTTAACTACGCAGTAAAGCCCTCCGTCCCTATTCACAGCAGAACGATATGATGTTAACATAAAAGCCAGTGACTAAAGAAACCTGCATGAACTTTGTGATCCATCTGGAGCCCACCTCACTGTCACTACGTGTCTCTGCTTCAGTTTCTGTGTCCTGCCTTCGTTGGACCCGTGCAGCCAGTGACACCTCACCGGCCTGTGGCTGGGCGTCTGACGGGCAGAACCACAGCTGCATCCTGCCTTCGCCGCTAACCCTCCCTCGGCACAGGGACCGCTTGAGTGACAGCTGTACGGTTTGACCGGCCCAAGTCGGCTGCAGTGCGGGCATTTTCGGAGCTGTGGAGAATCACAGTCTCCAGCCTGAATACGCTGAGGAACCTCAAGGAGTGAAGAACACGTACGCAGATATTAGACTAAAAACACTGAGCGTATCCACTTTTTGAGAAGATATTTAACAATAAAACAAGTTTTTGGCTTCAAAATACAGCAAGTCTTGTGTCTGTGCTGAGCAGTGGTGCAGTAGAGCTCAGACGTACTTGGTGATAAAGCTGGAAGGAGGAAGAAGGTCTGCCAAGGCTGCTGCAGCTGTCGCAGAGCTCCCCTTCAGACTGGAAGATTGTCAGCTGGGCCTCCTCGGAGCTGTCAGGCGGGCACAGAGAAACCTGCGGGATCTCACTGAGGAAAGAGAAATACAGCAAAAATAACAAGTAAATACAAAAAAAAGAAGGAAGGATGGTGACAAACATCTTGGCTCAGCTTCATCTCATATTCAGGGGAGAACTGCTCATGCAAGCAGAAGTAATAAGAAAGAAGTGGATTTCGGACACACACACACACACAAACACACACACTGTGGCTCCTGGATGTAAAAGTGGGGCCAACTAAAGAAGAAGGAGGAGGAAGTAGAGACAGTTTTCACACCCCAGCACCGTGTCATTAAGGTGCAGAGCTGCTGTCCAGGATAGATAACAAGACCCACTGACTTCTGGGTAATTGGTGTCAGGTGAACCCAGGACACGCTCCCCTCCTTTTTGGGTTAACAACATGTTTGCTCGATGGTTGTTTATTAATATCTTGTTCTAGTATTTTGGCTCAGGTTGAAATATCTCAGCTGAAATATGATCTTCCACGTGCACTAAAAGCTAAAAATCATAAAAAATGTGACTGACACGAACATAAACCTCAAGATCAACAAGGCCTGATTCTTATGGTTGGATTTATGGTCTGTCTATCTGCAGAGCAGCATTTATATATTTCATTTTGTCTGTTAACAAACTTTAGACACATCTCTGTTACAAGGTGTTTAGTAAATGTTGGAACAAGATATCTGAAGATTGTAAACGCAGAAAATACACTTTTAAAACTGTACACTTTACCATAGGAGGAAGTTGGAACATTTAAAAAACATTAGAGAAGTGCAAACGCTGAGTGACTGATGAAACCTGCTGAAAAGGCTAAAACTGAGCTGTTAAAGCTAAAAGAAGCTGAACACTAGCTTAAAGCTAATGGACGCAAGACGCCAACTAAAAACTAAAAGAAGCAGGCTGCTCAAAGAAGCTAACACTACCTTGTACTTAAATAAGCAAAACACTAGCTGAAAGCTAAAAGAAGCTGAATACTAGCTTAAAGCTAAAATAAACAAAACACCCGGTAAAAACTAAAAGAAGCAGACTATTAGCTGAAAGCTAAAAGAAGTTGAACACTAGCTTAAAGCTAAAAGAAGCAAGACACCAACTAAAAACTAAAAGAAGCAGACTATTATCTGAAAGCTAAAAGAAGCTAACACTACCTTGTACCTAAATAAGCAAAACACTAGCTGAAAGCTAAAAGAAGCCGAATACTAGCTTTAAGCTAAAATAAACAAAACACCAGGTCAAAACTAAAAGAAGCAGACTATTAGCTGAAAGCTAAAAGAAACCTAACCAAAAACGAAAAGTAGCAAAAGACTAGCTAAAAGCTAACAATGTTTCCTAAAAGCTAAAAGTAACATAAGACAAAATGGAGCTTGCATAATAAAAAAAAAATTAAAAGAGAAAAATTTTGGAGGTATTAAAGGGATTTACGTGTATTTAAATGGGGAAAGTATTTATAAAAAATGTGAAATATTTTTAAAAGTATAAAAGTTACAAAAACCAAAAGTCAAAGCAACAATCTCCTGAATGAGCCGAATGTTTTGATATACAAAATGCTAAAACAGGACAATCTATGCCGAATTAGTTACACTGCAAAAACGTGCACAAAACAAACAAAACAGGAAAACAATGGTGCGAATGCTGAACAATACAAGTCTTTTCTGTTTTGTAACTACTTTGGTTTACTTTTCATAATTTGGGCCATTTTGGAAGCTGGTTTATTTTATTTATTTTTTGTTTTAAACTCAAAAGCTCACATAAAGCAACAAATTTGATCATGGGACATAAACAGACCTGCCTTGTTAAAGAGGCCATGCTGTCCTCCACATGTTTGCCTTTCCACTGGAGTCTGGATGCAACCGCTCTTCCTATCGTGTCACCGTGGCAACGGAGAAAGTCAACAGAGCCTAATGGACCTCACACAGGTTATATTTGCATCTTGTAATAGGATGAACAGACGATGAGCACCCTCGGGGATCGGTGATCAACTGAAGTTCTATATTTATTCTCCAATAAAACCACTAAAATCTAAATAATTAATGGACACCATCAAATCCTTTACAGGCGATATTTAACCTTGTGGATATGGTTTGAGTTTGAGCGTAAGTTTTTACTGGAAAGGGGAACTCACGTTTTACAAAACTTAAGAAAACAAGCACGGTGTCCCCAGGCTGCAGGACTAAATGCTCTGACGTCGGCCAGGTGGTCCAGGTTGAAGAACTGGTCTGAGCCCTGCACCCCAAGTGTTTTTGGACACTTTCACCTAAAGTGACTTCCAGCTGCAGCCCTGAACTGTGTGCATCATGTTTGTGCGAACAAACGCAACCAAAACACACTGGGACAAACTTTATGAGGTCAATCTTGTCTGGGTCAAGCAAACTGGAGAATTAACCAGTTTCTTTGGCATAACTTTTCTCACGATGTAGATTTCTTCAGCATTAGAATAAGAAGGTCTCTAGATGCATAAAAAACTAAATCTGTTTATTTAGAAGAACAAAAAGTGTATTCCAGTGATGTTTCTGGTCCGAGCTGGTTCTTCTCAGTCATTCAAAATGATCTCAAAAGAGGCTGAGCTGTTTCTCTGCAGCACAGCATCAACTGGTTTTTAGAAGTCTTTTAAATGAGCAAACCAGCATAAAACGTCTCACTTTGTATTCAGGAGGACAACTGCTGGATGAGCACTGAGAAGAACCTATGAGAGGCAAAAGTGGGTCTTGTTGCCGAGCAAAACAGGGACGCAGCTCTCAGCTGTCTCCCCCTCTCATGTCTGAAACATTTTATTTTACTACTACAGTCTGGAGCCAAGTGACATCTGTAACCCTGACAACCAACGCAGGACAGAGACACAGAGCAGATCTCAGACAGGTGAGCAGATCCTGTTCTGATCTGTGTCATTTACAAAAGCTTGAATTGTTTCATGCATACAGATCCATGCTTCATTCATGCTGTTCCAAAACATAAAAACAGTGTATTCAAATGAGGTGTGGACATAAAACATGACAGCATCATCTGTAGGGTCGTTACACATCAGTCAGGAAACAACAGCCCACCTCTGACGAGCACGCTGGGTTTTCTTCTCATCTTCAGGAGGCTCGTCCATCTCCATCCCCTCTGAGCTTTGTCCTCTCACAGAGACAGGATCCATCCTCCCCACGTCCACCTCGGGGGGAGGGTGGTCCTACCGATCTGGGGTCATTTTGTGGCGCTTTGACTGAGCAGCTAGTCTTCTCTCTGCGCAGACTGGATCCATGAGGAGCAGAGGCTCGGCTGTTGTGTTAATCTGCCCCGAGCTGCGCTCTGATTGGCTGAGAGCCGCCGTGACGCGGAGGATGCTGCGTGTCCAACTGGTGCACAGCAGAGGCTGCAGGCTCTGGACCAACATTCAGCTGATGTCCAGATGTCCTCCACAAAAGACTATGAAATTAGTTTCAACTAATTTCAGAGCATAAGAAAGCAGAACACTAGCTGAAGGACAAAAATACTAGCAAACAGCTAAAAGTAGCAAAACACAAATGAAAAAGTAAAAAAATGCTAACTAAATGTAGCCAAAAGGTGACTAAATGTTCAAAGCAGCAAAATAAAGGTAGCAAAAAACACGAAATGTAAGCTATGTTAAATATAGCTAAAAAACATTAAATGTAGCAAAAGTTTATTTAAATTAAAGTAGCAACGGATCAGCTAAAAGCTAAACATGTCAAAAGTCTAGAAGCAAAACAATATTTAGAAGATAAAACGGAACATGCTAGTAGAATCAGCAAAGTGTCAGATCAATTCTAACTTGTTTTATTCAACTAAAATAAAATAAAGACAAATTAATGATTTGGGTACTCGTCAAAAACAGACAACAAAAATTCAAAATGTTATTTTATTTAGAAATTCTAATATCTGGAGGGGTACGTCTGAGGAATATGAGAAATAAAAAGATCTAAAGTTTTCCAAAATCCATGTGCATAAATTAAATATTTATCTTATTATTGTAGCCAAACATCTTAAAGGAGATAAAATCTTTTTTTATATATATACACGCATTAAATAAAAACAATATCAGTATTCATGTGAAGTAACGAACGATGCAGCAGCTTTATGTGATGTCTTTCCAGCAGTTTCTGATTTATTCAGAAATTTGTGTAATTGCTCAGATTGATGCTCTGCACAGTCGTTCCTCCCTTGGATGTGTTGAATAAAAAGAGAACATAAAATAAAGATAAAAGAGACGGAAACACTGTGCTTTTTATTTCAAGTAAATTAGAGACTGTGACACATCAGACCTTCCTGTTAACGAAGCGACTGCTGCTCTGGTTCTTGTTATAAATATGAATCATGGCTCCCAGCTCAGATCACTCACCTCTGAGGGGGTAAAAGTAAAATGATGGATTGGACAGATGGAGATCTTTTTTATTAAAAAACAAAGAAAAAGGGTGTGAGAACATATTGGAAGTGCTCAAAGTCATGTTTTATAGTTTTAAATCAGAGACTGGGGTGGAGATTTTAATTCCTAACCTGATACTGATTCGCCCCCAGCTGTAAGTGATCACATGGGAGTCTCCGTGTGAAATCCAAAACCTAAAACTGAACAAAAAGCTGCTGTGCTTGTGGTTGGCATGGAGTTTAGGGAACAGCTTGTGTGGCAGCTGACACGGCTGAGGCCTTAATGACTTCAAACGCCGAGTTTAGCTGCTCAGTCTGCCACATGCACACATACCCAGAGCCTAACAGGCTCCATACTGTAAACTGGACACAGAACGAGGGGCTGGTTCTGAGGTGACAGCCGTGGTAATTTCCTGTGGCAGAGTCTTGCCTCTGAATGGTGACGAGAAGGGAAACGCTTCATTACAGCTGCAGCGCTGCTTCCAGACATGTGGCACAAAAACACACACAAGAGGACTGGAAGGGAACAAAAACGTCGTTTGTGGACTCATCTTGACGTTTAATTGTAAATACCATCCCAGAAAACCTAAATCTACTGCGCTAACACAAGAACAGCAAGACAAAGGACACGATGTAAAGAAAAAATAAGCATTTATTTCAGCAGCAAACCATAAAAATGCATTTAAGCCACGTTTTTGTCTTCTAAATCTGAATTTGTTTTGGGGATTTTTTTAGCTAGTGTTTTATTTTTAGCTTATATGACTTTGCTAACTTAAGCTTTTAGCTCCTGCTTTTTTATTTTAGCCACTACCTACATATTTGCTAGCATTAGTTATCCATCCATTGTCTTTACCCGCTTCTTCCTTATGTCCTGCTTATTTTAACTTTACCCATTCAGTTCCAGCATTTGTAGACATTCAAGGTTTTTGTTTCTGAATGTTGTGTTTTGTATTTTTCTTTGTTTTGCTCCTGAACTGATTTGAACTGATTTGAAAAATCTCAGCTTTCTTCAAGCCCACAGGGCGCTTTGCTGCCATCTAGTGGACAAACATGGAAGTGACAGCCAAGAATTTATTTATTGTTTGTTCGGGTTTTTTTTCCCCTCTCCCATTTAAACACAGATAAATTTAAATATTTAAGGACTTTTTAGATTTAAATGAAGGCCCAACAAATGTAAAATTAACTTTATGATCACAGACTGTCTACAAGCCTAAATTATCTGTGTTTTTGTTAGTTTTTGGGTGCTGAATTGGAGTAAAAGTATCGCCAAGAGCAACATTTTATGGCTGTTCTTGTAAATTCGGTTGTGTCCAACACGACTGACGACATGAGGTCGAGCTCTCCTGCGGTTTATCCGCTGGGTGTAAAGTTACTAGCGGACAGGACACACCTCCAGAAAGAGAGAGGGAGTGGAAACACAGAGGAGCAGACACAGCTTCTCCTCCTGCAGTTCCGCTCGGAGCAGCGCTGTGGCCCCTGCACAGGAGCGCCCGGGATGGGCCACTCTTTACGCGCGGCCGCCCTCCTGGCTGTCGTGGTTCTGTCCATTCTGGTGTCCCTCCTGGTCACCAGCGTGCAGCAGCAGCTCGGAGCCAGAACTCTTCCCAATGGGTCTGCTACTCCTGGAGGTGAGGAGGAGGAGGAGGAGGCGCTCCGCCGGGCTCTGATCCACCAACTCAACCAGAGGCGCAAAGAACTGATCCCGCTGCTGTTCCCTGCCGAGCCAAACGGGAAACGTCCCTCACAGTCCGACCCAGACTCGGTTTTGGGTTACAGTCTGTGGAATGAGGTCACGCTTGGCTCCCGGGACCACATGGGCTGCGACTCCCTGGTGGACATGCGGGCGGTGGAGGTCCTCGGGTCCGGGTACACCAAGCTGGTTGTCAGGGCGCATCTGGCCGGGGGTCAGCCTCCCGTGGCCCTGAAGCTGGTCAACGAGCAGGGCGTCGACATGAACAAGTGTTTGGAGGATTTTAAGGAGCCGACAGGCTGCCGGGAGCTGGTTTCTTCCAAACTGAGGAGGGAGATGATCCTGTTGGACAGGCTGCGGCATCCAAACGTCATCCAGGTGACGCGTCCTGTTTCAAACTATACAACTTCAGCTGCAGATCTATGACGTCCTGAGCTCTGGAAGTTGTTGAACTGGAGTTTCCATGTTCCGTGGCACATTTTCCTTTGTCTCACCCCGCGAGCTGCCTCTGCAGGGCCTTCTGTAATTAAATTAAATCCACTGACCCTGCTCTGACCTTTGCTTCCAGGATGGCAGCAGCAACACAATGTGCCTCTGTCCTCTCCTCTCTGTCCCCAGCTTCATCAGAAACTGAGCTCCGACCATCACATTTCCAATTTAGAACCAAACCAGTAAAATTGTGTGACAACTCGTTTTCCTTCTACTGCGTTGGAGAGACGAGCTCTCGTTTGCTCTAACAGTTGCTTTCCCCTTCTCTCTGCAGCTCAAGGGTCACTGTGCAGGAGTCCAAGGAGGGGGAGGAGGAGTGGAAAGAGGAAGGGTGGCAGTCATCCTGGAGCAGGGGGCTCCTCTCCAGATGATCCAGCTGCTGCAGAGCCCCTGGGAGGACAGATTCAGGGTGAGCTCCTCCTCAGCTGTCGGAGGTCATGGGCAGAATCTCCTGCAGTCTGACCCCCTCATGTTTGATCAGGCCTGGAGTGAATCCACCGCTGGCTGTGAACTTCATCTCAAACAGTTTTCAGCTCAGCGGGAGTCAATGTGCATTTCTTCGTGCACGGATCTGTTTGAAGGAAAGAATAGGTGGGAGTGACAAAAGTAACCAAATATACAGCAATTATCCTCTCAGCCGAGGCTCTTTTTTTTGCTGCATCACCCAAACAGACTAGTGATCCCCCTGATTATCGCTGCCGGGCCCCTCGGGCTTCAGTAATCTGAAGGTGTTTGGTTTCACGGTGCTCTGATCCCAACAAGGACGTCTCTGAACTTTATCTCACTCTGCAGCTGTGCTGTGACAGGAACAAGTGTTTGCTGCTTTTCTTCTGATTTAAACTCAAAACCGATCTGGAAATGGCGTTCTGCCCAAACTGTGACGATCTATTTTATAAAACAATAATTAATTTAAGTAATGATGATTAATTCAGTTTGATTGCACAGGTTAAAAAAAAAACAGTGTAAAAAGCTCATTATTAATGTTTGCATATAAAATGTTTGAAAATTATAGAATAAACCTAAAAAAATCTCATGCACGTGATAATCAGCACGGTGAATTATACCAAAAAAAATATGGCTGTAATTATTCAAACAAATGTCTTAAACACTTATTTATCTAAAAACGTTTTCTGTAACAATAAAGTATGAAAGCTGAAAGGGAGATAGCTAAATGCTAAAAATGCAAAGGGCTAACGGAAAACCGAAGGAAACAAAAAGCTAGCTAAAAGCTAAATGTGGCAAAATGGTAGCTAAAGACTAGCTGAAAGTATCAAAGGCTAATTAGCAGAAAAAAAACTGAGCAAATTTTCTGAAACAGATAAAATTTTTGTTTTGAATAAATTTGAGTGATTCATAGGAGGAATATTTATAAATAAAGCTTTTCTTGTGCAAAAGTTACAAAAAGACACGACGCCTAAAAGAGCCGAACATTTTAAAATACAAACAGCTAAAAAAAAAGCACAATTTAGAATCAGTTTGATCGTTGAACAGTTGTGTTAGAGACATTTTTGTTCAATCTTCCACGTTTCCATGACCGTCTGATCAAGTTTTTGACATGTCCCGTCTCCAGGTGTGTCTGGACCTGGTCCGGCTCCTCCACTTCCTGTCCCGGTCCCCGCTGGGCTCCGTGGGGCTGCTGGACTTCCAGCCGCGGCAGTTCGTCACCGTGTCCGGTCAGCTGAAGCTCACCGACCTGGACGACGCCAGCCCGGAGGAGACGGCCTGTCGGGCCGACGCGGACTGCACCCTCCGGTTCCCACACCGAAACTTCACCCTGGCCTGCTCGGCTCGGGGGCTGTGTGAGGGGCTGAACGAGAAGAGGAACCTTTACAACGCCTACAGGTAAGAACATCCAGCTGGAAACGTGACGACGCTGCTGTTCACCCTTCAGAAGCTGCAGCTTTTTGACAGCTTTGTGCTCGTTTTAACAGCAGGGCGAGAAAAGTGCTGTTCTGTGGGCGCGATGTGACGGGGCTTGTCTGTTTTCTCCCACTGCAGGTTTTTTTTCACCTACCTGCTGCCCCACCAGGCCCCGCACGGCCTCACACACCTGGTAGACCACATCATGAACACCACAGGTAAAGAAAGGGCTGATTAACCACGGAGAAGATCAGAGAGCGAATCGCTCCATTACGACAGTCGTGTGAAGACACGCCGAATAGTTTTTACTTAATGAGCTCGACAAGATGCTTCTTGACATGTGATACTGGGAAAAAAGAACAAGCTTTTATCCGTTGAGGTGAAATGGTGTCATCGGGCTGGGCGTGTGCGTGTAGGTCCTGTTTTTTGACCATGAGTGCGTTGTGTGTGTCCAGGGGAGCTGAAGGCTGACATCAGTCAGACTCTGGAGGCCTTTGAACACATCCTCCTCCTGTACAAGGCGGGCCTACACCTGGACAACCTGCCCCCATCCATAGTCAGAGGTAAGAGCTTGTCAAATAAAAGCTGCCTTTTGTAAAAACAAAAGAAAAGTTTCCTGCTCCACTTTTCGAGATAGGCCTGTTGTCAGGGGTTTATTTGGATTTTTGACAAGTTTATATGCAGCTGGAATAAGAAGACAAATCCAGCAAAGTGGGATTAATCTATCTGTCCCAGGAAGCGCTGGTTTTTACAATTTAAACCTTTTCACGCCCTTTATATGGAGGACGGAATGTGACACAATGAAATACATAATAATGCAATGTATCATTTAAATATTAGATACATCATTAAATCATTAAAAGATAATATGTTGAGGCCTGGAAGGTGTGCAAGAACTTTGGTGTCTTCTGTTGTGTGTTTTTTTGTTTGTTTTTTTACTGTTGTGCTTGTGGTCTTCGCTTTTAGCTGATTATATGACAAAAAAAAGTATATTCTATTCTATTCTAAATACACAATTAAATTATTTATTTCATGATTTATTCATTTATTTAATTTTGTCACATTCCTCCCTCGTGTGTCACCATGAAAAGATGTTAACTGTCAGTCTCACTCGTCAAACTCAGTGGGCGGGGCTAACGCTGATCATGTGAAATCCATTGCTTTGGTCTGACGTCAGTTCGTACGTGGAAGTTCCCTCCATGCAGCTCGTAAAAGCGCGTCTTCTTCTTTACATTCATGATATGAGAAAAGGTTTCATCCAAATACACGTAAACACAATTACCGCTTCCTAAAGTTTTGGAATATATTTTCTTGTCTGTGGATCAATCCATTATCTGCGGTCGATTTGTCTTCGCTTGCTGTGAGGAGCAGCCAATCAGGCGTCAGGGTTATGATTAGTCCCGCCCACTGAGTTTGACGAGTGAGACTGACAGTTAACATCATTTCATGGTGTCACTGGAGGACGGAAGGTGACAAAATTAAATAAATAAATAAATCATGAAATAATTTCAAAGGTACATTTCATTATTTAATTGTGTATTTAATAATTAAATTGTATATTTAATGATTTAATGATGTATTTAATAATTAAATTACGCATTTAATTGTTATGTTTATATTATGCATTTATTTCATTTTGTCACATTCCGGCCTCCATAGGAGCACAGAAAGTTTCCCTCCAGCCCCGCCGTATGAAATATTAATAACAGAACGACTGGCTGGCTGCGTTTCTGTGGGATTTTTTTTTTCCAGCCTCCTCCCTCCCCAGATGCTGGACTGTTTATATAGCAGCGCTTTGTGAATTTAATCCCAGGTTCAGGAGGTAAAGAGGCCTGCTCGCCGAGGCGGCCGATGGGAGGGAATGTTTCAGCTTAACGAGGAGGTGCCAGGAGTCGGCTGCTGGGCGATAAGATCCAAAAATATGCGTTTGTTTATTATTTGAACATTTTGCACGGTTAGCTGGAACAGAGGTATTTTGTTGTGGAGCTGGAGGACAAGCTCGGTTGGTTTTAGTTTGTGGCGTCAAGTTAAGGTCAGCTGGGCTTGTCCTCTGATTAGAGTGGCTGAAACAATATTTAACTTCATCAACTCAGCAAGGCACAAAATATTTTAATCATTTCAGGTCAGTAACACCAGTTTTCCCATGTCAGGACATTTTTATTACTGGAATTAGAGGTAAAGTGTGAACTGTGGTTAGGTTAAGCTTAGGAGCGCTTCCAAATAAAGAAAAAATGCCCAAGCTTGTGTGAGAGAGAGAAAGATACTCATCGGGCCTCGTCTTAATTTGAAATTGCTGACAGATGGAATCTTCAAGGATGTGGGTGTAATTTTTCCGTCTTCTGAAAGTGACAGAGGAGGCCAAAATGTAGCAAAGATGGAGCTTCAGCGTGGATTAATTGAGGATTTGAGCCCTTTGTGTGTAAAATCGACTAAATCACTCGTCCCCTCGGAGACTTGTCAGTTTTTGTCTTCGCCCTTTAGCTCCCTAACAGGCCTCATTTTTCCCTCCCCCTCGTCGGGATCTTCTGAACCTCGGTTTCTTTTTTCTTCTTCTCAGATCTAAAACGTAGATTCTCAACTCTTTTCCTCCACACACACACACACACACACACACACACACACACACACACACACAC